AAAAAAGTTAACATGCAGCCCAGTCCTAGACATTTCTTCTTAGAAGAGAGTTCTAGAGTTCAAGTAGGATCACAGCCTGAATAGTGAGGTTGACTTCTGAAAGCAGAATTGCAAAAGCAAGTGCTTTCAAGTAGCTTTTTGGATCCTGGCCACCGTTGTTCAATTTTGCAACATGGTTTGAAACAAGTAAACTCTTGCAAGAGCATTTCCTGGAAACACTGGAGTCCTTTTCTGTGGGCAGCAACCCAGAGCTGAGCCACGGAAACCCTTTGCATTTCCTCCTCTTTGTTATTTCACAATGCTATTGCTATTGTTAGCCTATAGAAGGCTTCATATGGGGCAAGAGGAAGAAGAATTAAGTTCGGGGGGGGGAGCTACCATGAGACTGTCTCTTGCTCTTGCAAATACAGTGGTACCTTGGGTTAAGTACTTAATTCGTTCCAGATATCTGTTCTTAACCCGAAACTGTTCTTAACCTGAAGCACCACTTTAGCTAATGGGGCCTCCTGCTGCCGCCGCGCCGCCGGAGCCCGATTTCTGTTCTTATCCTGAAGCAAAGTTCTTAACCTGAAGCACTATTTCTGGGTTAGCGGAGTTTGTAACCTGAAGCGTATGTAACCTGAAGCGTATGTAACCCGAGGTACCACTGTATTCAGAAAAGCTAAGAGCAGGCCTGGTGTCATCACATGGCATGTCCAGTTCCCACATGCAGCTTAGAAGACACAGTAAAGTTGTGTTCCTCTGCTGTGTTTTAAGTTGCATTTTTAGGTTGCTGTACACACCACAGAGAGGAATATATTTGACTGATGCACATTACCCTGTTTGTTTCCTTGTGCCTGCCTCTCTCTCATACACCCCAACTCCTACCCATTTGAAAATTCAGGACAGATAAAATAAAGTACCGTATTTTTTGCTCAATAAGACTCACTTTTTCCCTCCCCAAAAGTAAGGGAAAATGTGTGTGCGTCTTATGGAGCGGATACAGGCTGCGCAGCTATCCCAGAAGCCAGAACAGCAAGAGGACTTCTGACATTCAGAATATTATTTTCTTGTTTTCCTCCTCCAAAAACTAGGTGTGCCTTATGGTCTGGTGCATCTTATAGGTCGAAAAATACGGTACTTATTCACGCAGTTAAACTGTGGAACGCACAGGTGTTGCTTTGGACAACGGGTTCCAGGCAGGAGCAGCCTGAGAACTTGGAATTGCAAAGTCAAAGCCCATACTGACTCAGCACAGAGCCAGAGCCTGAAAAGGTGTGTGTGTGAAGCCAGCTCATGGGCATTCAATGAAGCAGAATGTTGGAAGATTCAGGACAAACAAAAAGGAGTGCTCCTTTACACAGTTCATAGTTAATCTATGGAACTCATGCACACAGGAGGCAGTGACGGTCATCAACTTGGATGGTTTTAAAAGACGATTGGACAAATTCATGGAGGGGAAGGCCATCAATAGCTACTAGCCACATTGCCTATGCTCTGCTTCCATGCTCAGAGGCAGTGATGCTTCTGAATACCAGCTGCTGGAACCTGCAGGAGGGGTGAGTGCCCTTGTGTTCAAATCCTGCTTGCAGGTTTCCCACAGGCATTTAGTTGACAACTGTGAGAACACAATACGGGACTGGAAGGGCCTTGGGCCTGATCCAACAAGCTCTTCTTATGTTTTTGTATGCAGGTTTCCTGTGTTAGCCAAGCAAATAAGTCCCATCAAAACTACAGCACAGGGAAGTTTCAGTATAACAGGTCTCCCTCAATAATTGGGATGGGCTCATGGTTTCAGCCCACTCAAGTGTGCGGTGTGGGGGGATGAGTGAGCCGAGGCATTATATACCAAGTGAGTAAGCAAGGCATCTCAAAAGTGGAATCCAACTAATCAGACTTCATCAGATCAGTGGATCTGGTGATGTATGAATCACTCCTTCCATTGATAACAGTTATTCTCCACCTCCTTACTGGGGAGGGCACAGTGTAATTGCCATAAAGATAAGATTTAGCAGTCAAGCGTGGTTAGATAGTGTTGGGGACTTGTGGTTTAACAGCATGTCATATACTTGGTTGTGACGTGATATGGAAATATGGCTTGTGGTCATCCAAAGTTTATTTTGTAGCAGAGACATATTCAAATCCTTTATTATTGGAAATGTAAAAAAAGAAATCAGTGGGATTCCTGGGGCCACTTTGCTTGAAAATGATGTGCTAAAGCAACCTCTTGGGCCAGATCCTCTTCCAGTGGTGTTGAACACATGACTGTGCATGAACAAAGCTTGTTTGGTGGTGGAGAACACAGTAAGACTGAAAATTGCATGCATTTAACTTCTGCACATTCAGATTTAGGTGTGTGGTAATATATGGGGGAGGGGGTGGATTCCAGGGAAAATGACTTTCACAATCCCACCTGCCATTGAATCCAATGGGTTTTGACTCTATGTGATTTTGGCTTTAGGCGCAATCCCTGGAGCATAACCCCTGTGTAAATTGAGGGTTTCATCCTCCCAATTCCATATTTAGGTTGCATCATCACCTTCAAACCAAAGAAGGAACTGGGAACTCCAGATACAGGAACAAAGAATCACTTTAGCCCTTATCCCTGGCCTGGAGAAGAAAATTCTGTGTAGGTTCCACCATAGCAGGAAAACAATGCTAGGTAGCTGAACACTTAAGACTGAAATCATAGGTGCATTGGTTGAAGCAGAGGTGGCTACCTGTGGCCCTCCAGCTGTTGTTGGACTCCCATCAGCCTCAGCCAGCTTGGCCAATGGTCAGGGATGATGGGAGCAGTTCTCCATCAACTGGGCCAGGTTAAAGGTAGTTGAGTTAATGAACAAAGACCTAAACAAATTGGGCCTCCAAGACCTCAGGGACTCCCTGATTCCTGGTGGACCACCTCGATTGCTGGAATTCTCAGAAGGGGCACTTCTGGTGGTTCCTCACACCCTGAGGGTCAGCTGGCCTTGGAAACTGAGCCTTTAGTGTGGCACACTCTGCCCTGTGGAACTCCCTGCCAGTAGAAGTTCATCAGGAACCATACCTCCATTCTATCTGACATCTTTTGATTTATTTTATTTATTTAGACATGCATTTACAGCATGATTCTTTCTCTCTTTCTCTCTCTCTTTTTAAAAAAAGGTTGGTATTTACTGATGCTTTTAATGATTTTTCATGGACCTTTTGTTGATTTTATCCTTAAAACTTGTACAGTGGTACCTCGGGTTACATACGCTTCAGGTTACAGACGCTTCAGGTTATAGACTCTGCTAACCCAGAAATAGTACCTCGGGTTAAGAACTTTGCTTCAGGATGAGAACAGAAATCGTGCTCTGGCGGCACGGCGGCAGCGGGAGGCCCCATTAGCTTAAAGTGGTGCTTCAGGTTAAGAACAGTTTCAGGTTAAGTACGGACCTCCAGAACGAATTAAGTACTTAACCCGAGGTACCACTGTACTCTTACCTTGCTTTATTTTCATGAAAGCGCAGATGAGAAATTCATCAACAGACAAACAAACATCTGGCAGGCCACAGATTCCCCACCCCTTTTTGAAAGCATTCTAATTCAGTACTGGAAAGGCACTTCAGTGAATGTTCATGGTTGCAATTACACCCCAAATTTACCTTTTCCCCAACAGTGTGGGAGAAAATCCCCCCCCCAAACTGCCCCTTCCTATGTGTTTGTCCCAAGTTCTTGGCCACGCTGAGGTGAAACCCACCTGCAACCTCCAGGGCCAACCTCCCATTTCCTTCGCAGCTTCCACTCTGCTCTCCAGTGAACCTGACAAACTCTGGGGAGAAAAATACTGTGAAGAGTCACTATTGCTGAAATTCACACGGCTCTCCTCCATGTTCATTGATGGTGGGGGTGGGTTGTTGTTGTTGTTTAGTCATTTAGTTGTGTCCGACTATTCGTGACCCCATGGACCAGAGCATGCCAGGCACTCCTGTCTTCCACTTCCTCCTGCAGTTTGGGCAAACTCATGCTGGTAGCTTCGAGAACACTATCCAACCATCTCATCCTCTGTCGTCCCCTTCTCCTAGTGTCTTCAGTCTTTCCCAACATCAGGGTCTTTTCCAGGGAGTCTTCTCTTCTCATGAGGTGGCCAAAGTATTGGAGCCTCAGCTTCAGGATCTGTCCTTCCAGTGAGCACTCAGGGCTGATTTCCTTAAAGATGGAGAGGTTTGATCTTCTTGCAGTCCATGGGACTCTCAAGAGTCTCCTCCAGCACCATAATTCAAAAGCATCAATTCTTCGGCGATCAGCCTTCTTTATTGTCCAACTCTCACTTCTCACTTCCATACACCACTAGTGGGAGTGGGTAGGAATCGGCATTGCTGAAACTGAGAAGGCTCTCCATGTGCGTTGAGCTTTATTCCAGCCTGGTCCTTTTCGTTAGCATCTGTGAAAACGTCTCGACTTTCCTACCGCGTAGGAAGGAGACTCTTAAATGCATGTGTGCGTGGTGTGTTCAGCCACCACCACATACGTACAACGGGGCGGGTGCGGGTGGGGGCCTCAGAATTGGCTTTAGCTGTTCTCACATAGAACACAAAAACCACGGAAAGTTCGAAAAGCAACTCCTCTCTCTGTGTGGACGCTGATCGGTTTTAAAAAACCCTGACCCAAGGGCATTTAAAGGCATTCACTCAGGACAGGGCTATGCGAAAAGGGGCTGCCTTGGTTCTTAATGGGTCAAAGCACTAGTCACCCCCCAGGACCCTGGTCTCTCTGACAGATGGGGAGCTGGGGCTGATAAGAAGGACCGATCTCCCAACTGAATGAATATTGCCAATCGTGCCTCTTTCCTCCACGTATTGTGGATGCGGGCGGGATACTAGTATCAGCAAGAGGTTCCGGATCTCGGGAGGTCCAGTTATCCTCTTGCAGAAAGCGGAAGCTCAGCCTCAGCAAGACTTCCCATGCTCTTGGACGCGCCTGCTTCTGTGACAGGGGCTGCGGCTGCCTCTTTAAAAGAGGGGGCGGGGCTTTGTTGGCAAGAGGTGCGCGGGAGGGAGAAGACGAGAGAGAGCGGCGGGGAGAGCGCGCGCTCGCTCGCGCCTGCCCATGCCCGGATTATTATTTTGGTGCTCCTCTTTGATCCATTCAGAAATTCCTGATTGCGAAAGGAAAACAAAAGGGGAGGGGGCCAGCCTCTTCCGGAAGGCGGCAGAGGCCGCGCGCCGATTGGATGGCTCTCGTTTGGGGCGCACGTGCGGCCGAGGGGAGGGGCGGGCAGGGCGGGAGGCGTCAGCGGCCCGCAGCACCTTTGCAAAAGCAGCCGGAGCGGCGAGAGGCGGCCGAGTGACTTCGGGAAGAAAGCTCGCCGGCGACCCAGGAAGTCGCCGCCGCCGCCGCCGCCGCCCCGGGAGCCGAGAAGCCTTTTCTTTTACGCGCAGCGCCAGGCGCGCCACTCCTCGCGTGGAGCCTCTTTGAGGAGGAGCTGCTGCCGCTGCTGCTATTGCAGCTGAATCCACCAGTCCGCCTGCCCTGTGTGTGTTCGCGATGGCCGGATGATCGCTCGGCACCAGCCCGCCACGCCGCGCACCATGGCCGCGAAGGAAGACCTGTACAGCAAAGTCACCCCCCGGAGGAACAGGCAGCCGCGCACGGGGACCATCAAGCACGGCTCTTCCCTGGATATCCTCCTCTCCATGGGTTTCCCCAAAGCCAGAGCGTGAGTTAGGCCGGAATAATAATAATTTAAAAAACCAGCGGCGGGTGGGTTGGAGGGGGCGCCACACGGTACCACCCCATTATTTATTGTTTTAAGAAAAAAATCCCGATCTGTTGTTTTGTGCGTCTGGGGGAAAGAGTGGTTGAGTCATCCCTTTTCCTCCGAGAGAACCGAGAAGGCGGAGCCACGCTAATTAATTAATTAATGGATTGATTGGTTTCCAAAATCGGATCTGCAGTTCCACCCGGAGAGGAATGCAGAGGAAAAGAGGAGGAGGAGGAGGATGAATGGCAGCGATTTGGCAGCCTGTGTGGTTTGTTGCCCCAGCGTGTGCACCGATGCGATGGCGGGAGAAGCGAGGCCGCTCCGGGACGGCGTGTCCGCGCTGCCGCGCGTGCAGGAGCGCCGCTGACATCTTGCCGGAGCTGTCCTGTGGGACGCGCGTCCAGGGGGTTTAAAGCGGTGCTGCGCGCTCTCTCTCGCGCGCGTTTGCATTTGTGCATCGGGCTCCTAGATCCTGCTCTGCAGCGAGTAGGCAGAGAGGCCGATCTGCCTGGCGCGCGCACCCTCGCATACAGACACGCATACACACGCACTGCAGTGTCATGTGTATTTATTGGTGGGGCGGGTGTGGGGAGATAGACGGCACGTTTCTTCCGAAGGCGCTAGCCAGCAGCTTCAGCGGCGATGCAGACGGTGGCGAGAGTGCTGCCTCCTCCCTCCTCTCCCGGTTTAAAGGAGGAACGGAATCGCCCAGCGGAGGCTTGAGTCCCTGCCTTCCTCTTATTTTTCTGGTGGAGCCCTTGGCTTTTAAATAGCAGCTTGTGAAGGCTGCTAATTCCAGGAAGGTGGCCGCATCCAGCCTCCTCCTTGCAAGGCCTCCTTGTAGTAAAGCCATTGTTCTCCAGGGTATCTGGCAGAGCTTGGTATCTGGGAAGCAGGCAGATAGGGCATCTTCCAGACTCTGGCTTCTTCATCTTCTCAGGAATGGAGGAGAGAGTCCCAGCAGGAATATAGGAAGCTTTCTTTATGAACACAGTTGGACCCACTGATTCACCACTTTCAGGACCGAGGACCTTGGGCAACTGCCACCGGTCTCAGGCCATCACAAGGGTGTCTCTTAGTTCTGATGCTGAGCATTGGCACTGGGCCCTTCTGTGTTCAATGCAGATGCTCTCCCACTGAGAGCTGCAGGCTGTTCTTGGAGAGAGCAGGCCCATGACTCTGGTGGATGCTGCCTGGCTAGCAGATGTTGCCCCCTACCCATATCCAGAAAATGATCATTGGTGGGGAGAGATATCTATCCAGACAGTCCACAAAGGAAGCTGCCTGGTACCCAGGTCAGAGCACAGATCGTATCATCCTTGCCTTTGGCTTTGAGGCCTGGGGCTGTTGGCAGTTGGAGTCCAACAACACACAGATGGAGGGCACCATGTCTGCCACCCCAGTAGACCATGCTGTCATCACTGCACTGCAGAATGTTGGACTAGACAACCCTTCTCCCTCTAGAATTCTGTGATTCTTTCCTAAGCTAAGTAGACCAATGCTCTGACTTGGTACAAGGCATAAGAATGTAATGAGAGCCTGCTGGATCAGGCCAGTAGCCTATCTAGTCCAGCATCATCTTCTCACAGGGGGCAGTCAGATGCCCAAATGTGAGGGCAACATCCCTCTGAGATTCCCAGCAACTGGTATTCAGTAGCATACTTCCTCTGGCAGTTGAGGTAAAACACAGCCATTGTGGCTACTAGTGGCAGCTTCCTACATGGATGTTGGCTACAACTATGTAATAATCCAGCACCTTTAGCCAGCAGACGGACACACAGAAATGCAAGCAGTTAAAGCTTTTTGCAACACTTGCCTGCGTATCAATCAAAGCTTTGCTTTGCTATTTGCATGCTAGGGCTGCTGTTGAAAGCACAGGAGCACAGCAAAAAGCATTCTTAAAGAAATGACCAACTTACTGGCCTTGAAATCATTATCACATGTGCTGTTGTTCCAGTGACTTTAATAACTGGGGAAGCAATGAGTGTCATGTGTGTTGGAAGTTCAAACTAGATTATTCAGAAACATAAAGCTTTGTAATCCTAGAGCTTGTGCTTGCCTTAAGCAATCTCTCTCTCTCTCTCTCTCCATATATGTGTTGGACCGTATGTCTAATATGCAGGATTATTAGATATAGGATGAAATTGAACTAGGAAGGGGTTGGGCCAGGTCAGTCATGGCAGTTTTGATCTGCTTAGCTTTTCCTTCTATAGTCAATCTATCATTGAACTAACGTACACACAGGCTTCACTTTTTCTAACCAGCATATTAAATGTGGGTCTATTTCTAAATCATCAATGGAACACCACGGCTCAGTGCAGGCTTGGATTTCCCCCCCTCAAGTGCTATCATTTTTTCCCCAGACTCAGCCCTATGGAAGGCATAACAAAATATCAAGCATCTCTCAGCACTTGGCTAGTTTTGTTGCAGCCAAAATTTCTTCTTCCCTGGCCCCTGGCTATGCAGCACTATTGAATGGCCTTTGGATGGGGCCGTGGGAGGGGGAATGGTGTTGCATTGCTGGATATTTAAAAGATTCTGCACCTCTTACATAAATGAAAAAGTGTGATGTTCCCATATACTATATTTTATATGCATAGGTGTCTTTAGAATTTGAATGTCACAGGACAGATGATTTCCCATCCAAATAATCTCAAATCAATGCATTTGCAAATTGCCCCCACCCCCAGATCACTCCAAACCAGTTCCTCTTCAGTTCACTTTACCCCTGATTCATTTCCCAACAGATGATATAGCTGTTCAATTCCTCTTTAATTACACCCTCGTTCATTACCCCCTCAAATCATCTCTAGATAAGGTCATTTTATAGTAATTGATTTTCATAAAGTAATGTCCCAATCACACCCACCCACTCTCTAAATTCAATACCGCCTGAATTCATTACCTACCCAGAGATACCGGGGGAAAGGTTCAGAGTCTGTGGCCCATGGACACCCCTCACCCCAGCAACACCCCCTCCTTTGTACCCCCATGGTTGTGAGGTGTGCTTCAGCAACCTCACCCCACCCACTGCCCTACTTCCTTATCTTTATGTATGTCAATGATGAAGAGCCAGATATAGATGCTGAGATCTACTGCTGAAATGCAGCACTTGCAAATTGCTTTGGCTGAGAAAGGAAGGACTATGGGCTCGCTCAGATGGGAATACACTGGCCTGCCATTGCTCACTGCAGAGATGTGGGATTACAATTTGCATGGCTGGTACTTATCCATATTTGAACACCCTGGCTATATCTGGATTCAAATTTCAACTGAGAGTGCACAGCTATATCTGCTTCTATGCCTTGGTGTTTGAAGATCTGAAACGGAAGCCAATTGGGTTGTCACAACTACAAATAAGGTGTTTGGAGCAAGTGTCCTGTCTCTCACCTTAAAATACTGCTTTTCACAATAGGAGGTGTTCCAATGAGGTCACATTGGGGAAGAAGTTAATTAATGTGCTGATGAGACTGCAGAAAGCTAATGAAGCAAAGGCATTTATAATTAGAAGCCAAATGTGAGTTGCTTTTTTGCAGGAGGGGACAGCCAAGGAGATTTAGCCGGCCTCCAAACATCCCCAGGTTAAGGGAGGCTCGTTTCCCTACCCAGATGCTATCTGGATATGAACAATTAAAGTAAACTGCAATATGCTTTTCCTAGAGCTGGTCTATATGGAGAGAACAATTAGATGTAATATTTTTTCTCAGCTTGTTGGGTTCAGAGAGGATCACCTCTGTGTACCCAAGCAAGGTTTCCCAATCCTCCCTGCACCCTCCAGACATTGTCACAGAGGTGTGCAAGTGTCTTGCACCTCAGTCTGTTGTGGTGCTGCTGTTGTGTGCTTGTGAAAGAGGTATGGCCCTATGACTTTATAGAGGACTCTTTTTTTAAAAAAAATTGTAGCATCTCTTACGGTTGTGAATTCCAGCTCCTCCTTTCCCGCCCGTAATCAAAAGTTGAATCCCATCGCACTTCAGTGCCTCTTGCATGGAACCAAGACTGTGTGTACTACGCTGAGCTCCATGGCAACCCAAAGCCTATTGTGGGGGGGACGGGACACTCAGTTTTTGTGACTTGCATAACTTAAGCATGCTTCTTACATGATTATGGTTTTGCTAGCTGGGAGAGGGAGAGGGGAAGGGCACGAAGGTGCTTCCATAACTTCTGCAAATCTCATTCAGCCTACCCTTTTTGACTACTGATCTCAGCCGATGTTTCCCATGGGTTTTGAGGCATATCTTCAACCGACCAGCATGAGCAGAATGCTCTCACTAGCAGAGACACAACACCCGCAGGTAGAATATTCACATTGTCTTCCATCATCCCCAAATGCAATGCTTTGCAATGGAGCCAGTATCAATAGCTTCATCACAGTGATTTATGTTCCATCTTCAGTAAATGTTAATTTCCCAGGCTTTCAGGTGGGGAAACTGCAGTTGTGGGCATTTGGGTGGCCACTATGAAAGCCAGGTACTGGTCCAGATGGGCGTTGGGGCTGATCCAACTGCAGGGCTTCTCTTACATTCTCGGTGCTCACTTGTTGGTTGTGGAAAGTGGAGAAATCACGCAATGTGTATAAATGTGTGAACCAGGCCTCTGTTAAAGGGGTTTGGCTCGGTCTTGAATGTTCCAGGCTATTCAATGATCCCAGGATGCTTTTTCCTATCCTTGTTGTTTGGCTGCCTTGATTGGGTTATTTCGAGCTCCTATGCCATGTTCTCTGTCTATATCACACTATGATCTGGTCTAGGTAAGCTGATACGTGGTGGGACTTGTGGGGTGAAACGTAGGGTTTCCAGGAACCCTTGCTTTTGTGTACAGATCCATCCATCTGGCAAGTCAGAGTACTGCAGGTCAGAGCAGTGATGTAATCGCAAGCACTGGATTGGCCTTGCCCACCTAGACTGGCCACTGGGGCCTCCTATGTAATTTTATTGTTATTTATTTATATTTTATAACTCGCCCTTACTCCCAAAGGGAGCCTAGAATGACTTGCATGAATCATCTTTTTATATAGAGCTGCATTGCAACATACTACAGACAGAAGGTCAAATCCAGAAGTGTAAGAAGTCCTAAAACTCTTGGCCAAGCGCCTGGATAAATAAATTTTGCAGTCATTGTGTGCTTACTGGTTGTAGGTGAAAAGGTAGGCTGCTTGATTTCCCTCTGGAGGGTATGCCATAACCAAGGTGCTGCCACCAAGAAGTCCCTGTTCTTCATACTAGTCCTACAGATGGAACTACCATCAGGACCTTCCAAATGACAGGTCGAAAGATACAGGTGGAGGTGCTCCTTTTAGCCCTTGACTCCCAAGCCATTTAGGGCTTTGTACAGTAGCATTAACTCAGGAGGCCACCAGCCTTTTGTAGGCCTATGGGCACATTTGGATTTTTGAGCAAGGGTTGTTCTTTCCACATTCCTCTGGCTTCCTCCTCCCACAGATCAGTCCCTGTCTACCACAAGACACAGAAGTGTGCACACACACATATCAGTTTTCTCAAGTGATTGGGGATGGGGTGGGAATTGGAGCCAGTACAATTTAATTTGAGCCTTGAAAAGCACACTGAGCTGACAGAGGAAGTGGGAAAGAGTGTCATCCTGCCCAGGGACCCTCGGCTGAAGGGCGGGTTATAAATACTATTAATTAACTAACTAATAACTTCCTCCTTTAGCGATATGCACTTCTCAAGGGATGAGAAAGGTAGCTACGTTCACTAATTTGTGGCCAAAAAGGCAGTGAGTAAGTGGCAGTGGGTGGGGTTCACAGGCGCTAGGGAAATACTCAAGGGCAACATTACACCCATGGGTGCCGTGTTGCCAACCCCTCTGCTAATGCCTGAATTGGGCCTGGTAGCTCATGGGCAGGCGGTGCATTCGTCCAAAGGTGATTTGATCTCCTTTTACTGCTCCACATAATAACTGGACAGCAGTGACCTAGACCAGAAAGGCTGTTTAAAAAAAAGCATCCTGTTTGGGCTTTTTGCCTGGACACAATTCTACCTGGATCAGGTATGCTGTGATGTGTTCATCACTCCATTCCTTGGCCCTGATCTCCCGCCTCCCCTGAAATGATAACCGGCTGCTCAGTCTTACGGTAGTCCTGTGTCAGAGCTGGGCTTGGATCCAGTGGCTTTTAACTTCCTTCCACCTCCATGGTTTAAAGTTCTGAATTTCTCCAGAGCTGTCTTTAATTCCTCATTCACCTCTAAGCTTTGACTCTCTCACCACCTCTGTGTAATTCTGAAAAAAGACTTTCTATTGATCTCCCACTTCTATGCCAGCAAGAGTCTGGCTTGTACTCAGCTATGAAGTTTCACTCATTTTAAGATCTTCTGTGTGTGTGTTTTTAAAAAAAGAAGCAAGGGGTAGTTTGTTTGTGGTGGTGGTAAGAAAGTCTCACAGGCTAGTCCTCTGAGGACCACTTGGCTGCCATCGTGGAATTGCCCAGAGGTGGCACCACTGAAGTCCAGCACCAGTGCCCCAAATAATCTCTGCAGACCTCATGCAAGATGAGGACCTAATCTGATGACTGGTCAGTACTCTATGACAGGGATCAGAAACCTATGACCCTTTGGATGTTACTGGACTATGTGACCGGCCTGTCCATGAGGCAGACTGAGGTAGCTGCCTCAGGCAGCAAAATCCAAGTGGCCCTTCTGTGGGCAAGTCACACCGCTGCCAGAGAGCAGAGGGGTTTCTTCCATTTTCCTCCTAGGTCTTCAGCACATGTTGACCATATTCCATTTCCTCCTGCCACCGTGAGGACTAGGACCTTACAACTATTTCATTTTTTAAAAAGTAATGTGCCTTAACTTTTTTTTTCTTTTAAAAAGAACCTTATGAGCCATCCAGAAATATCATGGGCAAGAGAATGGGCTTGTGTTGCCCTAGTGCTGGCAGAGAAAAAGGTTGCTGAGAGGGGCTTTTAGCTCTACTACTGGACCTGGATTGTGCGTTTTGAGTTCCACCAATTTGCCTTTTTGCCTCTGTTTCAGCAGATGAGTAAATGTAGAATATCTGGGAATCTATGAGAGTACAGATGAAGTAACCTTGGACTAGATCCTTGGGGTTCCCTTCCAACTCTGCAATTCTGTGATTCCACCCAAGCATTTGATGGCTGCAAAATACTGCCCCAGTGACCTTGACACTTATTAACTTTAAGAGTTTGTGATTGTTTTTAAGGGTTGTACCCAGCTAAGTTCTATTTTTCAGACCTATTTAAATTAATGGACCTAGGTTAGTCATCTCCATTAATGTCAACGGGTCTACTCTTAAGTAGGAGTAGGATTGACTACACCCCTAATTGGTTTAAGTACGTTTTTATTTTTAATTGTATTGTTTTATCCCTGAGGTGCCTGCAGCCCTGTACTACTTTTGGGAGGAAGGGAGGGATTCAAGTTTCATGAATCATCGTCATCATCAAGGTATTGGTGTGCCAAACATCGGCAGTTGCTTGTTCTGCAAAATCCACAAACCGACAGAAGCCTTGAAGGCAACAGGGCGCCTTTTCTTCCTCAGTAAGAAAATGTTGAGAATGTCTGGCGTGAAAGGAGAAAGCGGGCAGCTGGGTGGGAGGCCAAACATGCCTTTTGTCAGGTGTTCTCCTAGGAGATTGGGGTGATCTTGGGAGGAATAGACACAAACACAAAGTCCTGTTGTTTTGCAAAAGCCTCCGGAGCCTTCTGCAAACAAGACGGCCGAAATTAAACTTAGCATTAAAGAGGAATTGGGCTTGGGGGTCTAGAATGGCTCTCTGTGTCATTTATTATCCAAAGACAAGTGACTCATATTTGGTCTCCTAAGTAGCTTGCAATAAATATTTGAGAGACTGCGCTCCTTGTTTCTTTAAAAACAAAACAAAAGAAAAACAAATCTGTCCCCCTCTGCGAGCTCTCTTGGTTTTCTGTTTTAAAGTATCTTCCCCACATGCGCGCACACTCTCTCCTCTGTTCTACAATTAAGAACAATCATGTGTAAAAATGTGTGAACTTGAAATAGCAACTTGAACTGCTGCCATTGCAATCCTGTGCACTCTTTGCAGTGCAACTTACTCCAAAATAAAGTCACACAAGGCGTAGGCCCCTCTGATTCAGATCAGAACTGTGGTGGGGTCACAATTTTAATCCTGTTCACCCTTTTCCTCAAAGGAAGAACTAATGACATTATTAAAAGTGGCCTTTATTCAAGTTGTTCTTCTTAGCCTTGATACCTTACCTGCAGAATGGGGGTAATAATGCTGTCCTCCTTTACAGCGCTGGCATACGCAAAAGAGCCAAGTGCTTTGAACATTAGAAACACGTATAATTATTGTGATTTATATTGCTTTGTACACCTGAAAGAACTTTCTCAGTTAACTCAGTAGGAAATTCTTTTTAGGACCGGGTTGCAAAAGGAGTTGTAAATGTCACTCTGCCACTTTTCCTGCCCACTCCTTAAGCAAGGCTGTCGGGTCTGTTTTGTTGCAAAAGCAGCCTTTTCCCTTTTGCCCATCACTTCTAGACTGGCATCATTACCTGTCTGGTTGCTGTAGGTACTGGCCTGGAGAGCAGGATCTGAGATCAGCTTTTTTCTCTATCCCTCTTCTGTGGCAGTGGCTGAGGAGTGCTGCGCATCTGGTTTGGAAATGAGCCCAAAGAGGGGGAGAGCTGAAGGGCTGGGAGAATCAAATGTTGCAATCGAACAAAGATTCAGCAATTGCAATAGCAGCTGTATGGGGAAGAAAACACTGGCAAGGGAAGTTACCATTTGGAGTCATTCATTTGGGGGCTGAGAAGGTGTCGTTCCACATAAGGAACTGTAATTGACCCATCCTCCGGAAATTAGCTGTCTTTCAAATGTTCTTAATAGGAAGGCATGAAACACACACGCTCACTGTGTGTCACATACATTATGTCAACCTAGACATTTTTTTACAACTGCTCTTTTAGTCTAGAGACGACTCTCTGCCTGCATAGGACTTTCTGGATGCTTCAGGGACCACTTTCTGCATTTGGCTAGGCTGCCATGTGACCCCCATCTGAGCACCCTCAAGGGACAGAGGAGGCAGCCTTGCAATGGGGGAAGGGGCTTTGTAGGTCACCTGGAACAAGCTTCTGCTTGAGATGGCAAACCCAGAGATGGAACAACCTCAGCAGACAGCTGCCTGCTTTCCTCTCTGAAGCCATCCAGCAAAAGCAAATTCACCCCCATCCATTGTTCCATCCATTGTCAAAAAGTTCCTTTTAAAAGTTTGTCCTAATGTGCAACCAAGATCTACCCTATGAAATCTAGTCTTGCCCTCTATGCAAGGACGTAAAGAAGAGCCTACCAGATTGGTCCAAGGGATCCTGTTCTCACAGTGGTGGACCAGATGCCTGCAGAAAGTCTGAAGGCAAGGTCTGAGTCCCTTCCCATCTGTGATTCCCAGCAACTTGCATTCAGCAGCATTCTGCCTCTTGGCTATGGAGGAAGAGCGTGGCCATTGTGGCTGGTAGCCACTGATAGCTTTCTCCACCATGAATTTGCTTAACAATTTGTTGCTTGGCTGATTAAAGGAAGGGGGGCGTGGTTGTGGTTTATAAAACCATGCACAGTGTGGAGATAGTGGTCCCTCATTCAAAGAGTCTGGGCCACCCGGTGCAGCCAACTAGCAAAAGATTCAGGACAGGCAAGATAACGTATTCTTCATACAACACCTTAATCTGTGGGACTCATTGCCCCAAGCTGTGGTGATGGAAACCAGCCAAGATGGCTTTAAGAGACGCTAGGACAAATTGGTGGTGGAAGACCATGAGAGGTTTAGATAGATGGGACGACAGATAGATGGGACCTTCAGGTTCAGAGCCAATGTGTTACTGACTGTCATTTGCTGGAGCGCAACAATGGGAGAGTTCTGTTGCGCTCATGTTCTGGCTGTGGGTTTCCACAGAGGGATTCTGATGGCCACTGTGGGAAACCGGACCTTGGCCCAGATGGGCCTTTGGTCTGATGCAGCAGGGCTTTTCTCATGTCCTGCAGGAACTGTAGACTTAGCCACACAGATGAGAGATACGGATGCATGAAATGAAAACATGATACTCCAGCAAGACTGAGCATTGCCCACTGTTTCTGTGCAGCGGCGATGCCTGCTTTGCCTGTCTGATAAGCCTTGCATTTTTTTATTTGGCAAGGAAGGAGACCCCCGCTGTAATAAAAGGCCCAGCTGAAGAATGTTTCAAGAGCGTGTGTGTTTTTCATTGCGAGTTTTGTCCTTTGGCATCACATAGTCCTGATTGGCAAATGCCTGGTGGTTTGAGACCAGGGCTTGCGGCGTGCTCCTGTTGCTTCTCACACAGTGCCTGGTGTGCTGACACTGACAGGCTGACTTCCTGTCTGACAGTTTTTTTCCACTGACCTTCTAACGAGTGTCACATCGCATGAATCTCCAAGAAACGTGGCCAGATGTCTCCGAGTCGGAGATTGTTAAAGGATTCCTAGTCAGCTGCACAAGAGATGGCAATCTCTGTGTGATTATTTACCAGCAAAAGGGGCCCTTTGCTTTGTGAGTGGGGTGTGTTCAGGGGGCAGAGGTGGATGACTTGGTCAGTTTTCATTTCTCATTTCTCATTTTTGCATTCTGAAGCTCAGCTCACCACATTTTCAAATCAACTTGCAAATTCATTTTATTTATTTTAGGTCCTCACAAAAATTGGTCAGCAGTTCATCTCTCCTAACAGACACACTCCTGTGTGTCATTTTACCTAAAAAACGCATTTTCCCAAGCAGACACAGCTGAAGTGTCTTCACCCCTTTGGCGAGTTACATTGTGTTTCCCTTTGAAATTATAGTCATTATTTCTAAATTTGCATCTATTACACATAAATTTCACATATACAAATCTGGATCCTCTTTTTCTTTTTCTGAAAATGATGATGATGCATTTTCTCTTTTGGAACGGTACATAAGGGGTGACCCTAAGTGGTATTTAGTGATTGATACAACTGAAGGAATGTGTGGGAAGGTTCTGGTTTTACAAGCCCAATTTGTCTTACAACATTGCAGGCTTGGGCTGACCTCTAATGTGTGCTCCTGACCACAGATTACAGGGTAAGGGAGTGTTTCCAAGAATATCTTGTGTATTAGAGGGTGCTTCATACCAGAATGATTTACAAATTACAGACTCTGTGCGCAGTACAGCCACCTCTGGGATGCAGAGTGACATAGCAAGGGTAGAAGAAAAGGGTTGGCAGAGGATGTTGCTACACCTCACAGGTCTTAGTCACAGCCTCTTTTCCGGGTTTGGCAGCCCAGGATACATCCAGGGGCACACACCCCTCCCCTCTAGCTCCCTTTGTCAGCGATTCTCTAACTGCATCAGGCCTTCTTAATGCTCAGCATGGAGTGGGAGGTTTGCTTCGGTTGACTTGCCAAACTTCAGGAAGGTACTCGATGCACTCATTACAATAGTGTGTGGATTTTTGTTTGCACAACAGAACTTCCCCTCTGCATGCCTTGCACCCTTCCCAAGTCTGTTCTGGAGAAGCTGCCAAAACAGGTTTTAGGGGCATGCAGGGGGAGGTTCTGTTGCTCAAGCACAAATCCTTGAACTAAAGGAATGTGCTCCTCAGCATTGCATTGGATACACCCCTTATTTTCCAGCGAAGAAGCCCCTTTGGGTAGCAGAAGGAGCTCGCAGCACATCCAGGCTTTCTGGATTTCATTCATGTGGGAGGAACTCAGTTTGGCTCACATTTAAAGGCAAACCTACCTAATTCACACTTTCCAAAACAATACGCAACTTGAAACACATCTTTTGAAATTTGCACATCTCCCGAATTTTGCAGTGCAGTTCTCCAGTCAAGTAATGAGCACAAAAAAGCATCTGTTAGGGTAAAGTGTGCATAAAAATGCATATGTAAGTGAAAATAACAATATCAAAGGCATTGTAATTAGGAAAATATGCTTTGCAAGAAAAGATATGCGTGTTAATGGAAATTGCCTACCAAAAAGAGTGTGTTAGGGAAAGTTTGCATTAAAGTGCTGGTGAACTTTCATGAGGACTTAAAATAGAAAAGGAGACTAATATGGAATGTGGCTGACTGAACTTAAGACTGGGGAAAATGAGAAATGGAGTGAAACTGAAATTGACAGGTTCACCCAGCCCTTTTCACAAGTTAGGAGCATGCCAGGTTTTGAAACTGACTGATGACTTCCTTCTCTGTTGCTACCTCTGGGTTGCTCCTGAAAACTCACCCTCCTGATCTCATCCTCTGCATTCCCACTTACAATTCCATCTAGTGCATCTGACTACAGCGTTTGCTAGGGCTGGGTGATACCTGGTTTTCAACATCATGTTATATCGCCAGTTAAACATTGTGATATACTGATATATCACAATGTCTGAAATAAGATTGGAGCTATGTAGAAGCATTGGCTGGCTTCAATGCCAGCCAATAGTGGCACCCTCCCTGTGGAACGCCCTCCCACCAGATGCCAAAGAGAACAACTACTACCAGACTTTTAGAAGACATCTGAAGGCAGCCCTGTTTAGGGAAGCTTTTAATGTTTAATAGGTTATTGTATTTTAGTGTTTTGTTGGAAGCTTCCCAGAGTGGCTGGGGAAACCCAGCCAGATGGGCGGGGTATAAATAAATTATTATTATTATTATTATTATTAATGGTTTTTCCCTTCATCGTGATTTTTGCTGGTGCCTTCTATTGTGATTTGCTGCCCCTTGCATGAGGCAGGCGAGAACTGAGCAGGCAAAGTTATCAGGGGCTGCAGAAATCGAGAGAGGCGTTGCCTGGCTTCACTGTTTTTCCCACATTGTGATTTTTGCATAGCACACACACACCATGATTTGCAATATATTGCCAGGTCAAAAATTAGGAAACCAATTTCACGGTATGGACTTCAAACCAGTTTTGGCCGTTGTATCACCCAGCCCTAGCATTTGCTGAAAGTTCCTTTTCTGCACCTGGGCATCCCAATAATCAAGCAGGTAGCCAGGCCCATGATGTAAATATCCACCCACTTCGTCCTGGACAATACCCTGCCTTTTGCCCTGTGTCCTCTAAAATGAAAACATCAGTAGCATTTCCTTGTTTCATAAACAATGAGATGGAAGTGCTGTCCTTTGTGAAGCTGGAGGTCTTTTTGCAAGCAAGAGGCTACCATTGTGATAACTGAGAATTTGTAAGAACTCATAACATTGTAAGTTGTGCTACTGGTCTGTTGTACCAAAGTGGACAACAGAGTCTTGTGGCAGCTTCAGCTTTTTGGGTTCTGCAAGCCTATGTTGCTTTTGTGACAACTTGGTGGAGAAAACAGGTCCTTGATCAGTGATTTTGTTCCCTGAGCTCCGAATTGCAGATTGCAGGAGGCATCTGCAGTTTGAAGTAATAAAAATGACCCGAAGTTCTACTGGAGTCCAGAAGTAGCAGTGATTTTGTGTGTGTCTGTGGGGAGTGACGCGTTGCATGGGCTATTCACATTGGAACAGATAACGAAAATTAGCAGCTTGTGCTGAATATTGTGCTTCTCGTGCAATCTATTTCCTTTAAAATGGTTTTCTAAAAAATGTTTGAGTGATTGTTGTTGGGTTTTTCCTCCTGTAAAACTGGTTGATTAGGTTACACGTAATTGCATTAGTAAAGGAAGAGGCAGCGAGCCATTAAGACAGGTGAAGTAGACTTCTTAAGAGAGAGAAACCTTCCCATCTCCATTACCCTCCCTCCTGCATCTATCTCCCTGACCTCCATTTGCTGCCTTTCTGCTCATCCACAGGGATCCTTGTCTTTAGTGATCACCCCTATTAAATGCACAGGGATGTAGCTATGTGGTGATGCTCACTCTGCCCAAATTACCATTAGTTATCTCTCTTTGGTGTTTAGCAGCCAGAGGAAGAGGGATTTTAGTGCTGAAGGAAGGTTCCTTGATTTGGTTTCATGCTGGTGGATTGATTGAAATGTAAATCCCACTTTTAGCCGTCTAGGTCTCAAAGCAGCTGGCAACAGTCAAAAGTCTATGCTATACAAAATTTAGAATCTAAATGAAACCTCAGAAATGTAAACATAGAGCACCGGAACATTTTCAAGGGAAGCATTCGTGATGCAAAAGTCCCCTGAAATAATACTGTTTTAAACCAGGCATCTGAAATTTAGCAGGGACAGTGCCTGTCTGACTTCTATTGTTTGGGAGTTTGGCAGAGTTGGGCCCAAAGCACTGAAGACACAACTTCTCATTGATTAATCTGAGTCATGGCGGACCACTAACAGTGCTTCCCCAGATGATCTCAGTTATTGACTGCAATATGGTGCAAATGGTGTTTTAAGAAGATAGGAAAAGCCCTGCTGGACCTAGATGGAAAGGGTCCATCTTCTCATCTAGCATTCCGCTTCCCAGCTGCCAAGCCAAATGCTTCTGAGAGGCAAGGTTTGGATGCCATTGCCCTGCCTCAAAGTTGTTTCCTGATGTTTTATATTTAGGGGTCCTACATATCTGCTGTGGCTAACAGCTGCTGATGAGCATCTCTGCCTCTTCCATTGATTTGCCCAGCCATTGAGACTAGTTGCCATCACCACATCCTGTGACACTGGATTCCATCAGTTAGCACCGCCTTCACCCCCGCTGCATTTTGAGCTTTACTCTCTCTCTCTCTCTCTCTCTCTGTGTGTGTGTGTGTTTCTAAATGTTAAAAAAAAGTATGTTTTTATTTTGTTTGTAGCTTGTACACACAGCTTCAAGTGGTGTTCTGGCGGCAGAAAGGCAGGACGGCAATGCTAAATAAATAAGTGTGATTTATTCATTTATCTCTGTATCTCGGCAACTGCCCCAAATTATATAACTCATTTGCAGAATCACAGAAGCTTGAAAGAAGCGTTTTATTTTTATCCTTGCAGGATTAATGTCGCCCTCTTTGTGCGTTGACAGAGGCCTTTGTGTGCAGGTGTTAACTTTTGATGTTTTATTGTATTATTAGATTTCTGCGTTGCATTGCCTAGAGGACTAGGTTTATTAGGCAATGATTTGTTGTAAATAATACAGTTCCACCATGCCGACTGTTCTGTGTACAGCCATGGGCAGAGAGGTGCTAGATCTTAGATGCTGTACCTCTGAGTGAATGTTGTCTGGCTGTGGACCAGGTTTGTCCCTTCTGCCCTTTCATGGCTCTCTGGTCCAGAAGCAGCTTGCCAGCTGGGATGGAGCCACTGTGCTGGCTTCCTGGCAGTTGGATCACCATTGTGTATCAGGAGGGCACAGTAGTGTAGCGGCAAATTCAGAAGTGCAGGGCCCCTTCATGACAGTCGCAGCCACACACCCTCTCAGCCATGCCCCCTTCTAAGTTTATACCGCATTCTAATAATGCAGTCATTGTATGATTATATCATCATCACAACTGGGGATGTATTGCAATGATCTATGCAGATCTCCATGTGTTGCCTTTCACCTGCTGTTTTCTGTGCACATAGATGGGCGGGTGTTTTGGAGTGTCCTGGTATCATCATAGGTTATGTTGTCTGTGCAGTGCTGTTGTATGTAACAAAGCATATGCACCATTCTCTTGAAACTGGAGCGTCTTGTGTTTTCAATGTCTCCCGAAACTTAGCTTTGGAGAATACAGGACAACTTGGTATGCTTCCCAAGTGCCTTCTCCAGAGTGATCCTCGTTGGCTGACTCGCCTCTTTTCACTCTGATTGGCTGCTGTCAGCAGAAAAAGGTGAAAATACTTCTTTGCAGTGGTTCAAAAGCTCTTCTTTCCTGCTGATTGGGCAACTCTAGGATGCTGGAGAGAGACACCTTGCTGCCAAAACCGGTCTCCAACCCCAAACTTACGCACCACTGGGGAAAGACGAGGTGGCATGGAGGTTGTTGTGGAGCCAGTTTGGCACTCCTGCCAGTGCATTTGAACTTCATCGACCTCCCTGCTGTCTCACCCCTCCTCATCTCCCTCCCACTAAGGAAGAGGGATCTGCCTTCCAGGAAGCTAGTACAGAGTCCCCACCCAGTGAGCTGCTTCTGATGGGGCCCTAGCACAAATGCAACCCAACTCTATGTATTCCAGTGCATGATTCCATGTTTCCCCCCATCAGCCTGCCTTGTGGGTAGGGGGGGAATGTGACGTCAAAGGAAGTGTGTCTGAAATCCACTAATGGTGGGCAGAATCTCCTCTACAGGGCTTTGAGAAATATCTCAAGGCATTGCACATTTCAAGTAGTACTTTCTGTGATAGCTCCCTGTCTGAGGAATATTCTCCCACTGGGCACCAACTTTGGCAGTATCCTACCACTTTAAGCAGTCATGGCTTCCCCCAAAGAATCCTGGGAACTGGAGTTTATTAATGCAGGTAACAGCTGTTACTGCTTTAATGTACAGTGTGGAGGAGGCTTTGTCATCACTACGGTGTCAGGCAGCCCCAGACATTTGTTTTCTGGGCATGCTTTTATTCTAACTATGTTTATGTATTTTTAATTGCACTTTATTCTCATTATAAATTGCTTTTTGTGAGAAACAATGCATAAATTCAATGGGCCTAACTTAACCTGCCAGCTTCCAGCTGCATGCTTCCTTGTCCATGTGATGAGAGACCATTTTACTCACTGGCTTCCCCCACTTGGCCTGAGAAACCATGATGGAGAGTCCTCTAGATTCCTCTCATCATCCCTGGCTATGGGCCTTGCTGGCCAGGACTGATGGAAGTTGGGAGTCCCACAACATTTGGAGGGTCACTGCTCGCACCCCAGCAAAAGGGAGTTGCCACTGAGCAGATGATTGCTACTGTAAATAATACAGCAAACAAATAACAGAAATTGGGGAGATTTTTCTAAAGAACGGGATGCAGGGTGCATACCAAAGCAGTCCCTTGTCGAGCAAAAACGAGGGGAGGAAACGAAAGGAAAGAGTCTTGAATCCACCAGAGATCCAAATTTAGCCTCTCATACAATGGATGTGAGCAGGCCAGCGGAAACTGTGATGGACCTTGGCTGGTTTGTCAGTATAGATTTGAAAACAGCAAATTCTTACTGAAGGTCATTTGCTAAGGTCCATCATTGCTGACTCTTGTGACTTTTGGAAAATTGATAGTGCAGCATTCATTTTTCATTATCATCACAAGCAGTTCATTAGCTGCCAGCTCTTTTACTAAGGTTTGTTTGTTTGTTTATTATTATTATTATTATTATTATTATTATTATATTTTTATTTCAGAACAGTGTGGAATGGAATATACACATTTTCTCTTAAATGATTTAAGTTCATAGGGGAGCAGCTATTGCCATCTCTTTGTCCCAATAGGCCTGGTTGGCACATAACGCTGTCCAAGATAATTTAGATCTGCATAAATGTTCAAAGAGGAGAAACCAAAATGATCAAAGAAATGGAGTGGCTCCCCTATGAGGAAAGGTTGCAGCATTTGGGACTTCTTAGTTCAGAGAAAAGGCAAAGAAAATGTGACACAATAGAAGTTTATATATAAAAAAATAAGTTTGGCATGGTGAAAGTGGATCTAGAGAAGTTTATCTCCCTCTCTCACAACACAGGAAGCCCATGGACATCCAATGAAGCAAAATGTTGAAAGGTTTGGGACAGATACAAGAAAGTAGTTGAAGGAATGTCTTCACCTCCATTGTTCTGCCCGGACACTGAGGTCCAGCGCCGAGGGCCTTCTGGTGGTTCCCTCGCTGTGAGAAGCCAAGTTACAGGGAACCAGGCAGAGGGCCTTCTCAGTAGTGGCACCCGCCCTGTGGAACGCCCTCCCACCAGATGTCAAAGAGAAAAACAACTACCACACTTTTAGAAGACATATGAAGGCAGCCCTGTTTAGGGAAGCTTTTAATGTTTAATAGACGATTGTATTTTAATATTCTGTTGAAAGCTGCCCAGAGTGGCTGGGGAAATGAGAGTACCTCTAAACATATATTTTTTTAGAAAAAAAAGCAGTGGGGTATAATTGGGTGGGGTATAATTAATAAATTATTATTATTAGTAGGAGTAGTAGTACTCATTTACACTGCAAACTTGCTCGCCCCAAAAGGCAGTGGTGGCCACCAACTTGGATGACTTTAAAAGAGGATTGGACAAATTTGTGGAGGAGAAGTCTACAAATGGCTACTAGCTACAAGGGCTATGCTCAGTCTCCATGGTCAGAGGCAGTAATGTTTTTGATTACCACTGTGCCGCTTGGGCTTGCCGATCGAAAGGTTGGCGGTTCAAATCCCCACAATGGAGTGAGCTCCTGTTGCTCGGTCCCAGCTCCTGCCAACCTAGCAGTTCGAAAGCACATCAAAGTGCAAGTAGATAAATAGGTACTGCTCCAGCGGCAAGTAAACGGTGTTTCCATGCACTGCTCTGGTTTTGCCAGAAGCAGCTTGGTCATGTTGGCCACATGACCCGGAAAAACTGTCTGAGGAAGCGGACAGACACCAGCTTCCTCGGCCAGTAAAGCGAGATGAGTGCTCCAATCCCAGAGTTATTCGTGACTGAACTTAATTGTCAGGGGTCCCTTTACCTTTACCAGTGTCTAGAAATTGCAGGAGGGGAGAGGGCTCTTGTGCTTGGGTTTTGCTTGCAGGTTTCCCACTGGCGTCTGGCTGTCCACTGTAACAGCTCCTACTCTGGTTCCACAGGTGGAACTTGTTCTCTGGACCCTTCTGTGCCTAATTGGGCAGAGGTGGTGCTTAAAAGATCACAAGGAGATGCCTGGGTTGGGCCAGGACCCCATCTACTTCAGTAGTCTTCCCTGCCCGTGAGCTACCAGATAGATGGCCTTCAGAGGACCACAGATGGGTGATAATGGAGACAAGGGAGGGCCTTCCATGTCAGAGGTAGACCACTCCTGCATGTGGAGTTTTTGACTCACCTGTTTTTTGGTGTGACACTCTCTTTCCTGGTTAGGAGAGCAGTAGTCAGTGCTGACTGTCTGCCCCGCTTCCTCTTTTGCCCTTTTCAGCAAAGTTCTCCTGAAAGCGAATGACCCATATTTCAGTTGACTTTGAGGGAGGAAGAACTCTGGTGCAAAGGATTTCTTGCCTTCATCTGAGCGAGTCAAAGATGGAGATCCACCCACAACCCCAGCCTGGCTCAGGAAGACCACAAACATTTAAACGTGTATAATAATGTACTAAGATGTTGCCGATTAATCCATTGCAGCAATATAAATTAGTTTTGGGTGCATTTGTGTAGGGGAGGTGTTCTGGTGTGCTTTTATAATGGCAGGCAAAATGAGCATATTTAAGGTGAGCTTTCCTTCCAAAAACGGATGGCCTTTTTTGTTCATTTAAATTGTAAGCTACTTGGGCTTTTTTCAGTGTTCAAAGGGCATCCTTTTTCAGGTTTCACTGATATGCACATCTAAACTTTACCATGTAAAAGGCAGGTAACGTAATGTTTGAAATGCTTGGCAGGCCAGATAGCAGCATAGGAAGTTGTGCTATACCAAGACAGGGTAGCTAATTTTATCTGTCCAATCCATCCCAGTTCTGCAAGGAGGCAGGATTAAATCTGCCCCATCCCATCCCTGCAAGGATTTTTAATGGGAAATCCTGAAAACAAATGTGTGTTCAAAGAAAATATATTTCCAAGAAACAGAGGCAGTGCTACTGCAGCCTTCGGACCTTCTCCCAAAGGAATCCCCAGGGCTGTATGTACTGAACTAGTCCCATGATTCAATCTGGGTAGCAATCTGCCTGGATTAAATCACGTGAGTCCATTTAGGAATGTGATTTTGGCAGGTTCCTCCCCCATCTCTATTCCAATCCCTACTAAGAGACGAAGAGGATTGAACCTGGGACCTTCGGCATCCAAAAGATTTGCCGAATCTTGATCACTGCATGTGCAAATATGGTTTCTGCGCAAAAGAAGCCAACCCTGTGCAGGGAGTGATCTCCCTGTCTTTGATAACCCCACTCTCGTTTTTTCAAAGATTAATTGCACCAATAAATATTTGTTATGCGCTTTGTGGCTCCTTGAATTCGCAGGAAGTGTACACAACCTTATCTTCTAGCCGGATAGGTTTACATCTGGGGTTGTTAATTAGAGCTTTCTGGGCTTGCTAATGAGAGCTTTAGGCTCCTTCCACCACCCATCCGAGTGTTTTCCAGTGGGGTGTGCCCAGATCCCTGCATTTAATGTGCAGATTATTCAGAATCAGCATTAATATCCTGGCTGGCTTGCCTTGCAGCCAAACACTTCTGCGTAGAGGCCCAGGGCTGTTTATGTGGTGCAGGGAGTAAAATAAGGAGCTGAAAGGTTGATGTTGCTACAGAGACATGGTTGATTCATGCTCTTTCCCAGCAATTTGCAGCAGAGGTGTGAACCCATTTATTATTATTATTATTATTATTATTATTATTATTATTAATTGAATTTATATCCTACCCTTCATCTCTAAACAGCCCAAGGTGGCAAGCATAGATACAATTTAAAAACAAAGCTAAAACACTCTAAAACAGTTACAATGTTCTAAAAACAAGTACATTTTAAATCCTTCCATTCATACAACCATCTTGGAGGTTGACATAAAAACATAAGAAGTCAGTGACGTGCGGTGAATTTTTTCATAGGGGGAAAGTTAGGGCCAGAGGTGCCAGCTTGTGAGGGCAATGTGGGGGGCATGTGAGCATCCTAAGCCGAGCAGAAGCTTCCCAAGCTTTGGGAAGGAGGTGTCAGGCTTTAATACTTTAATACGCTGATATACTGGGAACATTTAGGGGAATAGCCTAGTCCTGCTGGGCCACTGACTGCATGCCACTAGTAAGAAGGATTTTGCTGGATCCAAGCAAAGGCCTATCGGGTCCAGCATCTTGTTCCTACAGTGGCCAACCATATGTTTCTGGGATGCCCACAAGGAGGGCATAATGATCCCTCACCTGCCCTGACTCTCCAGCGAGTAGCAGTCAGTGTCATGCTGCCCCCAAACCCTTAGCAGTGCATGCAGACGTCATTGGGGGGAGGAGGAGCTATAGGGAATTCCCCCCTCCATGAACATGCCTAATTATCTTTTAAAGCTCTCAATGTCCATGCCCACATCGTGCGGCAGCAACATGCATAGGTAAATTGTGTACTGTCCTCATGGCCGCTTGCACGTCACCAAACAAAGGGGACACAGATTTGTGTAAGATTGGCATCAGTTACATTTGAACATTGAAGGGACGCGGGTGGCGCTGTGGATTAAACCACAGAGCCTAGGGCTTGCCAATCAGAAGGTTGGCGGTTCGAATCTCCGTGACGGGGTGAGCTCCCATTGCTCGGTCCCTGCTCCTGCCCACCTAGCAGTTCGAAAGCACGTCAAAGTGCAAGCAGATAAATAGGTACCGCTCTGGCGGGAAGGTAAACGGCGTTTCTGTGCACTGCTCTGGTTCGCCAGAAGTGGCTTAGTCATGCTGGCCACATGACCCGGAAGCTGTATGTCGGCTCCCTCGGCCAGTAAAGCGAGATGAGCACCGCAACCCCAGAGTCGGTCACGACTGGACCTAATGGTCAGGGGTCCCCTTTACCTTTACATTTGAACATAAGATGTTGCCTTCAAATAAGTCAGACCGTTGGTTCATCTAGCTCAGCTCTGTCTACACTGGCTGGCAGTGGTGCTCCAGGATTTCAGAGAAGTTTCTCTCCCAGACCTACCTGGAGGTGCCAGGGATTGAATGTGCAGGCACAGCAGATGCTCCAAGCCTTCGCGACGACCCTTCCTCCCAGTGTTAATTTGGACGCATAGATACAACTTTAGAAATAGCTATTCAAATAGAGATATAATACCTGGAGGAGAAGGCTATTGCCATGGAGAAGAAGGCTCTCATTGGCTGCTAGCCGTGAAAGTTCTGCTACGCCTCCACTAATGGACACAGGAATGCTTCTGAAAACCAGTTCCTAGAGACGTCTGGAGGGGAGAGGGCTCTTGTGCTCAGATTCTGCTGGAGGTATTCCTATTAGGGCATCTGGTTGGCTACTGTGAGAACAGAATGCTGGACTAGATGGGCCATTGACCTGACCCAACAGGGCTGCTGTTATGTTCTTATGTTCATTCTCCCCATAATGAGGAGTACTAGAAACAGTTGACCTGCAGGTCTCCTCATTCCTCTATTCAGGTGCTGGCCATCGATGGGCAATTTCTAAACCTCTCCTCTTCTCCCATATTATTATTATTAGACTTAACATAGACCAGATGACCATTCAAACAGAAGAATGTCCTCTATAAAGAAGGGTGAATAGGCACCAAACCTGCCAACCAGTTTCATCGGAAGATCCTAAGCTCTAGTACTATTTGAGAATGTGTTGGGGCTGGTTTCTCCATACCACCCATAACAAGATTGGTTCGCCCCAGAAATGAATTGATTCAGTGTGGCAGTGCCTGTGGGGTTTTTTTGGCCAGTGAAGCCGTCAAAGGAAGAAAGGAAATGTGGCTTAGAACCCCTTGATAATGAGCAGCAGCAGTTGCCTGTCATTGGGGGTTATTTTGTGTCATTGGTAATTGTCAGCCTCAAGGGAAGGAGGCTATAATTAGCATGTGTGTTTATCAAAGAGGGAAAATGGTCTTTAAAAGATTGGGTGGCTTTTGTTGTTCACTAAATTGCAGGAGCAGATGGCGCGTGCTTTAGCAAACCTCCCCCTGAGGACCTTCTGTGATGGGTCTGGTTTGTATGAACTGGGAAGGAGGTGAGGCTGGACTGTACTTATGCTTGGAATGGGCAAATCAGTCAGTCTTTGGCCCACATCCATTATGTATGTGTTCGATGCTAAGTCCATTCTGTCTCTTTTCCCCAAGTGAGCCAGTGGGAGTATCAGACTAGGACCTAGGAGACCAGGGTTCAAATCCTCACTCAGCCATGAAGCTGACTGAGTGAACTTTCTCGGCTTAACCTACCTCACAGGGTTATTGCGAGGATTGTACGAGGGGGAGAACCATGTATGGCACCTTGAGCTCCTTGGAGAAAGAGGTGGGATACACTGGGCAACAATTTTTTACTTTTTGAATGTTGTCTAGATTTCTACAACTGATTTAGGGTATTTTTGCACTGCTGAATCAGGAAATGGCATCTGTTTCTCTCCATCAGGTCAGGTTTACTGTAAACTGAATGGTGGACATTGATAAAGGTAAGTACACGTAAATTGCATGTTGCTTCACCATTTTTCAAACTTCAGGGCTTGAACTTCCGTTTCTTGGAACTCCTGGAATGCTCAGCGGCAGGGAGGTCTCTCTTCAGAGTCCAACAGTAGTCAGCCATCATGACTGCGTCCCAGCGACCCTGATACCTGGTCTCCATCTCTTTCATGTCCTGATGGAATCTCACCCTGCTCGTCACTCATTGAAGCCAGGTTCTCAGGAAACCAGTCCATATGTGAAAATAGGTAGTGCATCTTGACGCTCATGTTGCAGCCCAGGTTTCTGAAAGCAGTCAACATGTTGTTGACAAGTTCTGCGTAGTTTCTGGCCTTATTGTTGCCAAGAAAGTTCTTCACTACCAGAACAAATGCCTTCCACGTTTCCAGTTCCACTTCGTTCATTGAGTTTCCGAACTCTGGATCTCTGATGAGCTGACGGATCTGAGGACCGTCAAAGATGCCAGCTTTCAACTTCTCCATGGTCAATCCTGGAAAAGCCTGGCACAAGTAAGTGAAGCAGTCACCATCCTTGTCCAGAGCTTTGGTGAACTGCTTGATTAAGCCGAGCTTGATGTGCAGCGGTGGGAAGAGTATTCTGTCTCTGTCCACCAGAGGGTTGTTGATGACGTTCCTTTCTTTGCAAGGCACCAATTCCTCCCACACAGGCCAGTCCTTCTTCGTGTAATGCTGAGCACGGTCCCTACTATCCCACATGCACAGAAAACATGGGTACTTGGTGAAGCCAGACTGTTGTCCCAACAAAAGTTCACCATCTTCAGGTCAACACAAACAAACCACTTATGCTGATCATAACCAATTTTCTCCAGCACATACTTCACCGCTTCATAGTTCTCCTTCAGTGTAGTCGAGTGAGCCAGGGGTATAGAGGCAAACTGGTTGCCGTTGTGTAGCAGAACACATTTCAGTGATCGCTTGATGCTGTCAATGAACAGTCTCCAATCTTTGGGTTCTTACTGTGGCACTCCAAGCTTGAGCAGAAGCTGCGCAATATCTGCACAGTACACCAAGTCCTCTTCCGAGAAAAAACAGAAGTACTCTTGATGCCTGTTGCGGAAGAAGCTGATGCGAGCACTGTCAGAGAGGAGGTTTTTTTCCTTCAATCTGGATGCCAACAGTTCGGCAGAGTCCTTTGACAAGCTGAGGTCGTGAACTAGATAATTCAGCTCCTTTTGGGAAAATGGATGTGGAGCTTCATCTTCAAGAACCACTTCTTCTTCTTCATGTCCTTCAACACTGGAGGCATCTTCGTCACTAATGTCAGGAAGTTCTCCGAAGATAGGCACTGGAATTTCATCACAATGAGCTACAGGACGACGTGCTGATTGAAGATCAGGATACTTGAGGCTGCTCCAGTTCTTTCTGTTGATCCCACCAATTTATGGAGCCGCACCAATTTATGGAAGATTTCGAGGTTTTATGACTTCAAACTGATCCCTTTTCGACATAATCACCCAGAATACTTCTTGTCATTAAAATAATCATTTCCAATCAAAACAATTATTCAACATGGCATTTTACCCCCACCAACTTCTTCTAAAATGCTTCACACAAGCGTACATGTGAACAAAAATGTAAAAAAAGACATGTGCCCATAGCTCAAAAACTTGACCTGCTTGAGCAAAACCAATGTGATTTTTGGATTCAGCGCATCAGATTCAACTGGAAAAATGCAGACAACAAATTTGTTGTTGACCAGTGATATCAATGCAATAAATAATAATAAAAAAAAACTACACATAGATAATGTCTTTTGTCACAGAAAACAAATTTAAATACAGTGGTACCTCGGGTTAAATACACTTCAGGTTACAGACTCCACTAACCTAGAAATAGTACCTCGGGTTAAGAACTTTGCTTCAGGATGAGAACAGAAATTGTGTGGCGGCGGCACAGCTGCAGCGGGAGGCCCCATTAGCTAAAGTGGTGCTTCAGGTTAAGAACAGTTTCAGTTTAAGAACGGACCTCCAGAGCAAAGTAAGTACGTAACCAGAGGTACCACTGTATGCATTTTTATCTCAGTGCACAGATTCCTAAATGCATGTTATTTTAAAAAATATTTTTTTAACACACTTCGATAATCTTTTTAGCTGTGTTGCGAAATTCTGAGGTGTCCACATTCCAAAGGAAGGCCTACTTGTTGGTTTAGGAGATGCAAACCAGTTCAGTATGGATTGATATTCATAGGTGCTGAATTCAAATGAAGGTTCATTGCCTTAAGTGGTCACAGTGAAGAACGATGTCAGCAAAATGGGTGACAAACCACCCTTCCTCACAGCCTTACCCTTTGCCAAAGAGTCTTGCCCAAGTAGCAGGGTCCTCTGGCTGTGTCCCCCTGACACCATCAACCTTGGGGTCCCACTCCTCAGTGCTTTCCTAGGTCTTTATAAGCTCCAAAAGCCGTCTAGGATGCTAAACAAAACACACACACTTCCAGGTTCCTAGGGCCGCTACCTTATCACAGGGAAGCTGCAATTGGTAGAGGGCTGGGGATCAAGAACTGTGATCCTCCCACTTCATCTTCTCCAGGAGAAGGAGATGTTCTACCACTGAGCCATTCTGACGGCATCCATCACTGTCCACACCAAAAGGGACCCTAGAGAACATTTAGCTGTATCCTGCCTTAGAATAAAGTAGCTAAAATGTGTAAAGGGACGTAAGAAAATGCTTCTTATATTGTCCATCTAGCTCAAAATTTGTCTACCCTGAACTGGCATCAATTATCCGGGATCTGGGACAGAATCATTGTGCGTTATTTGCTATCTGAGCCTTTAAATTATACACACACCCACACCCTGGAGATATCAAGGACTGAACCTGTGTCGTCCTGCATGCAAAACATGTGCGATCTACCACTTTCCAATAATCCCCATTTGTAGAGGTGGAGAACATGTGGCCCTTCAGATGTTGCTCCCATCATCCCCCAGCAAGGATGGCCAGTGATGATGGGACTTGTAGCTGCCGGCAGCCTCTCCCACTGCTCAGTCATTGGACTGTGTCTGTCTTGCTCTTCTGAACTCAGTCCAGTTTGTGGGATGATTGAGAGGCGCCAACAAAGACGAAACCTCCACAGTTGCTATGAACCTGGAGGAATTAAAAGACAAAGAAAAGAAAGAAAGAAAACCGGTTGACAAGCTGTCCCAGGTTTTGGAACGCTGCCCCTTCTTAGTCTGTTCAGTGCTTAATTGCAATATACATGTATTTGGGTAAATTACTGAAACTAAGTTATTTCCAGCTGTGTGTGGGAGGTGGAAGGGAGCCAAAGTTGCTGCTTACAGAGAGGCCTTTGCTTTGTCATTTGTTTGGTTTGGTTTTTTTGTTACAGCTTTTTTATTGGGGGGAATCTCTCACACATGCACTCAGTCTCTCTCTCACTCACAGAAAGAGAGAGAGAGAGAGAGAATACATTTCTTCTATAGATAGTCCATTAGGGCAAATGGGGCCCTGCCCCACCAATGTCAGTCTTCCATCAACCAGCCCATATTCTTACTTACCTCCAGTCCAGCGTGCAGCACTTGCTATCTGAGTCCTTATCTGTCTCAGTGTTGTCCTTATAGAACTCAGTAGGGAGGAAGAGGATGAGGACAAAAGTAGAGTTGGTTGGCTCTTCTGCCTGTCATTAGCTCTGGCGCCACCTACTGTTGGCCTCCCTGCCTTTCCCCCCAACAGGCACCAGCCACTACTAAGTAAGCAGGGACACAAAGGCAGAGGGTTAACAAAAACCTCTTGGTTGTTAAAAATGAATTGGCTTTAAAAGAATTCAAACTATTATTAAAATCAGCACTTGAAAATATGCATTATGAACTGAACTGCATATTAAAGTACACAATATCCATTGTAGCTCCATTAAGATCCAATGCAGCACCGAGTGAAAGTCACTTAGGTTATGCTTATTTCACTGGCAAAATGGTTTTGCGCCAAGAGGACGTTGTTGCAGAAGAGAATGCATAAGCAGTTCACTGTTGTGCAGTATATTGCACGATCTGTTGTGCAGCGAGTTTCCACAAGCACATCTGTTGCACTGGACTCCTCTGTTGTGCTATGTTCAAACTCACCCGCTCTTGTGCTAGCAGACAGAGAACATCAGATACAGCCCTATGTTCCTATCCAGAGGTATTGTACCCGGGCAAAGCAGCTCTCATAATGAGTTAACGATACACTAAAATAATTGTCACTGGAGAATGGCACGACAAAGAGCTGCCGTAACCAAAATACATACCAGGCTGCCGGTTTATAAGAACAATGTAGCTATTGTGTTGCAAAAGCAGAACTTGGCGCCCAAGCAAAGACTGAAAGAGAATAATGTTTTGTTTATTACGGAAGTGATGAAATTTAACAGAAGCTTGTTTTTCCTTTGGTTTCCACCCCCCCTTCCTTTCCCTGAGACATGTTTATTTCCATTGCTGAATGTCGAATGCAGACTTAGATGAGAGGAAATGGATTGTTTCTTCAGTGGTGCAAATTTTGGAATCTCACACTGCGAGTGTAGGATCCTCAGTCCTAAGAAAGATGCATCCATGAAGTGACCTGCACCAGCCAAAACTTTATCTTGTACCGAACCTTTTCTCAACTGTTTAACTGAATTGGCAGGCAGCTTGGGATCATGCGGTCAGGTGCTCCACATTGCAGTGTCCCTGACTGTGCAAAGCTCACATGTGGGGTGAACCTCTGGGAGCAGGGCTGGACGCAGCATTCAAAATTCACCAGGTTCCAGGTGCATTTTGCACCTGGTTATCAGTCACTTGCGACCAAGTGAAGATGCTCAGGAGCCAGGATGGCACCTGATGCTTCCACCATCTGGAGCTGCTTGCCTGGGAATCCTTGGATCTTGACTGCTTTCAACACATCCTTGTAGAATTCTGCCTTTGATAGTCTATCTGCACAATCGGAACGAATTTCAGGAACCAAAATGCCGTACTGAAAAATATAACTTTCACACCATCTGACCCCCAAATAGCAACTAGACATTCCATTTTGGCAACGGTAACCCTGGTTTAAGGAGCCATGGTTTCAGTTGCCAAAACAGAATGCCTTGTTACCGTTTGGGGGCCAGACGGCTCTAAAGTCCTGTTTTTCGGCACAGTTTTTTGGTTCCTGAAATTCGTTCTGCTTGTGCAGATAAAATATAACAGAAAGAATTCTACAGAATGTGTTGATAGTCTGCAAAAACAGTCAAGATCCAAGGACCCCCAGTCATGCACCTTAAGTCGCAAGGGACCGATAACCAGGTGCAAAATGCGCCTGGCAAATTTCAAATGCTCAATGTGCCTGCTAAGCATGCCCAGTTTTGCGGGGGTTTTGCGCTTCTACAAATGAGGCCGAACATGCTCCTCACATTCCAGGATACAGTGGTACCTCGGGTTACATACGCTTTAGGTTACAGACCCCGCTAACCCAGAAATAGTGCTTCAGGTTAAGAACTTTGCTTCAGGATGAGAACAGAAGTCGTGCTCCGGCGGTGCGGCAGCAGCAGGAGGCCCCATTAGCTAAAGTGGTGCTTCAGGTTAAGAACAGTTTCAGGTTAAGAACGGACCTCCGGAACGAATTAAGTACTTAACCCAAGGTACCATTGTAGTGTTCTAAGGGGCTACATGAGGATTCGTACTTGGAGAATAAATCTTCCTTGGTATAGAATAGCTTTCTCGAACCTGGATCCTTCCAGATGTTTTGGACATCTCCCATCACACCTAACCATTGGCTCTGCTGTTTGGGGGTGGCGGGAGTCATTCCCCAAAACATCCAGAGAGTCCCAGGTTAGAGAAGGTTAGTATTTAGGATTTCCTGACACGAATCAAAGGTTCACTTGCATAGGATTTCTTGGTGGAGTCCCCTTCAGGCATTGACTGGACTTGGACCTGCTTGGCTATAGGGAGGTTGCTTCGCCATCTACCTCCCAGATTCCGCTTTCAGACCCAGCGCTTCGACGTTAACTCCAAAGTATCCTCGAATAGACTAGATTCCTGCCGCCGCCACCTCTTTAAATCTGGAACTCCTGATGGCCCCATTCTTAAAGTTCATCCTCACTGATAACGCCTTGTAAATTTGAAATTCCGCTCGCCCAGCAGCCCCGCTGAATGTCGCTCACTTGCATGCGCAAGGCTGGGCTCAAAGTGCCCATGAAATAATGTTGGCAGTAATTAGTTGGGTTAACATCACCAGCGCTTACTGTCTGCCACCTGGGCACTCCAAACAGATTTACCACCAGGAAAGAAGAGGTGCGTTTGTTGGCAGAATGTTTGGGAAAGACATGAATCTTGTTTAAGGATATGGTGTTGAGTGGCACCCTGAATGGGGCTCTTGTTTTCTCCTTTCCACCAGCGCTGCCTTCCTGCTGCTTCATGCCAAATTTGAGACAGTCCTCCAGATTTATCGCGTCAAGCAAGCATTCTTATCTGCACCACACAAGTTTCTCCAAAGCAACAAGTTTCCGTGCATACAATGCAAATGCTTCCTTCTCCTCCTTCTCCAGCTTTTGACCCTGTTGAGTTGGCTTTTCTAGTTTGCATTTAAAAAAAGAAGAAGCAAACTTTAAATAATAATAACTTTTAAAAGCCTATTTAGTAGGAGGAGAAACTTTTTCGTTGATTCACTTTGCGTGTGTTTACTACTGTTCGTTGACTTAAATATTTTGATTCTTGCGATGGTTGCAGAGGATATTGGGCACATGCACACCATACATGTAAAACGCTCTTACATCACAGTTGTGGCTTCCCCAGAAGAGTCACAGGAACTATAATTTGGTAAGGGTGCTGGGAATTGTAGCTCTGGAAGAGTCTCCTAACAACTCACAGCACTCATAACCTGAGGATTGGCTATGCTAAGATAGTCATGATCTCTCTCCTTCTAATTGATTCTTACGCACTTGAAACCAAACCATGGTTTAGTGTGCACAAGCAAATGTTTGGTCTGCTGGAGCTCTCTCAGGGCCACTTTTCTCCTCCCTGGTCGTTCTGCTGCTGTGTCACATAGAACTAAGCCACTAGGCTCATAATCCATGCTCTCTTCAGACAAACCATGAGCGGTTACCAAGGTTTCATCTATGGTTCACAACTCCTGGTTTGTTTGGGAGAGCTAAATCACGAGCCAAGGTTCAGGCAACAGACTAAGCCAAGCCATGGTTTATCTCAGCACAGCCCAGCAGCAAAATAACCAGAGAGGAGCAATGCAGCTGTGATCTCTTCAGGAACCCACACATTTCCTTGTCTGCACTAAACCATGGTTGGTTTATTTCCTGCTTCACACTGAGCCATGGTTTGACTTAGAACTGTGTGTAAACTGAGCCAAAATACCTGCACTTATTTGATCCAAATACCTATAGATTAGAAACCTTGGTTTGTGTGTACAGGAAATGAGTAGGCATAGCACAGGACTCTTTGTGTGTATTTCCTCACAGCCTGCATTTCCGCACAAGGAAGAAATTACACTTCTTAGAGAGCTGTAGGTGGTGACATCTCAAGGCTACATGCAAACAAGTTCTGATTTGCACCATAAAGCCGTCTGCATCATGAATAATTTTAGACAGAAAAACCTTTCTGCCATCATCCTCTGTTCCAGAGCCAAAAGGAAGTGTACTATGGCAACCAAATTACATCTCCCTCTGCCTGTATCCCTAAAGGTACTGCTTTTTATTTTTTAAAAAACATGCCTGATTCAGAATGCGTTATTGCATACCCTGCCGTTTGAGGGCTTATCTCTCTTTCATTAAAAAAAATAAAAATGAATCTATTTCTGTGGAAATGTCTGCATTAATTGCTTCGCTCCTGCAGCATGCACACTGCTTCGTTGATTCACATATTTTGTTCCGAAAAAGAGAGGGGATGTGTGGCAATTGCATAGCCCCCAGTAATGCCCAAGGTTTATTTGCCAAATACAAATTTGTAGCTCAATCCTGCAGTGAGCTGCAAAAAGCAATAAATAAGTTACTAAAAATGGATAGGTGCAAAGAACCTTAAGAAATGTCTTATCTGAACATGCCTGAGCATTAAGATCCACATTAGAACCCTTTACGGGGCTGTTGGCAGTCGTGGTCCAAAACACCCTGAGGGCACTCGGTTGAGAAAGGCTGTGTTAGATGGGTGCAGATGGACAGGGCCTTTTTGTGGTGGCCACGGAGCATGTGCAGATGTCTCCCAGGTTCCTTCTTTGATGGATGGATGGATGGATGGATGGATGGATGGATGGGTGGCTGGCAGGCAGGCAGGCAGGCAGGCAGGCAGGCAGTTACTGCCTGCTTTTTACAGCAAGCATTTGGCCTCTATGGCTGGATTTTTAAAATAATAATCTATCAATGCTGTGTTTGTTTCTGTGTTTGGATATCATGGGGGTGAGTGGGTGTGTTGCATTTTACTGCTTCTAATCTCAACGAGCTGCTTTGTATAGCAAAGTAGGATACAAATATATTGAAATTAGGAAATGAATTGAAGGAATCAAATACTTCTTTCCAACGCATTATTAGGACAACCCCCCAGGCTGTGGAATTTCTACCCCACAGAGCTGTGTCTGGCACCTTCATTTTGTAGTTTGCATGGTATGCTGAGAAACACCTGAGAGAGAGAAATATTTTAAGACCCACTCAGTTCTTTGGACTGTAACTTATTTTAACTGTTTCAGGTACTGTATTACCAGTCACAACGGCAGGCGTTTCATTTAGTTAACAATAATGAGTTACTTTGTACAGGGTCAGGGGTGGCTTGGATTGGATAGAAGTGTCCCTCGTTCAAGCCCTGATAGCCTCCACCTGTGGAATGATGCCAGTATCACTCTGCTGACATGGAGCTCTCCTTTCTGACCGCTGAATGTGTGGGTGGCAGATGCTCCAAAACTGGGCATTACAGGGCAGTGAGGCTGAAGGGCTGGACTGGCCCTGGATCCACTGCATCCAAAATCAGCAGCACCACTGTCAGTGTGACAGCATTGAGCGTGATCACTCTGCCAGCTCCAGGCTGGCACAGCCATTTGTCTGTTCCACCCCCTTCTGTGGATGCAGTTAAAAAGGTAAAGGTAAAGGACCCCTGACAGTTAAGTCCAGTTGTGAACGACTCTGGGGTTGCGGCGCTCATCTCGCTTTACAGGCCGAGGGAACCAACATTTGTCTGCAGACAGTTTTCCGGGTCATGTGGCCAGCATGACTAAGCCGCTTCTGGCGAAACCAGAGCAGCGCACGGAAACGCCGTTTACCTTCCCGCCGGAGTGGTACCTATTTATCTACTTGAGCTTTTTTTTGCGTGCTTTCGAACTGCTAGGTTGGCTGGAGCTGGGACCGAGCAACGGGAGCTCACCCCATCGTGGGGATTCAAACCTCTGACCTTCCGGTTGGCAAGCCCAAGAGGCTCAGTAGTTTAGCGCCACCCGCATCCCCTTGCAGTTAGGATAGTGCAAGAAGATGCTTTCTGGATGGGGTGAAGCTGGGATGGGATGAACAAATTCCTATGCCCCACAAATACCCCAGAGATGCATTTTAAATAAAAGGACACATTCTACTCATGTAAAAACACGCTGGTTCCTGGACCGTCCGTGGGCCTGATTTAGGTTTGCCTACCCATGCTCTTGGTGAATGAAGAACCTGCTTCTGAATCAGAGCTTGACTTTGTCTGCTTTTTGCTTTTTGCTGACTCCTGGAACAGTCCTTACTACTGGGTGAGTCATCCCTTCTCATATCAACAAGATGACACGTGAGTAAGCAATTAGCACATCCTTCCCAATTTAAGTCTCGCCTCCTGGTTTTAATGAGACCAGAAAAGCACTTGGCTGAGAATGCATCACTCTATGACCTTTCTTATGGCAATCTTTGCTCCATCTCAGTGTTTTTCAAGGTTCACCTCCTGTTCTCCTTTCTTTCCTTTCCTTTTAGATTCCCCCACAGCTTTCTTTCTTAAAATATATAATTCATTTGCAGCATTATTGGTGGGAAGTGAAATCATATTAAGTGTGTCTTTACAGTGTTTGTGAAAGGACTTGTATAAATAGGGCCCAAGTAGGAGGACTATAAGATGCAGCCGCAGAACTGTGAATTAAGTGGCATGCAGTATGTTTGGGAAATCTCTGGTTTTCTGCAGGAAGCCTGATCTGCACATCAATTTAAGATTGCGGGGGGGGGGGGGATGAGGAACTGAAATTGACAGCCGCCCATCTCTCATTGAAAGATTCTTATTCCTTTTATTTATTTATTAAAAAATGTCTATCTTCCACTTTTCGTGGAGAAAAAAGCTATTTACAATGACAGTACATAAAACCATACAATTAAAACTACATGGAATGTTAATAACAGATGAGTGCAGAAGCTCAGTCCTTATTCTGGGAAGTGTAGTTTGTTACCTGTGCTAGGAATTGGGGCGCTGTGAGGGGGAAACTACAGTTCACAGCAATCTTTGGGGAAATCATGTGCTTTAGATATACACTGAATGTACTTTAAATATATGGTCATTATATGTAAATATATTGTCCAGTAGCATCTTAGAGACCAACTAAGTTTGTTCTTGGTATAAGCTTTCGTGTGCATGGTATGTGAAGATGTGTGCATGCACACAAAAACTTATACCGAAAACAAACTTAACTGGTCTCTAAGGTGGTACTGGGCAATTTTTTAATTTTTAAAATATATTTCGACTGCGTCAGACCAACATGGCTACCTACCTGAATTTAAATATATGGTGCAGGTCTGCCCTCCCTCATTGTCTGCAAGTTTGAGCTGTTTGCAACTATGGCCAGTTAATCTTCCTAGTACAGCTAAGGACTGACCATCTTCACTCATCTTGCAATTTGAGATGGATGGATGTCAATTTCAGTTCCACATTTTTCCAATGTTTAATTCAGTTCATCCCCATTTCTGCATAGTTTGCATCTTTTTTAAAAAAAATAGGCATGACAATTCCTGCATAGTTTTGTGTGCATTCCTCCTTTAATACACCCCCCCCAGTTTTCCCTAACATCATTCTTTTGCTGTCATTCATTTCCAGTAATGTACAGTGCCTCTCTTTTCTGCAGTCTTTCCCCTCATTTTGCTTAGGGAACTACATTGCAAAATTCAGAGGAGTGTGAAGTTTCGAAGGATAGCTGCCTTTCAATTTGCGAAATGATTCGGGAAGTGTGGATTTAGGATGGCTTGCATTAAAATGCAAAATGAGTGACTTCTCACATGCCTTCTTATGATAAAGACACACTTAGAATTCAGTGTGGTGTGAATGGCTTCAGCATGGCTGTCCCACTAACTACCATGTGCCTGGTGGGGTTGAGTCTATTCTGTAGCTCTGTGAGAGTTTCTATGGCACTGGGAACACAATTCAGTTTTATGAGCATCTCTGCTCCATTTCACTTCTAATTTCAAAAAGCAACTCATAAGTTGACAATCCCATGTGCGTTTAAGCCTAGCAAGCAAGGTTCCAGGTTTAGGATTGTGCCACCACTTTCTCCCCACTGCATTCCTGATTGGAAGGGGGAGTGCGTCCCTGCAATTTCCTTTTGAAAAGCCACCCACGCAAATGCTGATTGTACAAAAGGTATCTGGTCCCATCTGACCTATAGCACTCCATCAGCTGATTACAGGATCAAAGGTGACACCAATTCAGATCGAAGCTGGTTTGGGTGAGGAAAACACACCAAGATGCTGTATTTCATGAGAAACGGTAGGTTCAATATGGATTGTGGCTAATGTTTTGTGTTCGCTGTTTCCCAAACCAGTGGCGGCAGTGCGCCAGATGAACACAGGAATGCGTATATAGCTTAAGTCATATAAACACCCATCCTCAGTGTTGGATCTTCAGTCCTGAGCAACTTATCTGCTGGGTGAGAACCATGCAGACCTTAGTCTGTACCTCCAGTGTAGTGTGGAGAGCCAGTGTGGTGTAGTGGTTAAGAGCGGTAGACTCGTAGTCTGCTGAACCCGGTTTGCGTCTCCACTCCTCCACACACAGCTGCTGGGTGACCTGGGGCTAGTCACACTTCTCTGAAGTCTCTCAGCCCCACTCACCTCACAGAGTGTTTGTTGTGGGGGAGGAAGGGGAAGGAGAATGTTAGCCGCTTTGAGACTCCTTCGGGTCTGTAAAGCAGGATATCAAATCCAAACTACTACTACTACTACTACTCCTCTTCTTCTTCTCTATCCTTTGGATCTTGCCTGGCTAACTATTAGGGTGACCATGTGCCTCATTTCACAGCAGTATCTGGAGGACCACAGGCTCCCCATCCCTGCTGTGATGCCAAGTCCTTTAAATAAGTTCCAGAAAAGCATGATGTGTAATCATTTTGGCCTTGCTTTTGTGACTCTTCCAGAGAACAGAACTTCCTCCTAGCAAGATAGTTCCTGATTCTGCCCCCACCTTGAATCTTTATAAGAGGGGCAAACGATTCAGCTGTGAGTCAGGGTAAGAATTAGGCTCGACACTGAATCATCCCCAGACCACTTCCTGCACCACCATTGCTTCAAAGTGCTCTGTTCCATATGCTGGCCTGGCTGGCCTGCTGTTAGCTTGCACCGTCTGAGAGAACCTCTCCTGGGGAGGGCCTGCAGTGCTGGTGTGGTGGTATGTGTGACCCTGGGACCACTCTTTGTCATCTCCAGCTACAGTGGTCTTGGCTAACAGGACGTCTACTAGAGACCCCAGAGAGCTGCTTCCAGGAGCAACTGGATCAGAGATGGAGGACTTGTGGCTCTCCTGGTGGCATTGGACTACAAGTTCCTGACTCTTGGTCATGCTGGCTGGGGCTGATGGGAGTTGGAGTCCACCACCAACTGGAGGACCACAGGTTCCCCATTCCTGAACCGTATGAACAAGTGGGCTGCCTTGGCATTAAGGTGGCTTCATCTGCAAGGTCACCCAAGAGCATCCTTAGTCAGGGTTTGTTCCCATTACTGCGTCCTCTGCATCCAGCGCTCTCCCACTTCTACTTTTCGAAGCCACGTTCACACCACATTAGCCACAGTCCATGTCAATTCAAATGGTGCTGTTCAGTCGTTGCACATGCTTAGATGGGCAGGCATGCACAGATGACAGCTTCATGAATAGGAGATCTGGGGGAACCAAAAGCACCATGAAGCTGAAAGGTTCCACTAGGACAAACCATGTATTACCCTTGGACATAGCGACATTTGTACAATTACCTTCCTTCCTCATTCCTCGGATCTTCTACTTCCTTCTTGCTGTGTGAACACTTCCCTTTCCCACCCACCCAGTCTCTCAGCTTTGCCTTTTCAGCAGCCAATCTCTAACTTCCCTCTGGGATATTTTTACCCTAGCTCAATCTGACTGCCCATCAGTGTCAAGGATTTTGACTGGAATTCTTTTGATTAAGACGAGTTCTGTAATCTCTTGGGGGCTGTGCAGATGAGGTCTTCTTATGTCTCTTGAATGTGTTGGGGACCACATCTGCATGTTTGCTGAAGGGAGCCTCTGTGGATGGGGCAGGTGCACCATCTCCTAGGGGCTGAGGCAGTTTTGGCCCACATGGGCCCCCTCAATCCCCTTAAGAAGATGGCGCCTCTGGGATGGGGGCTTCCATGCGGTCTGCAATACTGCATATCCAGTGGGGCAGAGGTGTTGGGATCAGGGCCTCTGGCCATGGTCCTTCTCCCTCTACCATCTGTTGGGAGTGGCTCATCAGCAGGGGCTTCTCTCACCCAAATTCCACTCTGGTCTTCTGCTTCCAGGCAGAGTACACTGTTCCTTTGTTTTTAATCCTCCAGTTTTATAACTCCAGCTGAAACTCCATGCTTTGCTATAAACACGGTATGAAACCGTATCTCAGTTTAAGCAGTGAGAGAATCGTATGCACCAACTGTGCATGGTGTGCATGCGTTTACATGACCAGCTGATGTGACTAGATGCTGCTGCTCTTTGCTTGAACACCCCACTGTATCTAATGAAGACATCAGGTAGATGTTCAGAACTCCATCATCCAGGGAGATCAGGATGATGGTGTGAAGAAACAGGGTCTCTTCCATAGCACCCCCAGGACTGTAGATTCAGATTCCAGAAGAGATGTGGCAGCTTAAACCCCCCCTTTAAACAATAAATTTAAAGGCTCACTTCTTGGTGGCTGCTCCCAGACTTTGAAATTCTCTCTGTAGAGAAGCTGAACTGGCTTCCTCCTCATTGTCCTTCTTTTGGTAGGTGACGCCTATTTTATTCCAACAGGACTTTGGGGACTGGTTTGTTTGTTTTTGCTTTTTTAAAGGAATGGGCTTTTAAATAGTGCTGTGCTGTTTTTACTATCTGTATTTTAATAGATCTGTTTCTTATACAGTGGTACCTCGGGTTACAAGATGCTTCAGTTACAGACTCTTCAGGTTACAGATTCCGCTAACCCAGAAATAGTACCTTAGGTTAAAAACTTTGCTTCAGGATGAGAACAGAAATTGTGCTCCGGCAGCAGCAGGAGGCCCCATTAGCTAAAGTGGTGCTTCAGGTTAAGACCAGTTTCAGGTTAAGAACAGATGTCCGGAACGAATTAAGTTCTTAACCCGAGGTACCACTGTATTGTTTTAATTCTATTATAGTTTGATTACATTTAAACTATTGTCTTTTTACGTTTTTAGCTTTCTTGCGTTTTTATCTGTGTAGTTTTAATTTGTGTAAGATGCCTTGAGTCCTTGTCTGGGGAAAAGGCAGGATACAACTCAGTATAATATGATGGCGATACAAAAAGGCACGTACTGAATAAACAGCCACTGGAGGCTGTAAAGAGGAATGGCGGAAGCTTGGGATTTTCCCTTTCAAAATCACTCCCCCCTCCTCCCCCCACACACTTGTGTAAGAGGAAAAGATAGAGATCTCTTCCCCACACCCCCTTTCTCCACCCTTGCAGTTTGACTCTTTGTTTAGGCAAGCTGTTGCAATCTGAGCTGTCATTATAACCCGACTCTCAAATATGCCTTTTCTCACCCAGCTTCCACTGCCCCTCTTTTACTTTTATGAATGTTAAGAGTGTTTTGTAAATGGCATCAAATGGTTGGGGAGGCAGGATATGCATGTTCTTGAATGAGTGGGCCTCTGCTTAAGCACTCACACCTGCCATTCACAGTCCATAGTGCCAAGACATTTAAAGGCCTTGTTCGCATGGCACTTTAAACAATAACTAAACCAAACAATGGTTTAAAGGTGCGTGGTTGTGCACCCAGCTGAAATTGTGGGCATTGCGCTCCTCCCCTGCTCCTGCTGCTGGGAGCTGAGCCATGGATTAGCTTAGCATTACACCTGAACCTAGGCTCATGGTTTGTTTTTCTCCATGCCAACCATGAGCAGGAAAACAAGAATGAACCTTGGTTACAGCTTGTGATGTTTCGTTTTTTGTTTTATAGAGAGAGAAACAAACTACAAGCCCAGGTTTGGACATTGCACTAAACCAAGGGTCGGCAAAGTTTTTGTGGCTTGGGCCGGTTTACGGTCCGGCAGACGCTGCGGTGAGCCGGAGTCTGTGTGCGCGTGTGCATGCACGCATGTGCAAACGTTATTTCCGGTGCTCCTTCTGGTGCGGAGGAGGCGTGCGCAGCTTCCCATTGGCTGCAGGAGCTTCCTGCAGCCAATGGGAAGCTGGCCAGTGTCGCAGAAGGCGGTCCCCGCTCTGCTCTGCACCGGTTTAGCGCAGCGCATGGGAGCTGGCCGAGCGGGCGGCGGGGGTCCATGGGACCCCTGCATTAAACCAAACCATGGCTTAGCTCGTAAATAAATAAGAGGCTGCAGGATCAGGCCAGTGGCCCATCTCATCCAGCTTTCTGTTCTCAGGTTGGCCAACCAGATCCCTGTGGGGAGACCACAAGCAGAACATGAGCACAACCAACACGCTGCCCTGCTGCAATTCCCAGCAACTGGTTTTCTGAGGTTCACTGCAGCTAATAGAAAGGCTGGAGCCCAGGCCCCATGGTTTCAGCAGTGTGCACCATCCTGCTGCATTTAAACCATGGTCTGCCTTACCTAAGGTTTAAAGCAGACATGTTCAACCGGTCGACCATGATCGACAGGTAGATCCCTGGGTGATCCTGGTCGATCTTGGGATCCTTATCAATTGTGGGATTAAATCAGTGCCCCCCTCTGTCTGTCCCTCCATCGCATCAAGTAGGCGGCGTTTGGCGTTTCATGTTGGCGATTGGGAATACAATGGTTGGCTTTAGCGCTGTGTGTGTTTGTTAGCGGTGGATTATAGGTGAGCGCTTTATGTCATCCCCCCTTAAAAAAAGCTAAACAACTTTGCTCAATCCCTCCCCCCCAAAAAAAAGCTCAACAACTCTGGTCAATCCTCAATGACAATGGGTAGATCACTGCCAGGGTTTTTTTTTATACTGGGAGTAGATCGCAGTCTCTTGGGAGTTGGATGGGCCTGGTTTAAAGTGATGTGTGGATGAAATGTGAGCTGTCTCTTTTTATCGCCACCAGCATCTTCCCCTTTAAGCCATGGGAGCCTCTTCCTCCTTGTATGAACCGAAAGCAGAGTCTCAGAAACATGTTGGGCAGGATGGTTCAGACCTCACTGAAGCCACAGGGCTGCTGCTTGGTGCAGCCATACAGTGTGTCAAGATCTCTGCTTATAATTTGGGAGAATGACCCAGGGAGAGCCCTGCAACCAAGTTCCCCAGAACGGCAGGTCTCTTGGCTTGTTGGGCAACCAGTACCAGCCCCCAGACATCCATTTTTAAAACCACGAGAGGGGAGAAAATCTTAACACCACCATTTTTAGGACGAAACGTGTCCCTTGTTGGGTTGATGTGATGTGTTTGTATTGAAGAAGTTTTTTAAAAGAGAAAAGAAATAACAATCTTGACTGGAGATATCTGAAACAGAACTGAAACGGTCCTGCTTTAGAGCTTCCTATTGGCCACTGTGAAAACAGGGTGTTGTATTAGGTGTGCCCTTGGTCTGGTTCAGCTGGGCTCTTCTTATGTACACAGTTAAAGGGGGAATGTGGCAGGAATTGGTCTGGGAGGAGCCTAATCTGTCATGGTCTCCTCCATAGTCGCTTCTGAGTATCAACTGCAGGAAGCCACAGAAGGGCAGAGTGCTCTTCTGCTCAGGTCCTGCTTACAGGTTTCCCACAGGTATACGGTGGGCCACTTTGAGAACAGGATGTTGGATTAGGTGGGGCATTGGCCTCATCCAGCGGGGTTCCTCTTATGGTGGATGATTGATCCATTGTTCGTCTTACTCAGGAGTGAGCAAGTGCCCCTTCACTACCCGTGACCCAAAAGAGACCTTAATGAGAATTTTTTTTTGAGAACTTCCCACCATTTGTGGTTTCAGAGAACAGAAAGAGGGGTTTTGATTCCAGCCTCCCTCCCGCTTTTACATAGAAAACAGGAGGGGAGCAGGCCGTGTGCATATCCTATTTGTCTTCCAACATAGGGAGAGAAACTTATTTATTTCAAATCAACACGACAGCCATTTCCTTTCCTGGCTATCACTGCAGCTCCAGATGGTGCGCTTGCAAGTGTATTTGAAACCTCCAACTGCATTCCCACTCTCTCCTTTCTTTATTTTCCTTTCGTTTTATTTTAATTACAAAAACAGCGCCATCCTAGTTGCCCCTTCTTTGCCTTACATCCCTGCAATGGAAGTGAGGAGCCCCTCAGCATATTCTGTCTTCTGTTTATAAGTGTGCTCCTAACAATGCAGTCTGTGAATTCAAATATATATATATATAATATATGCAATATTAATGTTGGTTTAAAAAAAACATGCTGAGATCATTTGAAAGAAGTCAGCATGTGCCTCACACAGGGAGCCCGAATGGCTCCTGTCCCCCTTGGAACAGCCCCTGTGCCATGACCCACATGGATTCCATGTGGTCTGTAGCAAATCGGCACTTCTGAGACCTGAGCTGGGGGAAGGGGAGTGAGTTTATCCATCTCTGTGCTAATTGATGGCGCATTTCCCCTGCCCCTGTAATTCCGTGTCCTTGAAGCTCTCAAAGCAGCCTTCTAGTTTTATCCAAACTTCTGATTATCTGTATTCTTAGAATGTCCCCTGCCTTTTCCTCAAGGCCATGTGGGTTAATGATCTCATGTCAGGCAGCAGCAACAGACCCCTTTGAGAGGGGGGCAGGCAGCGGGGTAAACCAGACAGCACATTTTTCTGGTTATCTTTCCCATTGCATTTTTTATCCTTTAAATGAGACCGCTGTGCTTCCCATCCACGCTTTTGATTTAAGGAGCCAGCCAAGCAGGAGATTAAAGGCTGGCACACATGTGCGGAGGAGACAGGGAGCCTCTGCAGCAGACACAGCGATCTTCAGCCTGCAAGAGGTTACGTAACCGAAATATTGAGCGCCCAGCAAAGTCAACGTATCCTATAGCCCTCCCCCAACATCTCTCTCTCTCTCTCTCTCTTTCCATTGCTTCTCCAGCTTGTGCATTGCTTCTGGAGCATCTTTGGCAAAGAAGTGAGCTCCATGTTTGTTTGTTTTTTCTCTTTCTTGTATTGCGTGTGGGTTTGTGCCTCTTGAAATAGGTCACGTTAGACCCCAAGTTACGACTTCTACCCATTTGTGGTGGGTGCTAATGCTGATCTTATTTGTCAACGATTAATTATATATCTGCTCATTGCCAGTCGTTTTGTGATTGCTCAAGAATGAAAGGGGCGCATTCTGTGGTTTATTGCAATCTCTGAAAAACTGATCCATAATATACGTGCCGCCAGGGGCCATGCAGACCTCTCAGATTTTGCATCTGTTTGGGGACTGTTTGTGATTTACAATTTCATGGTTGGTGCATTCCTATTAAATATGGGTTTTTTTCATGGCAGTGTTTATGAATACTTGATATATTTTGTATAAATACGAACTTTGTATCCCACCATGGGATATGTCTTACACTATTCATTCTTTCTTTAGCTTCTTTTTTATCTTGTATTTTTTACTCTTCTTGCATCTGTGGCATTCTTATTATGTATTTTAGTGTGATTTTTTTTGTTTGCTGTATTTGCCAATCTTGTTTTAAAAAATATTTTTAAAAAAGATAGAAAGAGGGCAGTAGCCTCTGAAAGCTGCAAGAGGAAACACTTCCCCATTCCACTTCCATGGTCTGTCCCACCTATCTTCAAAGCAGCACCACATGGTCTCCCACCCAGGCACCTACTAAACCCCAGACCAGCTTCACTGCAGCAAAGTCGTGACATCATGGATTGCAGGCATTGTAGTGGCACATGACTGTTCTGTCAGCATAAGGAGTTCTGCTTGCACAATGGAACATTCTCCCCCTCTTCCTCCTTCCATGTGCCCTCTAAATCTGTTCCATGAATTCCCCCAACCCTCTGGAACAGTTGTAGGGGAGGATACAGGTTGCGCACAGGGGGAGGAGATGGTCCCATTGTGCAAACAGAAATCCTTGTGCAATACACCCCGTGCGTCTTCAGACCATATCCTGGGAACAAAGCCTAATTTATTGTGCTTTTCCTCCAAGGCAGTGTATGTGGCTGTTCTTCTACCCTTCAGTAGATCCTCAGCTAGGTTGAAAGAGAGGGGGAGAGAGGGAAACTACCCCAGGTCACCCAATTGCTTTCATGGCTGAGTAGGGAACTCAAGTACCTTCCATCATAAGGCAAACCACAACACCATTAAATGCAGTTTCTAGAGCAGCCTTTCTCAACCTGTGGGTCCCCAGATGTTGTTGAACTACAACTCCCATCACCCCTAGTTAGCAAGGCCAGAGCTCAGGGATGATGGGAGTTGTAGTCCAACAACATCTGGGGACCCACAGGTTGAGAACCGCTGTTCTAGAGTGTGTAAAATTCAGCCTTTTCTAGAGTGTGTAAAATTCAGCCTTTCACAGCTTGTTTGTTTATTGATTTCTTTGTTGTATTTATATCCCACCTTTTCCTCCAAGGAGCTCAAGGTGGCATATACGGTTCTCCCCCTCCTTGTTTAATCCCCACAACAACCCTGTGTTGTAGGTTAGACTGATTGGCATTGACTGACTCAAGGTCACCCAGTGAGCTGCATGGCCAAGCAGGGATTTGAACCCTGGTCTCCCGGATCCTAGTCCAACACTCTAACCACTACACCACACTGGCTGCTATGTTTGGACATGGTCCAGAGATGCATAGGAATGCCTTTGGGGCAATCCTCCTTACTGCCTCCAGCATGGCATGCGATGTTTACAGTGCCTCATGTACAAGCCAGTTTCGTGCAGGCTGACAGCATCTACAGAACCATGGACAAGGGTTTTTGATATGCTGGGGTGAGTGCCTGCAAAGCACACTCAGGCCCCAAACTTTTATTGTACCACACAGCTATTGCTCAAGACCTTTCTCGTAAAGATCTTATTGCTTAACTAATGACTGTGGCAAGGTTTACCAGTGCAAGACTTTGGAGGACTTTACATCCAGATCTATTTGAAGTCTGTATTTCACAACTGTGGGATTTAATATCAGGGGACAAGTTGACGACGCATGTTCCTGAGAACTGGGCAAGAGATCTAATGCTTCTCATTCAGCTCGGCATAACTTTATTTTATATGTAGCATCAATAGAACATGACTATAGGCTACCATAGAATTTGAAAATGTTCAGCAAAGGGCAACCAAAGTGATCAAGGGGCTGGAATGACTCCCTTATGAGGAAAGCTGGTCACATTTGGGACTTTTTCTTTTAGAAAAGAGGTGAGTAAAAGGTGGCATGATAGAATACACCCAACGAAGCTTAACGTCAGCAAATTCAGGACAGAAACAAGGAGGTAGTTAAACTATGGAAGTCACTCCTGCAGGATCCAGTGAGGAACACCAAACTGGTGGCTTTAAAAGAAGATTAGACAAACTCATGGAGGAGAAAGCTATCAGTCTCTGCTAGTCATGAAGGCTTTACTCTGCCTGCGTGGTCGGAGGAAGCAATGCTTCTTAATACCAGTTGCTGGAAACCGTAGGAGGGGAAAGAGCTCTTGTGCTTGAATCGTGCTTGTGCGTTTTCCAAATGCATCCGGTTGGCCACAGTGAGAACAGGCTGCAGAACTAGATGGGCCATTGGCCTGATCCAGCAGGCTCTGCTTATGTTCTTATAGGCCTCCGGCGGCACATGGTGACTTGTGGAACAGTAGTTTTATTTCATGGAATGACTTGAAATGATTGATGTGCTGAAACTCGGTGCTTCTGTCAGGGGCGGGTGGGAGAGTTGGTTGTTGTTGTTTTCTTTATGGATATTTGAAAACAATAAAATGCAAACAAAAATTAAAAAGGCATCCATCACCACACATAGCAGGTTGGATCCAGATTCAGTCGTGCTTAGATTAGACCTATTGAAACTTAAATTGATTAGACTAATCCATGGAATTAAAAACCATGAGTGGGTTCTCCAGTCGCAATAGCTATGTTTTTCCACCACAGATAGAGGCAGATGGAGTAATTCTTCTCAATACCAGTTGCTGGAAAACACAAGAGGGAAGAGGGCTCTTTTGCTCACTGCTTCCAAAGGCATCTAGTTAACTACTTAATTTGCTTTATCCAGCAGGGCTATTCTTATGTTTTTATTGCTTTAGTTATTAACTAAGTTAGTCTCCTCTGGCTTTCCTCAACCTGATGCCTTCCAGATATTTTGGACTCCAACTTCTATCAGACCCAGTCAGCATGGCCACTGGCAAGGAATGATGGGAGTTGTAGTCTATCAACATTTGGAGGACTTCACGTCCTCCCCCCCAACCCAAGCAATATATAGCCCAAAAAGAAGTTATCCTTCAAAATGTGCTACTTCTCCAGATTTGGAAATGCAGTTCTCCAAACAAAATATGTATATAATAATGCATATATAAAAGGGAAAGTGTGCATCCATTAGGGGAAATAACATGAGAAATTCTACAACTTTGCGTACTTATGTATGTGTGCATGTCTCTATGTGTATACACACACACATTCATTCATGTTTTTCTAATAGACTAATAACCATTCCAGTAAAGAGTCATGCCACTTATTCAGAGAAGCTATTCAGTCTGGTTGCTTTTCTTAAGAGCTAATGCCTCATTTCCTATTGCAATAGCTTCCTCTCAAGTAAATGGAAATGTTGCCATTATACCTTCACATTTATTGACATGCACCTCTGTATTGAATGGACATCCTTTGCAGTTACTGCTTACTCTCCGTAATGGACTGTATGGGAATTTAAAACCTTTATGTGGCCGTGAACATTACATAGTGCGAGGGGGATGTGCTTTTTCCATTGGAGGTTTATGCAGAGAGCTGGAAGCGTCTGGCACCTGCCTTAGGAGCAAGTGGGTTTGCAAGGAATGGGGGGGGGGTGCCCAATGCCAGAGGGTTTGTGGGTGTGCCTTGCCATTTCTCTCTCTCTCTCTCTCTCTCTCTCTCTCTCTCTCTCATATCAATGATGCGAACTGCATTACATCTTTTGTTGAGCAAGGAGTCAGTGTGTTCCCTGTATCCCTTAACTCCCAACATACCAAAGAAGTGATGAGGGGAAAGATTGAGGTGAAAATAAAACAAATTATTCCAAACCGGCAAAAGCAAACCTGGTGTATGAAATGGTCTGATATATTCAATATGAAGAAAATTAGAAACAGAGAGCAGCCACTTTCACACCATGCATTTAAAGAACGTATGTTGTTACTTTAAACAGCCATGGTTTCCTGCAAAGAGTTTGGGAGTTGTAGTTAAGGGCGCTGAGAGCTTTTAGGAGACACCCCCCCATTTCCCCTTCCAGAGCTCCCTGTAAGAGGGATTGAATGTCAAAACCACTCTGGGAGGGGGGGCAAGAGTCTCCTAGCAACTCTCAGCCCCCCAACAAAACAACAGCTCCCAGAATTATGGGGAGGGGAGGGGAACCATGACTGTATCTTCGTGTATCTGCTGTTTTTTGTGTGTGTGTCTACTATTTTGAAGGCAAAAAAAGCCTAAACAAGAGTTTGGGTATCTGATAACGACGCAGGTATTGGAAAAGATATCATTACATATCTTTAGGTGCCAGGCAAAAAGAAAAAAAAAATCCTCTTCTCCCAGACCTTTGGTTACTTAAACAATTTATGGCCTTTTAAACTTTGTGTAGTTTCGGTGAGGGGTGGGATTATTGGTTGGTTTGTATTGTTATGTATTTTTGTGGTTTCGTACAGTGAACCGCCCTGTGATCCTCGGAGGAAGAGTGCAATATAAATTTAATAAACAATAATAATAGGCGCTACCTAGCTCCCATAGTGTTTCCTGGCAGGCTTAGTAAACTGCTACCCATCGCATGTTCCCACTGCTCTGGAAAGCAGGGAGCGCAAGGCAGGGTTTCCCTAAGGAATTTTCTCTTTTTCAATGGAGTGAGTCAGCAAAAACTGTGGGTGGGTTGAGGTGGCAGGTCTTTCCTGCTCTGTCATGTACCACTCAGTGCTGGGAGACTGGAGGGAGCCAGTTAGTGGCTGGTGGCTGTCAAAAAGAATAACCAGCCAACTCCTACATGACTCCCCTTAGTTTGCTCCTAGTGATGCTATTACTGGCATATGCTAAAGCCAGGAAGGTCTTTGGCGGAAATAACTTTTTAATGCAAATAGATGCTCGATGCCACAGATAACTTGAGAGAGAGGGAACGTTGTTTGCTGGAGAGAGTGGGTGGGGTTTGCCTTACATATGTGTAAGCTATAAAAAAGGGTGTGTGTGTGGAGATATGGAAAGATCTTATGAATAAATAAATGCAAAGGACGTCAGTGTGGAGGCTAAGAAGAGGCCTGTATCTTGCAAATCTTAGAGGTGGTGTGCTGCATCTCTCTTTGGAGAGAAAGAGAGATTGCCCACCTTCTCACCATAAATTTCAAGCAGTATGATAACACTTTGAACAGTCACAGCTTCCCCCAAATCACCCAGGGAGCTGTAGTTGTGTTAAGGGTGCTGAAAGTTCTTAGGAGACCCCTGCTACCATCTCAGAGCTACAACACCCAGAGTTGCCTGGGAAGAGGGATTTGACTCTTAAACCACTTGGAGAATTGCAGCTCTGGAATGGGGTGGGGTGGGGGGTGGGGAGGGGTCTCCTAACAGCTGTCAGGACCCTGAACAAACTACACTTCTCAGGATTTGTTCAAGCCATACCTGTTTAAAGTGGTGTCATAGCACTTTAAATGCGTGGTGTGAATGTGGCCTTCGTGTTCGCACCACGGCGCCGTCACTGAGGACCCAACTAGATGCAAAATAGAAGTACCATGTGTGGTGGGTTCATTAATTTCAGCGAGCCTACTCTGAGTAGAACCTACTTGAATTCAATCCGTGATCTTCCGCAGTTTTTTCTTCCTTAAATTAAATAGAAGCTGGGGGTTTGATTTAGATTTAGATCAGGACTGTGATAAAGAGAGCAAGGGAAGATTAATCCCTTTCCATTTTCATTCTTGACGGAAATACACATACACACAGCTGCAAGTGTTTGGAGCTGTTTGCTTCTTTGTTGTTATACTTTTTATATTCTCCAATTCCTCCAAGGAGCTCAGTGCTGAGGCAGTATGTGTAGATATTGCCTTTGTCTCATTTTAACTTCACAACAACCGTGTGATCTAGCTTAGGCTGAGAGAGTGTTGGTCCTAAGGCCACCTATGGCTGAGCAGGAATTTGAGATATTTGTTTCACTCTTGCAAGGATACAAATTGCAGGGGCAGTGGTTGGAATATGACAATGCACACCACCTTGAGCTCCTTCAAGGAAAGGTGGGCTTATAAATCAACCGCAGTAGTTCAGGCTTCAGGCGAGACTCTATAAAAGAGTAAATGGCTGCTATTACCAGCCAGCAAAATAGTTCTGAAACAGCCTGCGGTGTTGACTGCAAAAAAAACAAAACAAAACAAAGGCCGTTTTTGTTTTTAGAGAAAGTCAGCAGCTGGAAAATAATTGGGAAGCTGGAAATTGGTCTCAGAGTTCTCCACATGCCGCCCGCTGCTGCCTCTTTACCCCTGCCCCTCCCGTAAGAGTTACTGGCGTTGTGATAGTGCAGCCAGCGAAAACTCTGTGCTGCCATTAAACTGCAGCTGCAGACTTCTGCATGAGCTGTTTCTCAGTCTTTCTGGACTTGCCTTCCCCAGTTAATCAGTCAGGAATCTCAGCGCAAGCAAAAGTTTCCAAGGGAGAGGGGACATTTCGTTGAAAGCAGCACAAATGTCTTTTTTTTTCCCTTCTGCTTTATCGGGGAATGAAAATAGATTGAAGGTGGTAAATTTTAAATAATCTGAGGGAGAATCCTGGCTCCCTCCCGAGGGAGAATCCTGGTGGCGCCCTCCCTGTGGAACGCCCTCCCACCAGATGTCAAAGAGAACAACAACTACCAGACTTTTAGGAGATATCTGAAGGTAGCCCTGTTTAGGGAAGCTTTTAATGTTTGATGTATCACAGTATTTTAATATTATTTTGGAAGCCGCCCAGAGTGGCTGGGGAAACCCAGCCAGATGGGCGGGGTATAAATAATAAATTATTATTATTATTATTATTATTATTATTATTATTATTATTATCAGGGTGGCAAACTTTCACCCCTAGCTGTTGCTAACTTGTTCAAAGGAACGGCAGCAACTTCACCCTGCGATTGCCATCTAGTGCTAGCTGAGAGCGCTGACAGTGGGTCTTTCTTTCTTCCCTTCCTTCCTTTCCTGCAGGCAGAAAGCTCTGGCGTCTACAGGAGGCCGAAGCGTCCAGGCGGCTTGTGACTGGTTGGTATGAATTATGACCTTCTACACTCTTGAAAAATCAAATTTTTGATATCCGTATCAGGAGAAAGTACTTGGAATAGGAGTGCACATCAAGGGACGTGGCTGGCGCTGTGGGTTAAACCACAGAGCCTAGGGCTTGCCGATCAGAAGGTTGGCGGTTCGAATCCCCGCGACGGGGTGAGCTCCCATTGCTCGGTCCCTGCTCCTGCCCACCTAGCAGTTCGAAAGCACATCAAAGTGCAAGTAGATAAATAGGTACCGCTCTGGCGGGAAGGTAAATGGCATTTCCGTGCACTGCTCTGGTTCGCCAGAAGCGGCTTCGTCATGCTGGCCACATGACCCGTAAGCTGTATGCCGGCTCCCTTGGCCGATCAAGCGAGATGAGTGCCACAACCCCAGAGTCAGCCATGACTGGACCTAATGGTCAGGGGTCCCTTTACCTTTAAGATGCCTTGTATCAGACTGTGGGCTTCATCATTGCCCACACTGACCATCAGCAGTTATCCAGTGTCTCCAGAAGGGGCCCTTTTTGTTTTCTTTTTCCCCACCCCATCCTGCCTGGCGATGCTGGGGGTTGATCCTGGAGTGCCCTGCATGCTCTGCTGCTGAACTACAGGAGCTCCCGGTGCAAACTTGGTCACCCTCCTCTGCACACGTTCCAGCTTGTCAATATCCTTCTTAATTTGTGGTGCCCAGAACTGGACACAGCCCTCCAGGTGTGGGCCTGACCAAGGCAGAATAGAGTAGTCCCATTACTTCCCTCGATCTGGACAGTATACTTCTGTTGATGCAGCCTAGATCTCACTGTAACCAGGTTTTCACAAGGCATTTCACAAGGGCAAAAAGGAGGAACAGACTAGGAGATGGTGTTTTCCTAGGGACATGTTCCAGAAACTGGGGGGGGGGGGCAGTCCTGTCCCTTGTAAACAGGGACACTGGAGAGCATATGGTGTGGTGCCATTGCACTGCAGCGCTGTCAGTCGTGGCGATTGGAATGCTGTTTCCATACATGGAGGCGCATGGCCTGCCCCCACATCAAGAGCTGCAGCCAAACAGCCGTGGGCAGAACTTCCATCTGGGTATGGGAGATTTTCACCCACAACCCAGAGCTCCTGAACCACCACCACATTTCCCACTGCACCCCCTGAAATCTGTTCTAGAAAGCTGGCAAGGAGAACTTCTGAAATATCACCAAGAGCTGTCCTCAGGACAAAGAATCTGGAGAGCTCTGGTGCTCTATGAAGGGCTGGAGCTCAGTGGTTCAGCATTTCCTTTGCAGGCTGAAGGTCCCAGGTTTAATTCCCTGCTTGAAATCCTTTCAAAAAAATTAATTTTATTTTTCATTTTCACATTTTACCACGTTTAACGAGAAAAACAGAACCTTTACAAATTTAATTTGCATTTCCCACAACTTCCCTCCCCTCCTTTCTGTGGTTATTTAATTTATATCTTTTTATTACTGCATATCCAATTCAAACCTATTTACTAATTTTCCTTCGTCTTTCCCTTTAATTATCTCTTAACGCACGTGTTTATATCAACCCTGCTAACGTTTTAATTTGTTTATAATGTATCTTCAAATAATCAATAAATTTTCCCCATTCTGCTTTTAAAAAGTCTCTCATCTTGATTTCTTATTCTTGCGGTAAGCTTTGTCATTTCTATGTACTCCATCAATTTTAGTTGCCAATCCTCTTTTGTTGGAACTGTTTGTTCTTTCCATCTTTGGGCATAAATCATTCAGACAGCTGTGGTAGTGTACATAAACAGTTTTTTTTCTGTTCATTGGGTACCTCTCCACCGGTTATACCTAGAAGAAAAGCTTTTGGTTTTATCACAAAAGTTATCTTCAGCATTTTTTTCAACTCATTATACATCATTTCCCATAAAGCTTTTGCTAACTTACATGACTGACAGCCTGGAGAGTCATTGCAGCAAGCCAGTGTGGCCAAAACTAAAGTAAATGGATCCATATATTATTATTATTTTTTTAAAGGTAAGGAACCCCTGGACGGTGAAGTCCAGTCAAAGGCGACTGTGGGGTTGTGGCCAAGGAAGCCAGTGTTTGTCCGCAGACAGCTTTCCCTTTAAATGGATCCTTAGTCTGACCTTGCATAAAGCATCCTCCTTTCTTCCCAGGAATGCATGCAAGACTCTTAGATTCTTGACTGTTTCTTTCTCGCTCCAGACTGATATTTTTTGCATCCTGGCCTCTGTATTGGTCATCTTTTCTGACTGCATTCATTTGCCAAACTTGTTTCTTCCCTTCTCCTCTCTTGCAACGGCTGTTCATTTCCCCCTGTTTTCCCTTACAGGCTGTTTTCACACGTATGCGACCCCTTTCTCGATGACCCCCTGCCTCGGGAGTACGTCCTCTACCTGCGTCCCACCGGCCCCTTAGCGCAGAAGCTCTCCGACTTCTGGCAGCAGTCGAAGCAACTGTGCGGGAAGAACAAAGCTCACAATATCTTCCCCCACATCACACTCTGCCAGTTCTTTATGGTGAGTTGGTCCTTTCCCCTTCAGCCTGCATTGATCTGTTGGCCAAAGTGCTTCCAGATGTCCTGTTTGTGGAGCACTCGTCCTCACTGACTTACACAAAGCTTCTGAGGAGGTTAAACCATGCCTTCACTGAGCCTTTGATCTTCCCAAGGAGGTTATACAACAATGAGTATTCCTCCTGATTTCTTTGCAGGGTGTGCCTGCGTCTTCTTGAGGGTTTCTTGCAGGCATCTGCTTGGCCACTGTGAGAAGTGGACTAGATGGGCCATTGGCCTGATCAAGCAGACTCTCCTTTATGTTCTTAAAGCTACAATAAGTTGTACCAAACTGCTTAAGGCAGGCTTTCTGAAACGATGCTACTGTCCAGTTTACAAAGTAGCTGGCAGATCTTGGCCAAAGTGGAACATTCAGCTTTGGAAGACTCCAGTTGCTTGCGACAGCAATTGGTTAGTCCATGGAGTGTCCACACTGAGCTGCCATCTGAATAGGTTTCCCTGACTTTCCACCAAGAAAGGACACTTTTCATCTCTATAAGAAATGGGCAGGGCGAGTAAGACTGGCTTCTCTGTTCATCTCTTAATTATCTTCCACCTACAGGAAATATTGAAAAACACAACCTAGATAAAGTTCTCTGAACTTTATACTTTTTTTTGATTTTGTGCTCATGCACGTCTGGGTGTCGGTATGAAAGTAACAGCTATGGAAACTTCACCTGGTAGACCACTTCATTTTGGTTTGCATGCCGTGGCGATGCAGTGAGTGGGTTGCTAACTGAAAGACATGTGGGGAAATAAGGCAAGTGTAACAGGAGCCCTAGTCCAACAACATCTGGAGGAAACTGTGTTGGCTACCCTTGGGCTGCAGAATCTTGGGACAATCCAACTGATTTGGGGGTTTGATGGGTACACGTTTCCAGTGCTCATGGTGCATCAGATCATGGCCTCTAAACTGACCACAGTCTCTTGGCAGTGCGAAGACAGCAAAGTCGAGGCACTCTGTGAAGCTCTCCATGCTACTGTGACCCGGTGGCGGTGCAAGTTCCCCGTCCCTTTGCCCCTGGAGCTCTACACCTCGTCCAACTTCATTGGGCTCTTTGTCAAGGAGGACAGCGCAGAGGTCCTCAAGAAATTTGCCGCAGACTTTGCCATGGAAGCCACTTCTAAAGCCGGTGGGTGCTCAGGGCAGGGTGCAACTTCTTTAACTTTTATATTTTATTTCTTTAATGCAAGATGTTTCTGTTCCACCTTTTAGACTTCTTTGCATTTATGATTTTAAAAAGCCTCCCAGGGTAGTTTACAAAGTTGGGAAAGCCCCTGTAAAGTTTGGGGCCAAGGTATCTCAAGGACTGCTTGCTCCCATATGAACCTCTCCATGCTCTTAAGACTAGTGTGGGGCACTTTCAACCCTCCAGAAGTTGATGAACTACAGTTCCCATCACCCCTGGCCATTGAGCATAGTTTGCTGGGGCTGATGGGAGTTGTAGTTCAGCAACATCTGGAAGACTAAAGTTTCCCACCACCTGCTTCTAAGATCAGTCGGTGAGACATCTCTCCTGGGTCCACCCATCTGTTAAGAGCAGATGAGTAGTGAACAGAGAGCGGGGCCTTTTCTGTGTTGGCACCCACTCAAAGAACATTCTTAGTTCTGTAAGCTGGTTGCTCACACTTATGATCTTTCTGCACTAGGCTGAAATGTTATACATATCCAGGTCTTTAAACTCAGTTTGTTGCAAGAGTGGCTGGTAGGGAGGGGCAGAACTGCAGACCCGGCCTCCTGACAGCAATATACCAGTGCTCTCAATGGTATGTCTACTACACTGTCCTGACTTTGCTGCTGTCCTCATGCTGTCCTAGAACACTGTAGCAACGCTGGTGCCGAGAGATCCATGGTGCCAGGTGAGGTATTGGAATAAAGTCTGACCACCAGGATGCCACCACAAAAAAGGCCCTGTCTTTGGAAGTGCTTGCCTAACTTTCTGAAGGTGCAAGGACACCTGGTGGAGGGCAGCTTCTTGTAGTGGGTGGCAGTCTTTTAGTTACAGAGGCTCCAGACTCCATGCTGTATAATATGCCCTTCGTAACACAAGTAAAGGGCTTTTTATCTTCCTGACATATGACCAGTTTGCCATTATTCCCACCTTCACCATGTTTTCAATATGCAGTTTGGCTCACTTGCTGGAGCCCTCTGCTAGATCCACTCCCCCACTTCCTCCACTTCTGGCAGTTCATTTGCTCTGTAGATTGCCTAGGGTGGTTTACATGCAGTGAAGTTTCTGCATGTGCTGAGATTATGTAGGAGCACAAGATATTTTAACTGTTTAATATATATATTTTCTGTTTTATGCACTGTATTTTTTGGGCGGGTTTTTTTTTTTCATTTCTGTAATTGCTTCAGCTACACAAAAATAAATAATATTCACAATCCAAAAAATAAACAGATTGTACAATGGGGCTTCCAGTCTCTGGACGTGTCCTGTGTGGCTCCTTCTATTTTCCAACACTTTGCGATGCAAAATATCAAGAGTCAGTCCCGAGAGAACAGACCCTTTTTTCCTTTTCTTTTTTTGAGCTCCTGGAGATCTGAACTTTCATTCTTGAGCTAAGAGAGAGGTGCCCCACTGTGTTCTGCCTCAGCCCTCCCACTCTCATTGCTTCAAAAGAAAAACAGAATCTATACTTCCTCTGATTCATTATCTCCTGAGAAGGAAGCTGACATTTCGGCAGTTCTTTAACCTTTCTGACAGATGCGTGTTTGTTCTGTGCTTGCAATGCTGGTGCTTCCTGCATCCTCTCGGTGTCTCAAGATGCCTGTAAACAAAATCCTTTCGTTGATGGGCAAGAGATGGGGGAGAAGGGCCGTTCAGTTTGCATTAAAAGGCAAAGTTCTCTCATTTGCACCTTCGGAAACAACAGGCAGACCGAAACTCAGCCGTGCTTTGGAATTTGCACATCTCTGAAATTTTGCAACGCAGCTCTTCAGTCAAGCCATGCATCCAGAAATGCACAGGCTAAAATATACATTAAAATGCATATAGATATAGATATGAATGCATTTTTGTATTTCATATTCACTATTAGGGAAAATTGCTTTGCAAATTGTGTATGCTGTGGGGGGGAGAGTGGGATGTGCAAATGTGTACATTAGGAGAGATTTGTGCTAAAATGATGGTGAATTGCACACAGAATTACCATTCCCAGAGTCCCCTTTGTAGAGAGATTTTTATTTATCTATCGAATTCCCACAACAACCCTGTTAGGTGGGGGTAGACTGAGAAACGGTCACTAGCCCAAAGTCACCCCCTGAGCTTCATGGCCGAGTAGGAATCTGGCCTCTCAGGTCTGTGAGGGGAATGGAAGTTTCCAGAAAACTCCCAGTGGATAACACTTCCCAGGATTCCTTGTGGGGTAGCCATGACTGTTTGAGGGGGCATGATATTGTGCTAAATGCATAGTGCAGATGGGGCCTTAATAATCTCTTACAAGCCTTATTTTTTATATAAAAAAATAAGGAATGTCTTCAATAGGGGTTGAAAAGACAACAAAAACATCCCAGAAGCACCTGACTCACCAGCTCTGAGCTAGGCTAACCTGGCTGATATCCAGTCGTCTCAGTGGCTCCCAACTGACCACAGATTTCCAATTTGCAGATGTTCACGTGGAACCCCATAAGAAGCAGCTCCACGTCACCCTGGCCTATCACTTCCAAGCCAGCCACTTGCCGACGCTCGAGAAGTTAGCTCAGAGCATAGACGTCAAGCTGGGCTGCGACTGGGTGGCTGCAATATTCTCCCGGGATATTAGATTTGCCAATCATGAGGTAAGCGTGGGACTGCTTGTTCCCTTTAGGGGAAATGAAGGCGGTTGCTGCGTTTGATTCCAAACATGCAGCGAGGGTGGGCTCTTGGGGTGGGAGTTGTTCTTGCAGGAGAATCCATGTCTGCTTTAATATAAAGTAGGCACAGGCAAGTTGTGGCTCCAAGGGTTTAATCCAGATCACGAGGTCTGTTCTGTCTCAACCCAGTGCCTATCCACATAAGATGTAGGAGCACTAGGGTAGGGAGGGCAGTTGCTACTGGGGAAAGAGATTTATTTTTGGTTGGTTGGTTGGGGAGGAGCCATTGCTTAGCCTGTGCTCTTCATAAACAAGGTCTCCTAGTTCAGTCCCAAACATCTCCAGGTCGGGCTGCAGATGTCCCCTTTCTGAAAATCTGGAGGTCCACTTCTAGGCATTGTGGGCAATCTGAGCTGGATAGACCAATGACTTGCAACAAGGCAGTTTCTGATGTTCTTCCTCTCATTCACCGTTGGCTTAAGGCTTTCTCCTTCTCCACCCCTTGCAGACCCTCCAGGTGATCTACCCATACACCCCACAGAACGATGACGAGCTGGAGCTGGTCCCGGGGGACTTCATCTTCATGTCTCCCGTGGAGCAAGTCACCACCAGCGAAGGCTGGATTTACGGCACTTCGCTGGCAACAGGGTGCTCTGGGCTGCTGCCTGAGAATTACATCACCAAAGCAGATGAGTGCGGCACATGGGTGTTCCATGGGTAAGAGGTCTGATCCTGCTTGCATGGGTGGCAAGGGCTTTTATTGTGGATGAGTCTGCCACTAGAAGGTCACAGCGTGGTGGTAGGGAAGCTCAAGCTGACTCACGGATGAGGGAGAAACAAGTCATTTTAGGTTCGGGCATCAATTATTGACTATGATTATGATTACTATATTTATTTATATCTCCCTAGTCAGATTCAGTCCTTTGACATTCATGCACCTATCTAACGATGGTTCATTCATTTAAATGGGTCTTCTCTCACTGCCAATGTAAACCAGCGAACGAATAGAAAGAGAACCTGCTCAAGTGACGCTGCCACAAAAACCTCACACATAAACCAATTTTGAAAAAAGGAAAAATAATATGTAAATTTACCAGCCACTCTCTCCTCCCACCTCTCTTTCCCTTTCTATCCTGTACTAGATAGAGAATTGTCTAACGTTGAACATAACTCAGAGACTCTATGATCTCAAAAAGAGAGAGAGAAAGAGACATTGCGCATTCTTTTGTAATTCAAGAAAATATTTAATAAAAATTATTTCCAAAAGAAAAAAAAAGAAATTAGTAAACTGCAACCCAGAAATCCTGGCTGATCATCTCACTCAGAGCCTGCCCAGTCCTTTTGTAAGATGCCTTGTACATACTTGATTATGGGGGAAAGTGGGCTGTACATCATTAAATAGATGAAATGTGCATCAGCATCCACAAACCACCTGTGCCTGTTTTGGCAGGTCATATTCCATTCTGAACGCCACTTCGTCCCCCTCCCTCCTGATGTTCACTGACGGAGTGATGGATCGAAGGTTGCAGGAAGACCAAGGACCAGGGGATACTGGGCCCCTCACAATCTTCTGCCAGAGCATGCAGGTAAGGTTCATCTGCACCTTTACCTGCCTCCAAGGCAGGCTGAAACACCAGAAGGGGGGAAAGGAAGGCTGGTTATTTATTATACTAAGGTGTTGCTTTTTTAACCTCATCCTCAGCCCTTAAGGATCGCCAACTCACCTGGGCCACAGAAGAGGTGCCTTTTCGTTTGCCGACATGGCGAAAGGATGGACGTTGTGTTTGGAAAATACTGGCTCTCACAGTGTTTTGATGCCAAAGGTGAGTTTGTTTCTATCACAGTGTTTTACTTTTTTTATTGGGAGACATCCAATGCCATCAGAGCAGACATTAGTTCACTGGGAATAGAGGAGGAATCTGCACAGCGTGGTGTAGTGGTTAAGAGCGGTGGATTCATAATCTGGTGAACTGGGTTCGCTTCCCCGCTCCTCCACATGCAGCTGCTGGGTGACCTTGGGCTAGTCACGCTTCTCTGAAGTCTCTCAGCCTCACTCACCTCACAGAGTGTTTGTTGTGGTGGAGGAAGGGAAAGGAGATTGTTAGCCACTTTGAAACTCCTCAGGGTAGTGATAAAGCAGGATATCAAATCCAAACTCCTCCTCCACTACTGAAATTTCAAAGTGGACTCCACAGATCCAGTCAGACCAATCTTCGTCTTCAGAATCTACCGTCTGGTAGATTCCATTACAAGTTCAAGGGATGCACACTGCCTCCATTCCCCACACCCATATTTTTTTCTTTTAAAGTTGTAGAGTAGGGTGTTTGCTTTTCAGTTGCCCCCCAACCCAAGTGGCTGATACATAGGGCTTTTGACCTCTGCACACTTCAATTGCATAGAGAGCAGCTCTGCTTGGGAACAACAAGACATATTGACATTCTCTCACTCTCAGGAGGAACTGTATTGGGGTGGGGATCTAGCTGCCCTCAAGTAAACACCTTGGGACTCCCTTCTGCAGGATCTTCTCCCTCTCTGGAACGTCACACAATCTTCCAAATGTTTTGTTGCCTCTCTTGGGTGGCTGGGGGAACTCACATTACAATTTGAGAACTGCTACCTGAAGGACATGAGCTTGGGGGAATCACCTAAATTTTTGCCTCCTTGCTCTCTGTGTCTCCTGACAGGAAGGTACATGCGGACAAACCTGAATATGCCTCACAGCCTACCTCAACGGAGTGGTGGTTTCAGGGATTATGAAAAGGATGCCCCCATCACCGTGTTTGGCTGCACTCAAGCACGGCTTGTGGGTAAGCTCCCCACTTGGGGAACAGTATTTTTCTTTTTCTATTAGAGGTGGCGCTGTGGTCTAAACCACTGAGCCTCTTGGGCTTGCCGATCAGAAGGTCGGCAGTTCGAATCCCCGCAAGGGGGTGAGCTCCCGTTTCTCAGTCCCAGCTCCTGCCAACCTAGCAGTTCGAAAGCACGTCAGAGTGGAAGTAGATAGATAGGTACTGCTCCGGCAGGAAGGTAAACGGCTTTTCCGTGCGCTGCTCTGGTTTCGCCTTGAGAGTTTTGGGTCCTAGTCTCTCTTGCTCTCTTAACGGATCCTTGTCTGTCAAACATCCAGCCACAACATGAACAGTTATAGCACATCGACCACGATAGTAATAATAATAAAATCAGGCCTGCTTGCTCTGTCTTGCAACTCTTCCAAAACTACTCTGGCTCTTGGGCATTAGGGGACGAGAGGGACCAATGGAGGGGTGGCTTTTCCTACTTGCCATCACCTTGAATTAAAGTGCATTAGGCCCACTGCAAAGAAGCCATTATGAGCTGGAAATCAGAGATGTCTCAGAGTCTAGATTTTCTAGGTTAAGAAATATGAGCCTCAGGGGCTGGTCATGCTCACCTCAAATTACAACTTCCCAATTCTTCTTCTGGCTCAGATTTCGTTCTCAGTGAAAGAAAAACCCCATTCCTCACCATGTTCCTCCTGCTCACCTCTTCCCATGATCCTCTACTCCTGGGGTAGCCAGTGTGGCGCCTTACAGGTGGTGCTGCACTATGAGTCCCGTTATCCCTGGCTGTCGGCCATGCCGACTAGGAGTGGAGACCCAACAAGATCTGGAGGACCACCCCGTTAGTTGTGCTTGACTGCTAGTGTGCCTGGGTGCAAAAGGGGGGGAGCTCCTGCACTTTTAATAGCTTTGTAAAAAAAGAGAATTTCATTTTTAAAAAATATTTTTTTAATTAGATTTTCACATTTTTATACACTTTATCTCTAACCAATTCAAACATTAGATTACAAGGTTCTCTGAACCTTCAGACTTCCTTCCCTCCCTCCCATTGATTGTTATATTAAAAGGTTAAGTTTTCTGCATCTTATGCTTTGTCCAACTATTCTATATCTCTGATTATCATAATCAATTTCACATTACAAATGTCATTACGCTACCAATAATTTTAACTTTTTAAAGTGGTTTTTTAAAAAAATAAACTACAATTTTACTCCAGTCTCTAGCAAATACTTGATCCTCTTGGTTTCTGATCTTCCCCGTCAGTTTCACACTTTCCGCATATTCCATCAATTTCGTCTGCCATTTTTCCTTTGTTAGTAGTTCTTCTTCTTTCCATTTTTGAGTTAGTAGCATTCTCGCTGCCATCATTACATAGATAAAAAGTCTTTCTTTTAGGTTTAATAGGTGAAGAAATACCAAGAGAGGATAAAAGACTTTTTAAAAAAGATAATTTCAGCTCAGATGACAAACTACATTTGGCGAAATGCCCTCTTCTATTAAATGTGCAGGTGACCTGCCCTTTGTTTTTGCATCTAGTCACACTAGCAGCGGAAGCTGGGATTTCAGCTGGTGCAGCTTGCTATACAAGCTGAAGTTCTTTACACAACGTATAGTTAAACTGTGGAACTCACTGCCACAGGAGGCAGTGATGGCCAGTAATGTGGATGGATTTAAAAGAGGATTGGGCAAAGTCATGGAGGAGAAGGGCTATCAGTGGCTACGAGCCACAACGGCTATGCTCTGTCTCTGCTGCCAGAGGCAGTAATGGTTCTGAAAAAGCAGTTGCTGGAAACCACAAGAGGGGAAAGGGCTCTTGTGCTTTGGTCCTTTTTGCAGGTTTCCCACAGGCATCGGGTTGGCCGCTGTAAGAACTAGATGAGGCTCTCCACATGCTCTTATGTTCAGAGAAATTATTTCCTTTACACTGACATCGTTTGCACTTGGGCACCCTGTCTATTGTTGTAAGTCATTATCTGGCAGGGAACCAATTTTGTATTGGCTCTGAACCAAATACTCCAAGTGTGGTGAAGGGGAGAGAAGAGAAAGAGGTGGAAAACACGGCTATTCCTGCCAAAGGTTAATCTTATTCAGCAGCAGCAGCCATTGGGAGAATGGACCCAGGGGTGTAGAAAGGGTGTGTGCGGGGTGTGCAGTCCGCCCTGGGTGTCATCCTTGAGGGGGTGACAAAATGGCACACCGTGGGGGGGGCACTTACCGCGGGGCCTGGCCTGCATGTGTCTCTCCTGGGAGTGACACGGTGACTCGTGGCCCCGCACTGCCCAAAACAGCAGCGTGGGGCTTGTGTCTGCCAGGCGGACTCCGTGGGCAGCTCGCCGTGGCACACCCCCCATGGGTGGATCTCTGCTGCACCCCTGTGCGCGGATTACCATCGCAGCCCCATGGGCGAATCGCCCCGCCCCCACCACTCTGGTTCCGGAGCAGCTAGCTACGCCCCTGAATGGACCTTGAGCCTAGGATTGTTGCCAGTCTCTTTGGTTGGTTGGTTTAAGCCAGGCTTTGCAACCCTGGTGCTCTAAAGAGGTTTTGGGCTTCAAACCCCTCAGCCCCAGCCAGCACGTAGTCAAGCATATTTAGAGGGCACCAGGTTGGCAAAGGCTGGTTTAGACAGAGAGCTGTTGCAATTTTCCTACATTCTGCATGTGCGCAGCAGTTTCCAAGGCTTGCCTGGTGGCCCTGCTGCCTTTCTGTGCTGCCATTTGTGCCAGTTCCTGTGCGAGACGAGCAGCAGCCATTGTCGGGGTGACTTTGGAGGTGACGACTTAAGCTGTGATCTCTATTTGCACATAACTGTCAGCTCAGCAGCGAAAACACATTTGGCTGCAAATCCATGAGCTGCTGTAGTGACACATCGATTTGAGTGCCTGTTTGAGAAACGAACGAGTCGCTGGGGAAGCTTCCCAATGCTGAGATTCTCCAAGCACTGCGTGAGAAGGCCGGCTCCTTGCTTCTCCCATGCAAAATATCTCGGGGAAGCAAGACATTCGACACCTAGTCATACAGCAGGGGACAAAGCATTATTTTAGCACGTGTGGAATTGTTGGCTGTGACTATCACTCACAATCCTGAGAGTTGCCTGCTTTCTCACAGGAAACTGTGGGCAGTCCAGTTACCCATCTCTGTGTGTAGAAGCCTCAGGACCTTATTGTGAGCACAATAGAATTGTTGCTCTGGTATCATTATTATTAAATTCATTGTTCCGCCTTTCACCATCAGGTTACGACCATTTAAAATTCAGTCTTATAAAACAGTTAAAACCGAGTACAGTTTCAGGAAGAGGGTGATACCCTGAAAATGTGCATCTCAGGTGTCAAAGGTCAGGGTAATAATTAGATGCAGAAAGAAATGTTCCTGTCTAGAAATGTTTGATTTAAGTGGCATGATGTTGATATAAGTTGTGCTGCATTTGCAATAGGAGGGTGTGTGTTCAGGAGAGAGTCTCTTGAGAAGGTAGGAAGGGGGCAGGCTCCAGCCACGCCCCTCTAAACTGGCCTGCTAGGGAGTCTTCATGTTGCTAGAGGACCTCTCCTTTATCCGTGGGTTGGCAATCAGAAGTTGTGGGGAGAAAAATCAAGGCAGTAGATTTGGCACCAGTTAGGAATCCTTATGGCTTGGATCAGGACGGTCCTACTTTTCATACCGAGAGGGCCACACACTGCCTTGTCGCGCAGGATGAGGCACAAGACCAAGATTTGGCACCCCCTTCCCATGTTCCCAAAGGCAGCTAAGCAAGGCACCAGGCTTTGGGATGGAGGCATGAGGCTCTGGCAGGGTCCTAGAGCCCTCCCATCTCCTTCCCGAAGCTGGGAAAGTGCAAACTAGGCTTTGGGAAGGAGGTAGGAGGACTCTAGAACCATGTCAGAGCCCTCACACCTCCTTCCCAAAGCCCAGCACCTCCCTTACCTGGCTTTGGGAAGGCAGGGCAAGGGCTGCAGGGGGCATCAAATGTTTCCAAGGGCCTCCAAATAAGCCCTCAAGCATGTGTTGGAGTGCCCTGCCTTAGATTGAGAGAGGATGAATCAATTGATTTAATTGACCAAAAGTACAAAGTTGCCTTATGCCAGACTAGACAAGTCTGTCCATTTAGTTCAATATTGTCATCTCTGGCATAGTCCTGACACAGACCCGACTCGCTTGGAAGGTGGTGGACTCTCCTTCCTTGGAGGTTTTTAAGCAGGGGTTGAATGGCCATCTGTCATGGATGTTTTAGCTGAGATTCATACATTGCAGGGGGTTGGACTAGATGACCCGGGGGACCCTTCCAGCTCCATTATTCTAACCCACTACCTAATATTTTTTAACTGTCAGTGCGGGGAATTCAACTTTGGACCTTCTGTGTGCAAAGGATAAGCTACAATCTTTCTTTCTTATAAGAGAAATAACTGATTGCAACAACAGCAATATACGGACAAACTATTTTCCTATTTTATTAAGCGTTCTCTAAACACAAGCATTCCTTAAAATGATGAACGGATAGTCTCCCTGAAGCCCACCCCATTGTTTTGTTAGTTTCAGTGGGCTGCCGGAAGAGGACAATTGCAGCCAGAAGTGTTCCCAGCTTACAGCTGGGATGCTCAAATAATATCTGCCCTGTATTCATACAGAGTGCAAGATTCTTTACTTAAAGCAGATGGGAAGTCACAGTGAAATCTGCCAGTTTTTTCTACCAGAATCCTAAGAGTTGGAAAGTGCAATGTGGCTGCCCCCTGCAGGTGGAAAATGAGTCTTGCTTCGCCACCAAACTGCTGTGTTTGTTTCAAGACTGAAATGGTTATCTGCCAGATATCGAAGGAACTGCTGTGGCCCCAGCAGCAAAAGCCCTGCTTTAAACAGGAAACGACTATTGATCAGGAGCAAACTGACCCAGAGCAATAATAATAATAGCTGGCTAAGAATAGATGAACAAAAGACGAGCCTGCTGGGTCAAGCTGATGGCCCATCTCATCCAGCCTCCTGTTCTCACAGTGGCCAGCCAGATGGCCATAGGAAACCAGCAAGCAGGAGCCGGGACAGTATGGTGTAGTGGTTAGAGAGCTGGAGCAGGAGCTGGGAGAACAAGGTTCAAATCCCCACTCTTGCCATGAAGCTCACTGCATGACCTCTCGACCTAACCTACTCCTCAGGGTTGTTGTGAGGGTAAAATGGGAAGGAAGAACACTATGTACACCACCTTGAGTTTGGGAGAAAGAAGGTGGGATAGTTAGAAAGAAAGAATCTGTAGCATTATAATCAGGAAAACTGATGCAATATTCTCCAGGTCTGAATGCACTCTTATTTTGAGCATGTGTCTTCAAACAGGTGAGGCCCTCCTTGAAAGTAACACAGTCATCCACCACATCTACTGTTCCCCGTCACTGCGCTGCGTACAGACTGCACACTATATTTTGAAAGGTAAGAAGATGGCAACAAGGTAGCTGGATTAAATAATAATCATATTTTTATTATTTTTATTATTTATACCCCACTCATCCAGTTGGGTGTCCCCAGCCACTCCGGGCATATATATAACAGCATACTAAAACATCAGACATTAAAAACTTCCTGATACAGGGCTGCCTTCATGCTTTGTTCATATTGTCTTCCTTCCTTCCTTCCTTCCTTCCTTCCTTCCTTCCTTCCTTCGAAACTCCGGTGGTCCTTTCTGCAAACAGGGGTGATGTCTCATTTTGATAGCCATAACTAGGCGGGGGGGGGAGGAATTTATATGCAAGGGGAGGCACAGATGCCCTGGAGTGAAAATCCCCCCCCCCAAAAAAAACCCCTATAGCTGAACAAAACCTACAGCCACTTTGCATACCTGCAGCTTCTGATGCTCCATCCCCCAAAGGGGATGAAAAATAGTGGATTTTTAGTTAAGGGCTCCCAAAATATTTGCAAAATCAGGAATGAGAAAATGCCTTGGAGTGTTCTATTTATGTCCCTGTCCCGGACTTGTAATGTGTTTCTTATTCAGAGCGCCCCATTTTTTACCTTTCAACTCCCAGGCTTGCAGCAGGAAAATAATCTGAAGATTCGTGTAGAGCCGGGCTTATTCGAGTGGACGAAATGGGTCGCTGGGAGCTCCCTGCCTGCCTGGATACCTCCAGTGGACTTAGCGGCAGCCAGTTTGAGTGTGGATACAACTTATAGGTAAGAGAAGCCAATGTGGTGCATTTTTTGTTTGTTTGGGACCTTGTGAAGCTGGAACACAGGGAGCTTGTGTTCCTCTACCCCAGCCTTACCCAGACTAATGCCTTCCAAATGTTTTGGACTACAACTCCCATCATCCCAGACCATGGCCCATTCTGGCGGGGGTTGGTGAGAGGTGATCTGGAGAATTTCTCCCCTTTTTGATGGGAAAGAACCGTGGCTCAGTGGTAGTAGAATGCATGTGAGTGCCTGGAGGTGGTTGGAGGATGGATGGCAGCTAACAAATTGAGGTTGAATCCTGACAAGACAGAAGTACTGTTTTTGGGGGACAGGGTATGGGGGACTCCCTGGTCCTGAATGGGGTAACTTTCCCCTTGAAGGACCAGGTGCGCAGCCTGGGAGTCATTTTGTACTCACAGCTGTCCATGGAGGCGCAGGTTAATTCTGTGTCCAGGGCGGCTGTCTACCAGCTCCATCTGGTACGCAGGCTGAGACCCTACCTGCCTGCAGATTGTCTCACCAGAGTGGTGCATGCTCTAGGTATCTCCCGCTTGGACTACTGCAACGCGCTCTACATGGGGCTACCTTTGAAGGTGACCCAGAAACTGCAACTAATCCAGAGTGCGGCAGCTAGACTGGTGACTGGGAGTGGCCACCGGAACCACATAACACCGGTTCTGAGAGATCTGCGTTGGCTCCCAGTACGTTTCCGAGCACAATTCAAAGTGTTGGTGCTGACCTTTAAAGCCCTAAACGGCCTCAGTCCTGTATACCTGAAGGAGCGTCTCCACCCCCACCATTCAGCTCGGACACTGAGATCCAGTGCCAAGGGCCTTCTGGAGGTTCCCTCACTGCGAGAAGTGAGGTTACGGGGAACCAGACAGAGGGCCTTCTCGGTAGTGGCGCCCACCCTGTGGAACACCCACCCTTCAGATGTGAAGAAAATAAGCAGCTATCCTATCTTTAAAGGACATCTGAAGGCAGCCCTGTTCAGGGAAGTTTTTAATATCTAACGCTGTACTGTTTTTAACACTTGATTGGGAGCCGCCCAGAGTGGCTGGGGAAACTCAGCCAGATGGGCAGGGTATAAATAATAAATTATTATTATTATGCTTTGAATGAAGAAGATCCACAGTTCAATCCTGGCCATCTCCCAAGTAGGGATGGACAAGCTCCCATCTGAAATCCTGACAAGCCACTACCAGTCAAGGTAGACATAGTGCTGACATGATCGGCCAATAATCTGTCGGAGTACAGGGCAGTTTCCTGTGTAGTTCAAAACTTCTGGTTTTTTTTCTTTTTCTTTCTTTGTTTTTTTAATGATATTTATTAAGCATTTTAAAGTTACAGAAGAGACAAAGAGACAAAGAGGGGGGAAAAGGAAAAAAAACAAGGGAAAAGCAAACAGCAGTCAAACAGTACAAATCAATAAAAGTCAAAAAGAACAAAAACAAAACACATCAAAATCCAAAAAACAAAGGTAAACCACATTTAAAAACAAATCCAATATTCCCAAATCCTTAACTGTCATTGCCTTATTTCATCGACCTCCTCACACCTCCCTTTTTTGTATTCCAGTTATTAATTATAACAGCAAATCCTTCCCATTTTTCATAATATTCTGTCATTAAATTACCTTAATCTATTTTAACCTGTCTTACTATAAAAAACCCTAAAACTTAAAGCTTAAATCTTATTTATACCAATTTCTCATAACCATAACATATTCTTGCATAGTTCTTTTTAACATTTCTGCTAGAGCCAAATAGTTTCGTTCCAACATTTTTCTAATACTCATTAATTTTGGAAAACAATCCTAAATAATTTTTTAAAAAAAACTTTCTTCCAATCTTCATCCAACGTCTCTTCCTCCTGGTCCCGGGTTTTGTCAGTCCTTTCTGTCCCATCCATCTAGTTCATTAACCTGGTAATCTTATGTCCGAGGCCCTTAAGTCTCTTCCATGTCCCTTCCGCAGATCTTCTTCATATTTATACCTGTACTTTACTTTGTCTCCTGGTCCTTTCACTCGTGGAAACTCCAACTTGACAGTATTTTTGTCCCTTCTTGACAGATCAGCCCCTTTTCCATAGTCCACACTGAACTCCATGTAGTATTTAAAAGCATGTTTCAAGGTCCCTCCAGAGTTGAGGACCCCCACAACCCCAAACTCCTCACGGCCCAATGCCAGACTTGAAAAGTCAAGACATCCCTGCATAGGGGGGGTCTATCCAGCCCCCCATCTCCAAGCCCAACAAAACTCTATCTCTCCAAATCTGGCTTTTTCCAAGTTCATTTGTCAAATCCAACAACTCATGTTCCTGCTGGGCCACAGCTCCCTCCATCTCTGCCACCCGAGGTCCAACAACAATCTCCTCCCTCATCTGATCTGTCAGAGCACACTCCTGAGTTGATTCCTGGGTGGGTTCTATATAGGTACCCACTACGTGTCCAAAATTTCTAATCGCAACAGTCATCAAATCCGTCTTCTCATGTAGCTGTTCCAATAAAGCACTTGTCTTACAGAAGGCACGCACCAGAGCCTCTGAATACACATTGTTATGCAAGGTCAGAAGTCTGTTCCCACGATCTTAATCTGTTTGCAGCTGCGAAGCTCCCCAGTTCAAGTTTAATAACAGTTTCACAAGCTCCCTCTAGGGGGAGAACTTCTATTTGTATCAATCTCTTTTCTTTTCTTTTTTTTACCAGCAGATCTAACAACAAAGTTTCCTTTTTTCAGATATTTTGTCAGTATTTGTTCCTTTAAAATGCGAAAGAGAACAATGGAATCACTATGTTTCTCTTCTTTTAACTGTATGTCAAAAACATTTGTCTATAGTCAATGAACTTTCCAAAAACGTCTGTCCTGACACCCCGCTCCCAGGTTCAAGACGGTGGAAAATTACTTTTCTTTACACTCTCTCCTGCAAGTTTAAACAATCCGGGAAAAATCCCCCCTCTTCTCCTACTTCCGAAGGGGGTTCAGTAGTTTTAGATGATGAAAGCTGATCCTTTACAAATGATTTTCTGAACTCTAGTTTGCCATGTCTTTGCTTTAATCTATCTACAAGAAACGGAAGGCTGACTTCCTGTTTAGACCTTCCCGCTTCAGTGCCAAATTAAGAAGAATTTCCTAATCCAAATTTTCCCTTCTACTCACAGATCGTTGTTTAAAGTCCAATTGTCCAAATTTGATCTGCTCACGGGTAGTTGTTTTTGTAACCAAATTGTCCCAGGAAAAAGGTAGCGCTCTCCGGCAACGGCTGTGCGGCTTCGCTCCACGGAAGAAGCAGTTGACTCTCAGCACCGCTGAGGGTCACTAGCCCCTCTTCGCTCTGGAGCCCATAGTTGGGTTCCTTTACGGATTGGGGGGGCGCGAAAGGTGCCCGCCGAGTCCCATGGTCACAGGCTTCCTCCGCCTGTGATTTTTTGAAGGGTCCCCGCTTCGCCGTAGCGGAACAGACCCGTTTTCCGTGGAGCCAGTCCCTCCGGATCAGAGGGAGTCCGCCATTACCGATGGCGCCACCCCGGAAGTCTGTAGTTCAAAACTTCTGGAGGAGGGCAACAGGTTGAGGGTAATGGTTCTGCACGCTGAAAAGTCCAACCAGTTCATCCGTGGTACATTTAATCAGCAGCCTACTCAGGCCAATGGGATTTACGGCAGGAAAGAGGCGACTGCCAGGGAGCTGAACTGAAGCATGGAAGGTGATGCTCTGTAAGCATCTCTGCATCTGGAGAATGAATATGGGTTAGGGAGCCAGACAGATGTTTTGCAAGAGGAGGGGGGAGGCATGATGCCTAAAGTAAAAGGCAGAGAGCAAGCTCCTCATGTTAGGAGCCAAATGAGTCATGAGCTGTAGTTTGTGGCCATTTGGAGGAAAGGAATAGAAGAAGAAGAAGAAGAAGAAGAAGAAGAAGAAGAAGAAGAAGAAGAAGAAGAATGCGATCAAACATTAAAAACTTCCCTAAACAGGGCTGCCTTCAGATGATAACTGGTATTAATTGATAACTGGCATTGATAACTGGTATCCATCTGTGATGGAAGAGCATAGCCGCTGTGGCTAGTAGCCATGTTGAACTATAGAATGCTAGATATGTTTATGTAAAATGTTTTAGACCACAGATACATGTGGAAGGGGACCCCCGGTCATCTAGTCCAACCCCCTGCAATCTAGGAATCTCAGCCAAAGCACCCATGACAGATGGCCATCCAACCTCTGCTTAAAAACCTCCAAGGAAGGAGAGTCCACCACCTTCTGAGGGAGACCGTTCCTGTGTGTGTGTGTGTGTGTGTGTGTGTGTGTATGTGTGTGTATGTTTGGGTGTGTGTTTGCGCTCCATGAACACATGGTAGAAGCCTAGCCATTTTTATTCTGGAAAAGAGTTCGGCTTCCTTCTAGCTTTTTCTTCTCATCCCAACCATCTTGCATTTGAAGAAGTGGAGGCTGAGTGGGAGGATCCCTAGGATTGTCGTTGGGTTTGTTGAATTCATGCGGAGGTGGAAGGTTGGATCCTGGCCTCCCCCAATCCCACAAGGCATTATTACAGGTGGACAGGCCACCTCCTCCTCTTCTGCTTCTCCTCTCCCACTCCTGCTTTTCTTCTACACTTATATTTTTCTGTCCACAGACCTCATATACCGGTGAGCAAATTAGGCATTTCAGAGTCATACGATACATACATCAGCAGAAGCTACCAAGTAACAAAAGAGATCCTAAGTGAATGCAAAGCCAAAGGCAAGTAAAACCCCACCTTGCAGTCCAGGATTTGCTCACTTCAGTTGGGCTAACTCCCAAGCCAGGGGTGTACAGAATTGCATCCTCAAGAAGTCGCTTTGTGGCGTCACGTATACATCTAAGGGAGGTTGAAAGGATCATACAGCTAAACCACAGAAAGCAGCAGGGAGTGTCCCCAAGGTGGAGTGAGAGATTCATTCTCTCTAATTCCAATGGTCAGAGCATCATTGCTCATGTAACCAAATTGCAGCATTCATGCACAACAGGGGAGGTATAAGCTGCTTTTGGTGAACTGCAAGATTTGTAGTAATATATATATATATATATATATATATATATATATATATATATCCTAAGAAAAATTCAAAGGGACCCAAAAAAAAGCCAGCCCAGTAATCCAGTAATGGCTGAGCATGCTCAGTGAGCATGGAATGCTCCTTGACTGGCGTACTGGGGAAATTGAAAAGGGGCAGGGAATGGAATGGAATGGAATCGCAGCAGCATTTTGTTGAAGGCCCCAATTGTCTGTATTAAAAGTAATCCCAAGAGCATTTTTGCAGCTACCTAATGATGAATGTGCATGTGTAAATTGGCCTTTTTTGCTAGCCCTGCTAAGGCCTTTTTGCCCTTCACACATTTAAGAACAGAAGAGTCGTGCTGGATCAGGCCAGTGACTCATCTCGTCCAGCGTCCATTTCTCACTATGGCCAACCAGATGCTTGCCAGATACACTCAGGACCCAAGCACAAGAGCACCCTCCCCTCCTATGTCGTCCAGCAACTGGTATTCGGAAGCATTCCTGCCTCTGAATGTGGACGAAACAAAATAAAAAAAACACCTTCCAGTAGCACCTTAGAGACCAACTAAGTTTGTTATTGGTATGAGCTTTCGTGTGCATGCACGAAATGGGACACGGATGCCACTGTGGGTTAAACCACAGAGCCTAGGACTTGCCAATCAGAAGGTCGGCGGTTTGAATCCCCGCAACGGGGTGAGCTCCCGTTGCTTGGTCCCTGCTCCTGCCAACCTAGCAGTTCGAAAGCATGTCAAAGTGCAAGTAGATAAATAGGTACCGCTCCGGCGGGAAAGTAAACAGTGTTTCTGTGCACTGCTCTGGTTCGCCAGAAGCGGCTTAGTCATGCTGGCCACATGACCCGGAAGCTGTACGCCGGCTCCCTTGGCCAATAAAGCGAGATGAGCGCCGCAACCCCAGAGTCGGCCACGACTGGACCTAATGGTCAGGGGTCCCTTTACCTTTACCTAAGGTGCTACTGGAAGGATTTTTTTTATTTTGTTTCCACTACGGCAGACCAACATGGCTACCTACCTGTAACTAGAACTCTGAATGTGGAGGCAGAGCATAGCCATTGTGTCTAGTAGCCATCGAGAGCTTTCTCCTCCATGAATTTGCCTACTAGACATGATGGCCACCCAAGTTGGCAGCACATCACTGCAGAAGCACATAACTGAGTGGAGGTCATGTGAGGAGGTGTGGGGAGGAAGCCCTGCGCCCTCAAATACATGACCCCCCTTTACTTACAACTCTCCACGAGTGAGAGGGTCAACCTCTGAAAGCAGGAAGCCCCCTTGGCTCACGGGAGCTCCTTGTCCAATTCGGAACCCCATTTAGAAGGTGATTTCAAGGAGTGAAAATAGTCGAAAGGGGGGAGGGTTAAGCACTCTACCCTTCCCACCACTTCCCCATTCGAAATCACAGGCTCCTGAGGTTGGTTTTGCATTATAAACTTCATCACAAACAGGTGGCTGTGATGTGTCAATTTCTTTATGTTCTCTCCCTGCAGGGAATAACATTTTGATAGTGGCCCATGCATCCTCCCTGGAAGCTTGTACTTGCCAACTGCAAGGACTGTCTCCTCAGAATTCCAAGGACTTTGTACAGATGGTCAGAAAGGTAATGGGAACCCACCACTAATGGAAAGATCTTTAGATGTATAGCAAGGGGGGCCCTCTGTTGCCCCCAAGTGAAAAATCTTCCAAGTTCAGTTGTACTCTGGAAGTCGAACGGAATCCGTTCCGGAAGTTCGTTTGACTTCCAAAGCGTTCAGAAACCAAAGTGCAGCTTCCGATTGGCTGCAGGAAGCTGTGGAAGCCCTGTCGGACGTCCGGCTTCCAAAAGAATGTTTGAAAACCGGAACACTCACTTCCAGGTTTTGATCATTTGGGAGCCGATCTGTTCGGGAGCCAAGGCATTTGAGATCCAAGGTCCGACTGTACAAAGATCATCGTATCCCATTGTCTGAGCTCCAGAAGGCTGGAGAATTAATGGCTGTGTTCCATTTTTGTGACTTTTCCCCTAGCTGTATATGTATATTTGAGCTTTTGCATGGCATAAAAGACACTTCTGCAAGTTTAATGCTCATTTCTGAGTTATTTGCTTCCAGAAAAAGAATCTGTTTGCAAATAATATGGAATTGAATGCTAATTCCGTGCTGCATACAGTGGTTCTCAACCTGTGGGTCCCCAGATGTTGTTGGACTACAACTCCCATCATCCCTGAGCTCTGGCCTTGCTAGCTAGGGGGATGGGAGTTGTAGTTCAACAACATCTGGGGACCCACAGGTTGAGAAATGCTGCACTATAATAATTATTCCGCTGTAGTTTCCCTCTCCTCTCTCCCACTCCTTCTGGTTTTTAATCCATCTCTTTTATGAACCACAGATTCCATACTTGGGTTTCTGTTGCTGTGAAGAACTTGGAGAGACGGGTCTCTGGCAACTTACTGACCCACCCATCCTCCCTCTCACTCATGGACCAACCGGCGGCTTTAACTGGAGAGAAACTTTGCTACAAGAATAAGAGCTGGCCTTTCAAAAGACTGGAGAATGTCTCATGTATTGGAACTCTTCCCCCTCTCCCCCTTCTAATTACTGATGATGGAGAAAATTACTCATAACCTTTTAGATGGATTTTAAAAAATAACACTCTAGCATATCTTCCACAGAGTGGCATTCGTGCGTCTAGAAAAATAGCTCAATATAGACGTATGCTTGGATTGTGGAACAATATATGTGTACTCAAACACTCTCTCGTTCTCTCTTCAGGCTTCTGTCCAGCAGAAATGTCTTTGTGACGTAAGCTACTGAGCTTTAATATATAATTTTTTTTTTAAAAAAATGAATTAAGCTCCAGGGAGGAGAACCAGTTTTCACTGCCTTCTGTATAACGTTAGTGACAATTAGGACTGTGTTCTAAATTGTGGACTTCTCTGTTTTGTTGTTTGTTAGATTTTTAATTTTTCACAGGATTGACCTTTGCCGTTTCATTCCGAGCCATTTTGGGTAAAGTACACCCCACACCGTATTTTGCTAAGTTATTCTATGTGCCACATCTACATTCCTCAAGATTCCCCCCAAAACATGTGACAGAAGGAAGTGGAATGGCTCCCCCGATCAGAACTAGTGTAGAATTATGTGCCTCAGGGGTTTGGTTTTTTTGTGTGTGTTTAAAAAAAACGTGCAGTTGAATGAAAAATGTGTAGTTGGAAAGCTGATGATGTGTACTTGGAAAATGGGGTGAAAGCAGGACACATTAGGTGTATGTGTTTCTTAAGCATTTGAATGACAGGCGCTGTCAAGGAAAGTGTGTGCGCACAAATTACTTAAGGGTAGAATGTGCTCAACTTCTGTTCTTAAACTGCCCAAACCACATTACATTTTCATCATTTGGGCCAGAAGCCCCTCTACTTCATCTTCAGGCAGGTAACACTTTGTTGTAAATGCCCTTAAGGTATTCCTGGTTTTGCACCTTAGGCCTGTCTCGCACCCTATGTTCCTTCTTCTGCACTTAATGCAAAATAGCTAGTCTGGTGTCCCACTCAGCCAATGGTGGCTTATTATAATGAATGTAGGTATAAGTTTTCTGTTTCCACAGATGGTCAGGCCCTGCTTTTCCTTTTGAGCATAGCACTTGCACGTACAAGCCCCTCAACATTGGCATTATGAGATCTGGCAGGCGAGGATCGGAGCAGCTCTCTTGTAATTTGGCGACCCTGCAGAGAATTTGACCTTGTCCCTCAAAGCCTTGGAGAGCATGCTGTCCACACACTTAATGCCCAATATCGAATCGGCGAAAATAGTTTTGCTTTTTGCTTTCTTGGAGGAAAGCTACACATAATTTCCCTTCCCCCACCCCACCCCCAACACAAGAGACAGAGAGAGAACTTCAGATGGGTGTGAGAAGCTGAGGAGATCCACTTACTGAGCCAGTCCAGAGAACTACTAACTTATTGATTGCTTTTGGCTCGGCTCACTAAACCCCTCCATCTCCTAATCAGGTCTTTCAGATTGGCCAGACCAGTCAAAGGACTGGACTGAGTCTGAAACGGACCATCCAGAAACCCTCGGAAAAAGCTTCGTTGGCTAGCAACTTGATTCTGCAGACAATACAAATTATTCTGGCAGAGGGGGCCGAGTGGACCATCCTGCCGTTTGCTAAACACAGCTGCCAATTTGACTCTGCTTTTAATCCACTGAGTTGCCTGGCTTGAAGGAGCAACTTCTGCAGGGTTTATGGATTCTCCATTGTGGAATTCATGTTCAAAGCCCAAACACCAGTAGACATGTCTTGTTTGAAGGTGTGTGTTTTTTCTGACAATCTCTAGATCAGTATACATTTCAGTAGATCTGTTGAGAGTTCAGCAGACCTGAAAATATCAGAATAGATTCAGAAACCTGTGTGGAGAAACCACCACTGATACAGGGTGAGCGCAAGGAGCCAAGTATCCGTTGTGCTCACTTTTTTAACGTGGGGTGTCTGACGGGGAATTTGTGCAATCGGAGGATCTGTTTTTTTTAAAAAAAAATAGCATAGCTAGTTTACTGCCACCATTGGAGCATTGTAAATATTTCAGAGATCTTTGAAATGAGCCCAAGGGATCTTGGTGGGGACAGAATTGTTATGAGGAAGGACTCATTCACACATCGCTTTGGTCTCCCAGTACTTGGTAACTCTCAACAAGGTGGCCTTCTGTTTTGAGCATCGTGTTTAGAGGTCATATGGAAGTTTCATCTCTGGTGTTTGAACCTTGATGGCTTTCTCACACAGGCAAAGTGTCTCTTGCGACAAACATGCATATGCTCAGCAGTGCCGGCCAAGGCTGGTGGTGCGAACTCTGTTGGCAGGCCCCCTAATGGGTCTGACAACTTCCCATGTTTACAGATTATTTCCATGTTTCCTTATCTTTTGCACGATGACCAGTCCCTTGGACAAGGGCTGTTAAGGGCATGCCTCTCACCCACTTGCATTTTTTACTTGCAATATGACGATTCCTTTCTGTAACAGGCCCAAATCCAAATGCCACGCCATTCCAGAGAAGCCACCTTTCGGACTCATAGAGCCAAAAAAAGTAGAAATGCATGACCCCCCCCCCCAAAAAAAGGAGAGAGGACAAAAGTGGGCACTGATTTGCATAATCTTTGTATCTGTTTATTTATATGTATAGACACACATTGAGAAATAGAAATTAAGTACATCTCACCATGGTGGGGAAGACTGTGACCAGGGGATCTGGGTGCCTCCTCCATCTCCTGTCCTGGTGCTATCAGTAGATGGGGAACTTCAAGGCCCCTCAGCTGCTCTCCCTTCTTAGCATTCTTTATCATTAAACTGGATTTGGACCGGACAGCCCTTCAAACAGAAGACTACACTCCATAAAGTAGGAACAAAGGGCCACCCTAGCAGACAACCAGTTTTTAAAGTAATGACCAGTATTAGCCGAGAGTTTGTTGTTATCGTTATTGCTCAGGGCACACTCTCACATTACCGTAGCCTATATTTTTGTGAAGTTTGCACTCCCAAACTTGCTGTGTAAGAAAACACTCTTGGCAAGTGAGCTCTGTCTTCAAAAGGACCACTGGGGTGCTTTAGTCAAGTCAGCAAATCACATTTATCTGGGTTAGTCATTGGTTTCATCAGATGTACCCTGGCAAGTGTGGAAGAGGGAGCTGTTGTGTACATGTCATCAAGCCCAGTGGCACCATTTGGCAACCCTGGGAAGCTTCTGGGGGCCCAGTGCCCCACAAGGCCCACTACTGACACCTGCCATGGGAAACTATTAGACCTTTTTTTGCCCAGTTCCAGGCCACCATTTTTATGTTCCACAATGCTCCCGTTGTAGAAACATTCCAAGGCATTATGGGAAATTAAAATGGTGGCTTCCAGACACCCAGATGTTGCCGGAAAGCTATTGGACCATTACAGCCACTGTCCTCATTTGCTGCCATTGCCAGGTAACCCCAGCAGGGGGCCTACCAGAGTGCGCCTTAAAGGATCCCCTCAAACCTGGAGCCTTGACAAGCCTGTAGCTACACCTCATAATGTGATTACCACATGCAGTGATCTCTAAGGAGCACCCAAAACATTATGGGAACCAGAAACTCTGTGAAATAGGACTGCTGTTTACATGAGGTAATATTACCATAAGTTCTCCTGGAAGACAAACCCAAGTGCATAGGAAAAAACTGAGTAACAAATTCAGATAATGAAAGCTCTGTTTGTCAAATGCTACCTGGAGTATTACCCTGAAGTGACGGATGTGTCATTGAGATTTGTTGACCAAATTATTTCTTTGAGGAACCACTAATGTCATTGAAAACCTTCTTTGATGCAGGTGGCTCAAGGCAATGGTGGAGAACCTGTAGGGCTCTGGTAGTTTTAGACTGCAACTTGCTTCATCCCTGAGCCCCAAGATCTCCATTCCTATGATAATTTAAAGCAGACTTTCCCAACCTGGTGTCACCTTGGACCACAGTTCTCATTAGCTCTGCCCAACACGGCCAGTGCTCAGGAACAATGGAAGTTATAGTCAGTCATACCTCCCATCCGAAAGGCCACAGGTCCCCCCTACATTTGCTGATCTTTTTTAACCAAGCTGTTTGCTTTCTTTCATTCCCTCAGCTTGCCACCCATGCATGCTTGCTTTTTTTAAAAAAATTACACCCCCTGTGTATACTGATTGGGTGATCTGAATGAGTGGCAGACCAATCAGCCAACAGCTTTGCCACACAGCCAGCTTCAGCTGGGATTAATTCAAGTCGCATTTGATCTCACATACAGGACAGAATCCGCTCCCATAGGGAGCTTTTTCAAAGAGTGAACAGAAGGCGCTAAACTGAAACCAGAGTTGGCAGAATGCTGTTTGAGTGCAATATGTATATTTCCTTAACTCGCAACGTGTACATTTAACATGTAAAATGCCACAGGACATTCTCAAATGCATTATTTTTTACCAGGGATGTATAGTGAAAAGTCGGGGAGATAAAAGTTACACGACAGCAGGAAAGCAAACTGTGTTGTTTGCAGTTGTTATTAGCTGCTGGTATTTTTGGGAATACATATATATATCTATCTATATATGCATATGTAATTTAAACTATTTTTGGCTATGTACAGACATTCTGAGGATGAATTGGTTTGTGGCTTCTTCAGATCTGCTTTCTGAGGAAGAGTTTTAATGAACTGAATGACAATCATGACCAAAATGTTGGTTACTGGTGTATATTTCATTCTGGGGCGGGATAGCTTGCCAGGGTGGGACAGTTGTTGTTCTTTGCACTGATAGCTTGCGAGTCATTAACTCTTAATTATGTACTGTACAAAAGTATGTTTGAACAGCATACAATGGTCCAAAATGCATCAAGATGCTGCCGCGAACGGAACATTTTGTTCCCTGGTCTTGTCGGAATGTTATTGATAACATCAAACGAGACCCATTCCCTGTGGAATGATTGGATCAGTGCACATTTTTGCTCTCTTTGCTATTTAGGTTGCAGTCCTATGCACACTTAACTTGGGAGTAGGCACCTCTGAAAATCATAGGATTTACTTCTGGGGAAAGCATGCAGAAGAGTGTGTATTTTAAAAAGCCAATTCAATTCCAGAAAATGGACAAAGAGGGAGGAAGACTATTGTACAGTACAAAAGTATATTTTTGGATGTTAAAGATTTTTCTTTTCCTTCTCAGATGTTGGGTTTCTAAAAAAAAACAACAAAAAAAACACCCATACCACTGGCACTTCCAGTATTTTCAGAGTGGAGAAAGATTTTGCATTAGAGGAATTGGTGCTAATAAGGCAACACACTTCCAATTATAGAAGCGCTTTACAATACCAAGGGAAAACCTTTTGCCTCCTCCAGAAGATTTCATTAGGATGCTTTAAAAAAAAAAAAAACAAGAAGAGGGAAAATTGCTGCTTATGTTTTGTGTTACTGCTCATCTTCCATGTTTTTGCCACTAGAAAATTATTGATTTCAATAATAATAAAAAGTATTCCGTCTGAGTTTCTCACAATCACAAAGCTTGAAAGTGTTGAATCATGCTGTTTCTTCTGCAAAAGTGTTGTGTTCTCCCACCAAATTTCTGTTTTGGAGCAGGTGGCAGGAAGATTGCAGAAAAGGGGGTGAGTGTGTTGACAAAAGGTGGAGCAGAACCTTCCCTGCAAGGAAAAATAGAAGCACTGGAATAATAATAATAATAATAATAATAATAATAATAATAATAATTTATTTATTATTTATACTCCACCCATCTGGCTGAGTTTCCCCAGCCACTCTGGGCGGCTCCCATTCAAATGTTAAAAACAGTACATCATTAAATATTAAAAACTTTCCTAAACTTCTCTAAATTGGAAACCTTCCAATTTAGAGAAATGTCAGAGGCAGTGTGCCTCGGAATGACATTTGCCTGGGAATCACAAGTGGGGAGAGTATTGTTGCATTCAGGCACTTCTTTTGGGCTTCCCATATGAGGTCTGGTTGAGTCCTGTGAGAACAGGATGGTGGACTAGATTTATCTTTGTCCTGATCTAAAAGGGCTGTTCTTTTATGTTCTTAAAACTAAGGGGGGCTTGATACATTTTTGTGGAAAAGATGGAAGTGCAAGACACAGACACATTCTTCAACCCCTCTCATAATATCTATGGATAACTATCTTAAGTGCGCATACGGGAGTGTAAAGCCCCCTTTTATCCGCCCCACCTGTGTTTCGCTAGCTGTTGAGGGCACCCTAACATTATATATATCTGAAAGTTCTAGGGCATTTTTAAATGAAGGTTTCTGTTTTCTGTTCCCCACACCTCATTCTCATGTTCAATTGCTGCCCCTCCTTTTTAAACAAAACATGTGAAATTGTGTTGAGGAAGAAAACTGAGGCAGGGAAAGTACGTCTTCTGTCCATTGTGCATCCTTCTCAGTTCTCCATACCTTAATTTGGACACTTCAAAGCTTTCAACATGAAAAATAGAAGGGGGAGGGGAGGGTGGGTTTTTTAACAGTTACATTCAATTTTTGAGAATGGATTTGAAATTTGAAAGGTGAAAGTAAAGCCCCCTTGAGCTCTGTAGGACTTTACTTCTGTGTAAACATGTTCAGGATTTTGCTGTGAGTCAGCCAATAGTGTTGACTGGTAGCAGGATCAAGACAAGCAGGGCATGAGTCATTTATACATGATGTTTCATATCCTACCTTTCCTCCAAGGAACTCAAAGTGGTGTGCATGGTTCTGTTCCTCCCCATTTTTATCCTCACAGCAACCCTGAGTTGGTGACTGGCCAAAGTCACCAAGAGAGTTTCATGGCTGGGTGGAGATTGGAACTCTGTTCTGCCAGGTCCTAGTCTGACACTAACCACTACACCACACTGTCTCTCCAGTGTATTTCATTACATAACTTGGGGTGGCCAAATGCATCTATTCCTTTCCGTTTCTCTTGGTTTCCCTTTTTCTCCCGTCTTGTTTGTCACATTTCTGCAGCATTATGCATTTAAAAAAATAATGATGAAAATTTGTAATCAGGATAGTATGCATTTCCTCTCGTACACAGTTTTGTCTACTACACATTTTACAAGTCGTTTTGTACGATGTTTTTGTCTGTGTGTTATTTTCATGAACATGTGCATTTTTATGCATGCTTCCTCTTACTAGGTGCATTTTTGCTCACCCTTTTTGGCTGAGGAACTGCACCACAAAATTTGGAGAAGCGTGGGTTTCAAAGGATGGTGCTTTTGCTTTGATTCACATGTTATTTCAGGAAGTGCAAACGAGAGGGGTTCCTGTGAAAATCCAAACAAAATTTCTCACCATCCCTTTTTTGTGGGAGTTCTGATAAAGCAGCTTGGGGGGAAAATCCCAACAGGCCAACGCAGCTTGGTAAATACAGTGGTACCTCGGGTTAAGTACTTAATTCATTCCGGAGGTCCGTTCTTAACTTGAAACTGTTCTTAAGGTGAAGCACCACTTTAGCTAATGGGGCCTCCTGCTGCTGCCGTGCCGCCAGGGCCCAATTTCTGTTCTTATCCTGAAGCAAAGTTCTTAACCTGAAGCACTATTTCTGGGTTAGCAGAGTCTGTTACCTGAAGCATATGTAACCCGAAGTACCACTGTAAACACAAGTATGCACAACCACCTTAATGAACAAGCTGAACTGGAAATTGCGTGAGATGGTTTTGCCTTTTCCATATATGAAGCAGCAAGGAAAGATGAAGTACATGTTGCGCTTCAGAGAGGAATCAGCAGAGGTGTCTGATGTCAGCACTGCCCACATAGAAAGTTAATTTTAGAGCAGCCTAACAAGTGGCTACAAGTTTTCTTGACTTCAGCCGCAGAGGAAAGTGTCCCCGTCTGAAAGATGTGAAGAGAGAGAGGAAAGGGGGCAGATCCTGTCACTGCTGAGGTCATGGCACATGCACTTGGTTGCCTGTTGAAAAGGAGGAGCCAGCTGCAGGCCCCTGACTTCAGAAGCAAAGAGGAAGTTTCTTCGGTAGCAACTTGGGGGCTGCCTTTGAAACAGTCACCATCTCAACATGTCCCTTGTCCCGGCACTCTTTGAGCTGGCTTTGCTGCTGCAGCTGCTACAAGGTAGGTCACAACAGTTATTTATTATTATTTACTGCATTTGTATCCCACTTTTCCTCTGGGCAGCTCAAAGTGATGTACGTAGTTCTCCCCATTTTATCCTCACAAGAGCACTGTGAGGTAGGCTGAGAGCAAGAGGCTGGCCTACGGTCATCCAGTGAGTGGGGAGTCAGCCCTGGTCTCCCAGGTCCTAGTCCAGTGCTCTAACCACTACACCACCTCTGGCTCTCTGAGCTCATTTGGGTGACGTTCAAACTTGCCAAGTTCAGGGAGAGCCATCCCTACATCAGGACACCCAGAAGATTCTGGGAAATGGTCTAGGGTGACACACTTCAACTTTTTCAGATCCATACCCACCTTTAGGTAAAGGTAAAGGGACCCCTGACCATTAGGTCCAGTCGTGGCCGACTCTGGGGTTGTGGCGCTCATCTCGCTTTATTGGCCGAGGGAGCCAGTGTACAGATTCCGGGTCATGTGGCCAGCATGACTGAGCTGCTTCTGGTGAACCAGAGCAGCGCACGGAAACGTCGTTTACCTTCCTGCCGGAGCGGTACCTATTTATCTACTTGCACTTTGATGCACTTTTGAACTGCTAGGTTGGCAGGAGCAGGGACCGAGCAACGGGCGCTCACCCCGTTGCAGGGATTCGAACCGCCGACCTTCTGATTGACAAGCCCTAGGCTCTGTGGTTTAACTCACAGCACCACCCTTGTCCCATACCCACCTTTACCCAAAGATAATTTGAGCAGCAGAGTCTGGTGCATCAGGGCAAATGGTGCACTGCCCCACCAATCTCAAGTTATTATTTTTATTAATTTTCCAAATGATTACAAATCAAACCAAATTACTTCAATTCAATACAATTTCTTCAAATCAGGTTTCCCGCTCCTGTTGCAAACAATGATCATTTCCTCCCATAACTGCATCATTTCTTATTTAGTGTCCACTTGTCGTCCTTCACTTGCTGTTAAACCGTTCTTCCAGCTGACTACTTTTTTCATCCTTACGAACAGCGCCTCTGTTACATCTTATAAATACAAAATCCATTTCATGTGTGTAGTCCCACTGCCCCACCAATCTCAGCCTGGCCTCACCTGCCTGTAGTGGCATAGCATTGGTTGCTGGTACCCAGGGTGGGCAAGCCGCTGATGCCACTGGAGCACTCCTGCCCTCATCGGACCCAAGCAGGGTTGCACTGCGCCACCTGCCCACCCGCACAAGGAGGAGCCAAGTCAGCCAACAATGCCCTTGCCAGCCATATCCCGCTGATGCCTGCAGAGGAGAGCACCAGGCGAGGCCATGCTGGGATAGCCCCTCACTTGCCTCCCTCACTGTGGGCCTGGACTGCTCATTAGAAGCCATCTCTACCTTCCCCATAATAGCCTTGCTTTATCCTCCTATTAAGGGACATGGGTGGCGCCATGGGTTAAACCACAGAGCCTAGGAATTGCTGATCAGAAGGTCGGCGGTTTGAATCCCCGTGACGGGGTGAGCTCCCGTTGCTCGGTCCCTGCTCCTGCCAACCTAGCAGTTTGAAAGCACGTCAAAGTGCAAGTAGATAAATAGGTACCACTCCGGCGGGAAGGTAAACGGCGTTGATGAGTGCCGCAACCCCAGAGTCGGTCATGACTGGACCTAATGGTCAGGGGTCCCTTTACCTTTTTATCCTCCTATTAGCTTGTACCGGGAAACACTAGATCCCAAGGCTGGAAAGCTTGGCAAGCCACACTCCTTTCAGGAAATGGGGTGGAAAGGCATTGTCTTTCCTGTAGGTCTGGTATGGCTGGATGTGTGAGGACAGGATCCAGGCATCACCAAAAGGCTTCCAATTGGGGAGGCGAACCAACAACAGCCACCTCTTATTCTCCCAAGCCTATGCAGAACCTAGCTCTGTTTGGGGTGGGGAATGGGCTGTGAAGCAGCTCAGGGTGTTTCTGTTGTTGTTGTTGTTTAGTCGTGTTCGACTCTTTGTGACCCCATGGACCAGAGCACGCCAGGCACTGCTGTCTTCCACTGCCTCCCGCAGTTTGGTCAAACTCATGCTGGTAGCTTCGAGAACACTGTCCAACCATCTCATCCTCTGTCGCCTCCTTCTCCTTGTGCCCTCCATCTTTCCCAACATCAGGGTCTTTTCCAGGGAGTCTTCTCTTCTCATGAGGTGGCCAAAGTATTGGAGCCTCAGCTTCACGATTTTTCCTTCCAGTGACCACTCAGGGCTGATTTCCTTAAGAATGGAGAGGTTTGATCTTCTTGCAGTCCATGGGACTCTCAAGAGTCTCCTCCAGCACCATAATTCAAAAGCATCAATTCTTGGCAATCAGCCTTCTTTATGGTCCAGCTCTCACTTCCATACATCACTACTGGGAAAACCATAGCTTTAACTATACAGACCTTTGTTGGCAAGGTGATGTCTCTGCTTTTTAAGATGCTGTCTAGGTTTGTCATTGCTCTGGGTGTTTCTACAAAGACAAAAACATGACTACATGGGTGTTAACTGGAACTGCCTTGAACCCAAACAAACCTTGGGGGCCCCACTTCTCAAGTTTTTTTTACCATGCATTGGTATGGTAGTACTGCTGCGATCCACTTTAGATCAAGCTACGACCAAGCTGCAGGTTCCTTCAAACCCACCAGCTGAAGACTGATGGTGCCCTGATGGTCTAGACCATATACACGGCACTTAGGGTTGCCTGTCGTAACCCTGGATTTTCTAATGCCTCACATGGGAAAGTTTTGGGGGTTTTTTGCACAAATGAATCTGGGCTGTGTGCACTCACACATAAGCTTCCTTTCTCTTTTAGTTTCAAGCTTTTGAACTGAGATATTTTTGCCCCCGCTGGTGCTAGTGGCAGGAAGCAGTGAAGTTATAGAAAGGTCCCATAGAAAACCACAAGCACAGCTTTCTCTGCCTTGATACAGTGCCCTTTGCAATGTTTTTCTTTAAAGTCAGAGCTTCAGAAGGTTCTCATGTACCCTAACAATTTCATCATATGAGCGGCAATCCTTATGCATCCAAAACAGTAACTTCCTCACAAAGCGGGGGAGGTATCAGCAGGCTTGGGGAAAGCACCAAGGTTTGCAGAAGCACAAGCAATCTTTAGAGAAAGAAAAAACATAATAATGGTAAGAAATCCCTCCACACACACAACAGTCCAGTGAGGAATTGAGCAAGGTTTGTGGTCTGCTCTGCTCATGGGACACTAGCTAATGGTTTGAGCTGCTAAGTTTCATGCTAAGTTTCTGCTGTGTGGTTTGTTTGTTTGTTTGTTTATTGTCTTAAGGGCTTGCATTTTAATTGTATTTTGCATTTTCTTGTCTATGACAATTGCCTGGAGGTGGCACATAAATGCAGTGAATGCCTGGGGTAGGGAGAGGACAGGAGGAGTATCCTCTGGAAGGAGCATAGAAGGTTAGGACTCTGAACAGGAACATTCAACGCTGCAACATTTTGTTGCAGTCCTACTTGTTTCTCTGTCAGAAATCATATCCCTCAAGGCAGCCTCCTTTAGTAGTTACCACAACCGTGTGAGATAAATCAGGCTGAGAATCAGACTTAACCCAGACAGTGCAGAACTGATGCTCATTGGTTGCGTTGGTAAGGAGACAGCCTGGCTAATTCAGTGCAAATAAAGCATGCTCCTTTATCTAACCCAACCTAAGTTGTGTACCTTTGTCACAGAGGGATTGAAATGGTGAATTGCAACATAGGGCTCACCACTCATTTCGGGTTTTTTTGTTTTCTAGCTGCAACTCATTGTTCTGTGGCAAATGAACAGGCTCTCTCCCCTTACTGCACTGTAATTGTGGTGGTGGTTCTTGAGTGTGTGTGTTTTCTTTTCATTGCACTTAACCTCAGAGTCCCCCCTGAGCACGATCATTTGGCCCAGTTTGGCTATAATGCTGGTGGCACTCACCACCTGAGTTCGCCATTGTGCTGTGTGCACAGATGTGGAAAATAAACACATGTTTAAAGGTGTGTGACTGAAGTGAAATACCAGCTCTTTAAAACAGGAGAGGGCTGTTCTATCTTGTTCCAAGGTGAGCTTTTGGCTCGGAGCAACCCTTCACGAATCCATTTTCTTTAGCAGGGTCTTTTCAAGAAGCTCCCATTGAAAACGTAACTGTAGTGGAGGGGGGAAATCTGGATCTACGCTGCTCTGTTGCTGGGGACATCGGATCTGCCGTGGAGTGGAAGAACCCACGTGGGTTTGTGATTTTCTTCAGGAACACCCTGCGAGGTAGGTGCTGGGGGAAGGCAGGGACCCCATAACATTTCCACTGGAAAGAGGAAACAAGTAAGATTTCCCACGGAACAGCGATATGAGTCACACACACCAACACAACTCAGTTTTGACAGGTTCACTCACAGCCACACTCCTGCAGGAAGTCAATGCAATGAAGGCCCCCTTTGCAGTGGTTAGGATGTGTGAATACAGCAATTCCTTCCAACGGGTTTATTATGCCGCCCCTACATTTGAAAAAGGAACGGAAAGAAAGCCCACCACTCTTTCCAACAATCGGTTTGTTCAGGTGGGCTCTAACATGTGCCACAAGTGTGGGGCAGTGGTTAGAGCGCTGAACTAGGACCTGGGAGACCAGGGTTCAGATTCCCACTTGGCCATGAAGCTCACCTTGGGCCAGTCACTGCCTCCAGGCTTAGCCTTACAGGGTTGTTTTGAGGATTAAATGAGGAGAGGGAGAACCATGTCTACCACCTTGAGCACCTTGGAGAAAAAGGTGGGCTGTACAGTAAATGCAATCAATCAATCAATAGGTAGGTATTTAAAGATGCCACTTTACAGGAGTGTTTTGCCTATACTTTTGATTCTTGGGGCACAGGATTTCCTGGATTACAAGGGGAGGCATGCTTCCCTCTGCCCCCTTATCCCTTCAACACAGCCCATTACTCCCCTTCATAATGAGGCAGAACCTAATGCACTGCTATGCAATCTTTTACTGACTTGCCCCCATTGTTTCTCTCTCTTGCAGGCATAAGAGATCCAAGGTATACACTTGTCCATCATTCAGCAGCTGACTTCTCTGTCCGTCTCTCCAACGTCACGGTGCGCGATGAAGGAGTCTATACATGCCTCCACTACATGGTGCCAACCGGAAGGAAGCAGGTGAACGTCAATGTCTTAGGTGAGCCTCCAGGCTTTCAGTGGATGACGGAGTGATGGGAAGGGTGATGTCAGAGTGGAACCTCCAACAGCTGCTGAGCAGGAGCCACAAACTCCTTGTCTATCCCGGAATCAAAGACAGGAGCTGAAAACCAGAGGCTGCATTTGCACTTCCAAAGATGCCAGAGTCGCCGGCTGATCCCAGTTCATTTTGCATGAGCAGCATTTCATTTATTTAATTTGTTTGTAGTGAAACCAGTTTACAAGGAATATTGATATTATCTGTTAAAAACCAACTGAAAACATCAAAAGCTAATTGAAATTAACAGTAAGAGATAAAGAAAGGTTAAAACAGCCAAATTAAAAGTAATAGCAAAAAGTTTAAAATGAATTTGTTTCTTTGCTTAAATGTTTATACAGCTCACATTCATAAGAAATGCAACAAGGCAGTGTGGCAGCACATGCAAGTTGCAACGGTATGAAAAGCATCAAGAAAACATCAGTATAAAAACCCATAAATTTGGCTTGGTTGAAAGAAAATTCGCACTTCAAAGGCCTGTCTAAATAACATAGTTTTCAGAAAACCTCTAAGCAGTGCTATTTTTCTAGAAAAAGAGGTGTCAGAACACCTCCTTAGTTCTCTTACAATGGCAATTAAGAAACCAACCAGGAAGCTGAAATTAAGCTTGGCTTTCTGTTGCTGGGGATAATGGTTTGTTGCACCCCCATAATCAGGATTGCCAGCCAGCCAGAAACCATGGCTTGTTGTTGACTTGTGATCCTTGGCTTGTTCACTAGGTGAACATCTCTTATCTGCAGATGTTGAAAAATTTGGAGCGAACCCTTCATTCTTTGTCGTAATGAAGTTGCGGTGGGGAGACTGTCACCTCCAAATCTGATTCTGTCTTCTTACAGCTGCTCCTTCCCGACCTCTGCTGGAAGCAACAAGGGTCAGAGTTCACAATCAAGAGGAAAAGATGGTGTTAAGGTGCTCCACCTGGGGTGCTAAACCCTCTCCTCAAATTACGTGGTTGCTGGACAATGGGATGGAACTCTTTGGTATGAACTTGCTTTCTACTTGCTTTCTTTGTGCAGTGTATTTTGTCTTTTAAAAGCCATTCTAGAACCATTGGTCAGGAATGATGGGTTGGCCCTTGTCTCACTGAAGCAAATTTGCATGCACAATAACCAAATTTTATTCCATAAAATCACCTTTTAATAACTGCGTTCAGATACACTAATCATAGAATTGTAAATTTGGATGGGACCACGAGGGTCATCTAATCCAACCCCCTGCAATGCAGGAATCTTTTCCCCATTTCTGGTTTCCCTTTCTCTTCCAAATACATTTTTAAAGACTTTCCTCCCAGGTCTTCATAATTTTTTTAGAAGCAAATGCTGGTAGAGTTTGTGTTGAAATTAACAATCCAGATCAAGGATAAGGATCCTCTGGATTTGGAGCCAAATGTGGTTGTGTAGGCATCTGTGCCTGGCCCTCAGCACTCTCCCTCAGGCCATGCACTGTCCCCTGGGCACACTTCACACCACTCCTCTCTTGAGTGAATCATAGAATTGTGAAATTGCAGAGTTAGAAGGGACCTCAAGGATCACCTAGCCCACCCACCCCCTGCAATGCAGAAATCTCAGCTAAAGCATCCATGACAGGTGGCCATCCAACCTCTGCTTAAAAACCTCCAAGGAAGGAGAGTCCACAACCTTCTGAGGGAGAACATTCCACTGTCAAACAGTTCTTCCTGTCAGAAAGTTCTTCCTGGTGCTTCTGGATAGAATATGTCCTCGAAATCTGGATAATGCCACCTTTTGCACAGCCGGAATGTAGCCTACTGTGTACCAGGTGGTTCCCCCACTTTTGGCACTGCCCCTACACACTACTGTGATGCTGCCCCTGAAGGGATACCCACAAGGGAGTGTGACCCTTGGGCTGAAAAAGGTTCTGCGTCCCTGTTCTAGATACTATGCCTGATACAGGTTTAGAATTTCAAATGCCCCATTCATTCTGAATAGATCAATACGGGAAGGCACTATAAGGGATTTTGTGGCGGTCCAATGAGGACCAGAGACTCTCAGAGTGACTGGCTTGCCTGTCTGCCTGTTACAGAGAAAATGGCCAATTGAAAGGGCTTTCTGGCAGTGATTGGTTTCGTTATGGTGATTCTCAGAAAGGGCAACGCGGGAAGAACCCAGCAAAGGAGGGATCAAATTATAAAGGGGTCCGAATAAAGCAAGCTTGGAGACAGGAAATTTCTGAGAGAAGAAGGAGGGGGAGAAAAGGCAACAGGAAGGAGTTGGAGGGAGAAAGGAAAACAGAGAATTGGCAGGTCTCTAGCTGTCAACTAAAGTTCCAAAAGTTTTAATTGCTTGCCATTCCTTTTCTTAAAACCATCCATAGGAATTATTTCCTTCCTTGTATTCCCAAATGCATTTTAGGTGATACTAAACACCAGCTGGAAGAGAAGAAATGGAATTCAACTAGCACCCTCACAGTCCACACCTACACCCAGAAGTCTGGCGTTACTTGTGTTATTCGTCACAGAGCTCTCCGAGGAGGAAATTTAACAGCAAATTTATACCTTGGGCACAATGGTAAGTGCCAAATGTGCACAGTGTGGCTGAGGTGGCTCTGTGCATCAATGTTCAAGACAGAGCAATACCGAGAGGAGAGAAGGCACAAATTCTGTCTTCTTCACATCAAAATACATTCAATGGCAAATCAATAGCACAGATTGTGGCAGTCTGCTTTAAAAAGGAGGGACTGCCATATTATGACAGCAAGTTAGCTCAGTTGGTTAGAGCAGGGTGCTGATAATGCCCAGCTTGCAGGTTCGATCCCCGTACGGGACAGCTGCATATTCCTGCTATTGGACTAGATGGTGCTCAAGATCCCTTCCAACTCTACAGTTCTATTAATCTAGATTAGTAAAACCAGGGCAGAATTCAAAATTGCTTGTTGAGGCTTCTACAGTTTTGCCAGGCCCCATGCTAACCTCGTTGCTTACTAAGAACAGAAGAGCATGAGAGCATAATAATAGCTCAGCTGAATCTCAAACCAAAGGCCCAACTTTTCCAGCATTCTATTTCTTTCTGTAGCCAACCAGAAACCTCCAGGATACCTCGAGGAAGTCGTGAAGAAAATAGCCCTTCTTCCATTTTTGCTCCCTAGCCTAGGTGCATGGAGGTAGACTGCCAGTGAAACTGGAGTCTCCATTTAGCTGTTGTGCAGAATAGCTAGTGAAGGTTCTGCCATTCCTAAACTTTGCTAACCATCTTTTAAAGCCACTGAAAGTAATTGCCCTTGTCATTTCTTGTGGAAGTGAGTTCTATAAATGACCCTGAGTTCGAATATTATGTGAGAGCAGAAGAGGGGTGGCCTTGTTCTGTGTCCTTCGCCATTGGAGGTACAGTTGATGCTCCGATGCCTTGCATCAGGGATGCGAAAACTGTATCCCTCCAGACTTTGTTGGACTGCAGCTCCCATCATGACTTCTAATCCTCAACCATGCTGGCGGAGGCTGGTGGCCGTTGGGAATCCGACAATATATGCACCACAACCATACATGGAGGAAATGAGGAAAATTCTGAACAAATATGTTTCTGATTTCCAGAGCCTACCACAGACTTCACCCCAACAACACTTGCAGTTAGTACGATAACTCCAGAAAACCTTCCCCATTATAAAGGTAAAATATTCCATCACCATTTTGCAGGGTGTGATGTACTCACTACATTCTCCTCATCCAATGCTATCTGATACTTCCTGCCTTTCCCCCCAAATCCAATACAGTGGTATCTCGGTTTTCGAGCATCTTGGAAGCCAAATGTTTCGGTTTTCGAATGCTGAAAACCCAGAAGTAAACGCTTCCATTTTCAAACGAGCCTCGGAAGTTGAATGGCTTCCGCTGCATGTTTTTCAATTTCCTCAATTGAACTTGCAGCCAGCCCTTTGCGCCTTGGTTTTTGAACGTTTCGGAAGTCAAACGGTCTTCCAGAACAGATTACATTCGAGAACTGAAGTACCACTGTACATGGACAATCCGATCTGTTCAGTCTGCAATGAGCTGTTTTATTTCAAGAGCTTGGTTTTTTAAACTTTGCTTTTTATACTTCTGCAAATGTTGGGGTTCTCCAGAGCATGCTGATACAGCCAACTCCTTTTCCCATGGCTCCATTTTAGTGCTAATCCTATTGGCGCTCACTACTTGTGTTCATTATTAGGGAGCTGGTGGCTTTCAAAGGGCATCGGGCAACTTGAAGGGGATAGGACTGTCGATGGCTGCATTAGCCAATGGGAAACAAAAGGAGGAGGGGGAGGCCATTGCTTCTTCAAGCTTTGCCTGTGGTCCTCATGGAGGGTCCAGTGCGTCACTTTGCAAAAGAGGATGCTGGCTTAGGTAGAACTTCTGATCTGATCTGTCAGGGCTTTTCTGACATTGATCCTGCACCGTGGAGGCTGGTCTGTTAGGGTGCCCCACCAACTTCAGTCTGCCCCCAACTACCTGAATTCTTATTTGCAACCAGTTAATCAATCAATCGTGGGAGGCGCTGTGGGTGGTGCTGTGGGTTAAACCACAGAACCTAGGACTTGCCGATCAGAAGGTTGGCGGTTCGAATCCCCACGACGGGGTGAGCTCCTGTTGCTCGGTCCCTGCTCCTGCCAACCTAGCAGTTCGAAAGCATGTCAAAGTGCAAGTAGATAAATAGGTGCCACTCCAGCAGGAAGGTAAACGGCGTTTCCGTGCGCTGCTCTGGTTCGCCAGAAGCGGCTTAGTCATGCTGGTCACATGACCCGGAAGCTGTACGCCGGCTCCCTCGGCCAGTAAAGTGAGATGAGCACCACAACCCCAGAGTCGGTCACGACTGGACCTAATGGTCAGGGGTCCCTTTACCTTTTAATCAATCAATCAATCAATCAATCATCCCCTGGGTAAACTTTCCCAGAAGATGTTTAGCACATAGCTTTCCCGCTATGGAGACGAGGCTTATTGGTCTATAGTTGGATGGTAATGTGCGCTCTCCCTTTTTGTATATTGGAACGATTGCGCCTGTCCATGCCTCTGGCATAAAAAGTCCAGTCCTATCTACCCTTGTGAATAGGTTGGCCAGCAAGGTAGCCCACCAGTCAGGATCTAGTTTAAGAACATTGGGACCTATGCCATCTGGGCCAGTGGCTTTCCCTTGCTGGTCTATTAACATTTTTATTTCATCTGATGAAACTGGGGGCCACTTGGGGGCATTGATTTGCATAGAATGATAACAAGCTGTCCCACTGGAATGATCCTCATTGCAAGACACTTGAAAAGTAGTGGTACCAATCATTAGGCGAAACAGGTGGAGAGGAAAGTCATTAGTGTTAAATGCCCCAGAATATAAGGGCCAGAATCTCCTTTCATCGTTTGAGGTTATGGCATACGTAGTGGAGTTGTTCCCATTGTTTGTTGGTATGTTCAGATCTCCGTCTTTTTAAAAAATAAGGTGCTGCAGTAAGTTTTGGGACCTGAAATATTCTGGGGGTAGGGCGGTGGCTTCGTCCTTACGGTGTGGGTGGAAGATATTCCGGATGTGTGCTTTGAGATCTCTGCATTCCTTATGAAACCAGATTGCAGCAAAGGGCTCCCTGGGTCGTTTTTGCACTGTGAATTGTTGTTTTGAAAATTCATTCAGAGATGTTATTAGGACTTCAAATGATTCAACCAGTCTAGAGGGTGGCACTGGACGTCCACTTCCTCCTCCTTAGGATTCACCCACTCTTCTGCTTGTCCCAAGTCTAGAAAGCACAGGTCTGAGTGGTTTTTCCCTTGCCTCCCTCCTTTCATAGGAAAAGCCCACACCTTAGTGCTAAATCAGAGAAAACCTGAATTGCTGTTTGCTCCGACTGAGCACTAAAGAGCGCTGTTCCCTGAGGGGAAGCAGTGGGACGAGAGGCAGTGTGGAGAAGCCCTTAGTCTCCCTACTGACCATATAAAACTCAGTAAGGAGGAGGTTTGGGACAAAGCTAGAATGGGTTTGCTGTGACTGTCATTAGCTCTGGCTCCTCCTACTGTCAGCCTCCCAACCTGCTGCCCAACCAGTCCCAATGGGCACCAGCCCCCCGTGGTCCTGGGGTAAGAAAGGGAGGAAGAAGACTTTTTTTTAATTCTTTTTTATTATTTCAACAGGGCCAGGCGAAGCATTAAATATTACAGAAGGAAACCCTGGAACACAAACACCACACACAAGTGCTGCAGCAGCAACTCTGAATTCTAATGCTACCAACGGTATGATGAAGCAGTTTAACAATTATTTCCTGACGTTAAAAAATGAAGTTGATTTCCGATGATAACCCAACCCCATGCAGCTTACTTCATCTCCTGGAATATCAGAATTGCAGCATTTTACATTCAGGTCACCAAAAGAAATTACTCTTTTGCTTGATGCAGAACATTGGGTAGTTCGTTGCTTTTAGATGTGGTGATAGTTACCAGTCTAGACGTCTTGAAAAGTGGATTAGGCAAATTCATGGAGGCTGAAGCTATTGGTGCCTATTTGTTCAGATGGTTAAATAGAACCTCCCAGTTCAGAGGCAGTATACAAGCACAAAGCAACAGCAGTAGAGGGCCTTTGCCTTTATGACCTGCTTGTGGGCATGAGGCTCTTAATCTCAGGGTTGTGGGTTTGAGCCCCATGTTAGGCAAAAGTTTCCTGCATTGCAGGGGGGTGGAGTAGGTGACTCTCGTGGTCCCTTCCAACTCTACAATTCTATTATTTCCAGAGGCATCCAGTGGCCATCATGGTAGCCGGATGCTGACCTAGATGGAGCATTGGTCTGAGGCTGAGCTAGTAGGATTCTTTATGAGTTCTTAAATTTTTGCTTGGGAATTAAAGGAACAACACTTCTCTTTTCATTTTCTTCAGGCTCAGAAAAAATATTAAATGCGACAGAAGAAAACCTTAGTATACCAACTCTGTCTCCAACTGGGGGAGCAGCAACCCTGAATTCTTATGCCACTAAAGGTATGCTGAAATAATATTAAAATAATCGTCTCCAAATGAAAAAATGGAATTAACTTCTGCTGCTAATCCTTAAATATACAGGTTATTTCAAGCTATTCACTGTAATGTCAGCATTGCTATATTCACTCGTCTCAGGATGTGAAAGGAATAAACCTTCTTTTTTTCAATTCAGCAGGATCAGATAAAATATCCAATGTGACAGAAGGAAATTCTAGTACACAAACACCGTATCCAGGTTCTGACACAGCAACTCCGAATTCTCAGAGCACAATTGGTAAGTTAGTGAAATGTTAACATCCTGATGTACAGGTAGCCAGTGTGGTGCCCTACATATGTTTTGGACTCAGGTTCTCATCACCCAATCCAGCTTGGCCAATGGTCAGGAATTATGGGAGTTGTAGTCCAACATCTGGAATGAATGCTCAATAAAAACATCTAAACTTTTTGGAAACACTCAATAGACGGGTCATCTGGAAGTGACCAAAAACTCGTTCTACCAGCTGAAGAGAAACTTTGCAACCAGCCCAATGCACTGTTGTTAACTCGTTTACTGGTGGGGATCCATCAGACATTGCCCCTAAAGGAACCATGGCTGTTACAGAAATAGGATGCATCCGCAACACTCAGAGGACAATGTACCAAAAGCATGAAAACTCACATTTTTGTTTTTGTTGTTTTTGTTTGTTTTGTTTTGTTAACAGGAACAAATCTTACACACGAAGGAATCGTGAAACGAGCGAGCCTTTTGCTTCCCATCCTTGTGACGGTGTTACTTTCTGCTCTCTTCATCATTGTCCTGCTTCTTGTGGTGAAACTGTGGAAGGCACACAGAGAATGGAAGAAAGGTTAGAGAGGACAGACAAATGAAGAGTGTGCATTCTGGATGCTTTGACAACCCCTCCCCTCCCAAAAGCAGTGCAGGGGGTAGGACTGTCATTATGCACACTTAAGGTAAAAGTAAAGGGACCCCTAACTATTAGGTCCAGTCGCAGACGACTCTAGGATTGCGGCGCTCATCTCGCTTTATTAGCTGAGGGAGCCGGCGTACAGCAAGACTAAGCTGCTTCTGGCGAAACCAGAGCAGCACACGGAAACACCGTTTTCCTTCCCGCCGCAGCGGTACCTATTTATCAACTTGCACTTCATGCTTTCAAACTGCTAGGTTGGCAGGAGCAGGGACTGAGCAACGGGAGCTCACCCCGTCATGGGGATTCGAACCGCTGACCTTCTGATCGGCAAGCCCTAGGCCCTGTGGTTTAACCCACAGCACCACCCGCGTCCCTTTATGCACACTTACCTGGGAGTAAATCCCAATGAATTCAGTGGGGCTTCAGATTGCAATTGACCCCTGCCTCTTTGTGAAGAAATGTCATACACATACACACACACACACACACACACACACAGCTGCTGGTGCTGCTGCTCATTATTTTCCTTTCCAATGTCACCTATGTAGAAACTGAAGTTTCGGATCAGACGCTTGAAAGTAACAAATCTCGGCCAAATGAGGACAACCATGGGCAGGAGAAGAATAGAAATGGTATGCATGGAAATTTTTGTGTTTGTGTGGATGGGGGCAGAGGGAATGGTTTGAATTAAGAAATGCAACCAAGGTAATAGCTGATGGATCAACTAGGGATTAAAGTCTAATCGTATTTTTGTTCTCGGTTTATACAACTGTTCCAAAGCAATGGATCTGGATTTCATCCATGAAAACAAAGTTGTACCACAAACCCTACAATTCAAGGCCTATGTCCAGAAAGGACACAAAGAAAGTGTCTACAAAAAGGGGTTACAATTTAAAGGGGAGATGGAATAAATGATACAATGAAATAAATTCCAGTACAGTCATACCTTGCATCAGTACAGCCATCAGTAAAATCAACAAAAGTTTAAAAGAATAAAAAAGAGGGGAGGGTTCATCTGAAGGCAGCAAGAGAGAGGGGACGAAATGGAATTCTCAAGGGAGGGAATCTTCCTGATGTTAAAAGGTCCTTGGCACCTGACAACCCATGTGGCAAGGTCAGTGTAGTGGTCACAGTGTTGGACTGGGACTTGGGAGACCAGGGTTTGAATCCCCAACACAGCCATGAAACTGACTAGGTGACCTTGGGCCAGTCTAACCTACCTTACAGGGCTGTTGTTGCAAGGATTAAATGAGGATGGAGAGAACCTTGTCCACCACCTTGAGCTGCTCAGAGAAAAAGGTGGGATGTAACTGCAAGAAATAATAATAAATACAATTTTAGGTCCCAGATTGCTTCGAAATACATGAATAGGTTCTGATTTCAGTAATGGCTGACAGAGATAACTTCATGTCATATTACACAGCAAAATAAGCACTCTGTATGATGGGCAAGAGCAATAGATATTTGTTTTATTTTTTATCCAGTTATCCCTTGGAAGATCAGTAAGAAATATGTAATTGGAGGATCGTGCACGAGGACAATGAAGAATTCAGAGGGGAGTCAAGATTCATCAGTCTTTGAAAAACATTTGCCTTCTGTTAAGGAAACTGACCTGTGAGCATCACTCCCTACTGATAATATTGGACTATGTACAATGGCGCAGGACGGCATTCACTTTATTTAGCCTGTGGCTAAATATTCACCTTTCTGTGAAAAACACTTCAGAACCAACATTTTCAACAGGATTTCAAACCAGCGGAAACAACTGGTTCATAAACGTGGGGTTCAAGCTGGGCTAATTGTGTTGTAAATAAAAAGACAACCATACTGCAAAAGCTGTTGAGAATCTGCAACTTGTATATGTTATGATTGAGCTAGCATCTTAATAAATACAATACTTAGCACTTTGGAGCATACAAAGCAGTTCACACATTTCCCCAGTAAACCCTCCCAACAATGCAGTACAGGTCAAAATAATTATCCCCATATTGCAGATGGGAAGACTGAAACTACCTAGAGTTGACCTGAAGTGACTTATCTGGTGTCTGACTGTGGTTTGCACTTGTTGGAAGCCCTGGGTGACCTTGGGCCAGTCACTCCCCCTCCGAGCCCAATGGGTTGTGGTGGGAACACAGCCCACTACAAAAGCTGTTCATTGCCTTTGGGGCCAGCACTATTGTTAGGCAGAATGAGGTGGGTGTCAAAGGTAGCTGACATTGGGTGTCATGAAAGGGCAAAAACTGCTAAGCTATTTAATGTATTGCTATTTTCTTTTTAACCCCATCGAGAGGCACTTGCAGGGTTTTCTGTTCTCAGGTGCTAAAATAATCTGGGTGGGAGCACCCCTTGACTTGGAAAAGGAGCACCGTTTGCTGTTCTGCCTCAGACAGCAAAATATATTGGACTAGCCCAGTATGCCCTGCACCACGCGGGCTTTAAACGAGGCTTTTCCCTATTGTGAGAGAGGAAGGGGAACTGCTCCTGCCGTTTCCATTTCTGTCAAGACAAATATCTGTATCCGCTGCCAACTATAAGTGCACAAAACGCATACATATATAAACACAAGCAGACGAAAATTAAAAACTATGCAACTTAAAACATAGAATGCATCATCGTGGCTGCTTATTTCAATTTTCAGTTGCCAGATGTTTAAAATTCTCCGCTGCCACCAGCTCATCTTGATCCGCGGAGACAAAAGTCGCCCAATAGTCAGCTGAGCATCCTCAGCGTCCTCCGCAATCTTGGGCGGAAGGTACCATTCCGCCCCGACCGCGTTGGTCTCTCACACACACCCCCCCCCCACGTTACGGAGGATTGGTAGCTGCGGAGAGGGCGGGGCGGCGAAGGTCTGTGTATCTGTGTACCGTTGCTATGGAGACGTGACGCTAGTGGCGCAGCGGGAGCTGCGGAGAGTAGCTCTGTGAATAGCCTGCGGCGTCGCTGCTGAAAGGTAGTTGGGGAGCAGAAAGGGAAAAGGGTTCGGGTGGGGTGGGGGGAAGCAGGCAGGTATCACTCGAGAGGAGACAGGAAGGAAAGGGGGTGGGCATTTTCCAGCATGATGTCAATGAGGAACAAGAACTGCACCTCTTCCGAAGTCCTGCTCCCTTTGGCCAGCTGCTGGAGGTGCAGAGAGTCCAACAGGTGCAGCAGCTTCTCCTGGATGCAGTGGCGGAAAACGCTTCCCCGGTTGAATTTCTGCCAGTCATGCAGCTATTAAATGAATCTAGAGGTGGGATGAGGGCGATGAGCAGCTCAGAGGACACCCACCCCTCCAAGTTTGGAGGGACCAGCTTGACTCAAAGGGTTTATCACAGATCCGCAGGGAGAAAAATGTGTGTATAAAAGTTTGTCTGTGCTTATGGTTCTGCAGTGGTGGCTTGTATTGGGCTGTTGCTGTTTTGCCTTGTTGAGTTAGCTGCCCTGGAAGACAGGTGTGCTTAAGGCACGCAGTTAATGGTAATAAATAGATATCAATATATTTAAATGTGTTGTTATAACTTATGATACCAGCTGCCTAAATGATTGCAAGAAGCAAAGGCTTGGCTATAGACTACCCCCTCTCATCCTGACCCCACATATGTGATGTCTTCTTTATTCCATTTATGTTATGCCCTGAGACCAAATATATCTTTAGTACCCTTTTTCCAGACAAGGAGACCTTACGACAGGGGTCAGCAACCTTTTTCAGCCGTGGTCCGGTCCACCGTCCCTCAGAGCATGTGGTGGGTTGGACTATATTTTTTTTGGGGGGGGGGAACGAACGAATTCCTATGCCCCATAAATAACCCAAAGATGCATTTTAAATAAAAGCCCACATTCTACTCATGTAAAAACACGCTGCTTCCCGGACCATCAGTGGGCCGGATTGAGAAGGCGATTGGGCCACATCCGGCTCACGGGCCTTAGGTTGCCTACTCCTGCCTTAGGATGATCAATTTACACAGCTGCTTCTGATCTAATGGTATTGCTCCCCCGCCCCCCATCGAAAAAAAGAGGAATGTGGTCAGAACCACATACTGCTTTCCTTTTGTTTATACTCCAGAAAGTACAGAGTGGTCCTTATGCAGGAATACTAACTCCTATGTTGCAGAATGGGGATTACGTACATAGGCCTAGGTGTGCCAGCCTTAGGCTGTTTGCACATTACTAGCTTAAAGTGCAGCTAGGGCATTCTTTTCTCAATTCAAATTGAAGCTGGTTTGGGGGGAGATGCATCAGAAGGCAGAATTTCACAAGGAACAACAGGATAGATGCGAGATTGATATGGATTGTGGCTAAGACGTGTACAGTAGGAGCCAATTCCAGGGGGGCCATGGGTGCTTGGGCATCCACAATCATGTAATTGTGGGGCAGGGCACCCACAAAGTCAATGGAAAAAGCTGGCAGGCAGCAGTGGCGCTGCCTCCGAGACAGAAGCGGTCCAGCTCCGCCCTCTACAGCCAGCAAGCAAGGCACCCTTTTCTGAGCCCAAGTCCCTCCCCGCAGAAAAGGGTGCCTCTGTGGCTGCAGAGAGGAGGAGGAGGGAGAGAAGCCACCGTCGCTACAACACCGTGGACATGAGACATCACCCGCACACACCTGCACATATGGTGGTGAGCACCCACAATCCTGAGGGTGAGATGGCACCCCTGCCGTGTATGATGCTTCCAAAACCAGTGATGGAACGTGTAATGGATGCAGAGGAGGTTATACACAGCCTTAGATAAAGCAATAGTAACATTTGATCATTTGTGCTTAAGGCCATTGGGATTGCTGAGGAGTCTTTGCCTACAAAAACAGTTCATGCCCATTGCTGGAAACACAAAACACAGATCAAGACTGTAATGCTCTTTTTTATATGCAGTGTTTACATGACTTGAATATACACAATTATTTAATTGTTATTGCAAGTTGCATTAGAAGGCTTGATCATTTTTCAAGCAACGTTCAGATTTTCAGACCTTCCACATTTAAGCTTGAAAACATTTTTTAAAAATTAAAAATGGCTATTCTTGGGTGTGTGTTTTTAACCTTGAGGATTCCAGTGGGTTCTGAGCTTTCAAAGTAAAATCTTGAAAACGCTAAACTTACTTATTTTTAAATGCTGGCTTTTCTTTCATTGGAAATTTGAAGAGTTGAAATGTTCTTTGGGGATCATATGGTCCACACACACCTCTTTTCCATTATAATTGTAAGCCATCTCAGAAACAGAGCAGACAGCAGTAATTAGGATATTGCTTACTTTGTTTTACAGAAGGGTCACACACGTGAAGTGGATTTTTCTGCTCATTCTGAACTTTTTTTTCCCCCTGCACCATGAACGCAAAGAGCCCATTATCCCAAAATGGTTTAGTTCAGCCGCATGTCCATTACTCCTTTTTGGAAACGGCCTCTGAAGGATTGTCACAGAGTGACTCTGATTCTGAAAGCCTTGCTCAGGAGATTCAGTATCAGCTTGAACTACAGAAGCGGATCCACAAAAGTGAAGAGCTGGTGGGCCAGTCTGGTGATGAGCTGGAAGAAGACAGCTTAGACGAAAACAGCTTAGATGAAGACAGCCTGGAGGAAAAATGTCTGAGTGGAGGAGGAGAAGAAATCTCTGATGGAGAAGAAACACAAGTTCCAAGCAGAAGTGGTGCTGGAAAGGAAAACTGCAGCCATGCAAGGTAAAGCATTTGCATTTTAATGTACAGGCATTTCTGCACTTCTGTTTTCGGTCAGGACATGTTAAAAATATAAGGACAAACCTAAAATGAGCCCTACCGGATCAGGCAAAGATCTGTCTAGTCCAGAGACCTGTATAGGGTATTGACTACAAGCAGACTATGAAGGTAGTAACCCTCCTGTCTTCTGAGGTATACTCTGTTTTTATGTGGACGTTCCATTTAGCTTTCATGGCTAGTGGCTGCTGACACCTATTCTCCTTTATTTGTCTGAGCCTGATTTTAATCACATATACTGAGAAGAGTGAATGACAAGACGGTCATTTACCAAGTAATAAGTTATCACAGTATACATGTGATTTCTTGGTAAGCTGGTTGTTGTTGTCTTGCTAAGTGGTGGAGATCATTCTACTGCTTGCATGCAATTCTGTTTATATGCAGAAGTGAAAAATCAAAGATTGCTTCTTGATTACTGTTCGTTGAACATTTAGCCTGGTTTGTTTGCTCAAAGTTTGTGGGGAAGTTAGACTATATCATCTATTTATTGTGCATTGATCCTGATTTATTTGCAGGATCAAAGTTAGGCAATGCAGTCAAGCAAATGTTATGCTATACTTTCCAGTACATTTTTCTGTCACTTCTCTTCTTTATAAAAGGTCCAATTTGGGGAGGGGAAAGAGAATTTGTTGCGTAAGAGCTCCAAATCAGCTTTAATTGCACAACCTGAATTTTGCTGACATGTGACTAAATCCCACACAAAAATAGCGATGGTCTAAAAGCACCCATAGAGATGAACCTCAAAGTTTTGATTACCTTTAATCTGCCAGTTTTCATTTACCTGGTCCTTTGTTTTACATATGAACTTGATTTTTTGTTTATTTTATTCCCATTTTATTTTAAGGGGGATCAGCCTAGGAACCTGAACAGTGGTATACAAATACTTCCAGTAAATTAAAAGTGCTGAAGAAAACTGCTGTATTTGTTTGCAGAAGCATTCCACTTTCTTCTAGTGACCAATATGTTCTAAGTAGAACATTCTCTTGTGTTATCAAATATAGTCGTACCTTGGAAGTTGAATGGAATTCATTCCGGAAGTCCGTTCAACTTCCAAACATGTGGAAACCAAAACGCGGCTTCCAATTGGCTGCACAAAGCTCCTGCAACCAATCAGAAGCTGCGGAAGCCTTGTCAGACGTTTGGGTTCCAAATAACATTTGCAAATGGGAACAGTTTGCGGCATTCGGGAGCCAAAACGTCCGAGTACCAAGGCGTTCAGGATCCAAGGTACGACTGTAATAGAAACAGAGTTGACACACTTATTTCTTATCATAATCCAGTAACTGTAAATACTACAGTGGTACCTCGGGTTATATACGCTTCAGGTTACAGACTCCGCTAACCCAGAAATAGTGCTTCAGGTTAAGAACTTTGCTTCAGGATGAGAACAGAAATCGTGCTCCAGTGGCGCAGCGGCAGTGGGAGGCCCCATTAGCTAAAGTGGTGCTTCAGGTTAAGAACAGTTTCAGGTTAAGTACGGACCTCCAGAACGAATTAAGTACTTAACCCGAGGTACCACTGTAATAGAACAGTGAGATTTAAACATTTTTTAAGAAAATTGTTCTACATATTTGTTAACATTAAGATCACAGTGGTATCTTCAAAACAATGCTTTTAACAGTTCAGTCCTATGACATAAGAATTAAGTTTATTGAAGTCAATGATAAGTCTTCCTCCCAGGTAAGCATGTAGAGGATTGTAGCCTAAACAACACAGTGTGTCACAATCTTTATCACAGGGGTCCCTAACCTGTGGCCCTCCAGATGTTGTTGGACTACAGCTCCCATCGTCCCTGACTATTAGCCATTCTGTCTAGGGCTGATGGGAGTTGAGTTGAATTTCAACAACACAAGGAGGATCCTGAGTTTCTTTCCCATAATACATTTGTTTGCATGATGTATTGAATTGATTTTTAGCTGTGCTTGACAAAGACCCTGCTGTATTGGAAACTTGTTTTGCAAATACATACAACATTCTTAATTCATTTCTCTGGCCTGAAGACTGGTGCTGCCCTCCTTTATATTTTTAAATAACATTCTGGACATCTGTTGGCTGGGCAATGCAAACAGACTGCTTACAAGACTACTTGCACTCACTGGCAAGTTATCAGCTGTAAAATGGGCATAAATTCTATTGGTTTCAAGTGTATATACAGTCCTTCAATCACATTTTTAAATGTATCTGCTTATGCTAGAAGGCTCTAAAATTTTAAAGGACTTTTGAGGATGTGCCAATGAAATAGTTGCCTTTTTTATTCAATAACTGCATAAATGCCAAATTAAAAAATTCCAGAGTGGTTATTTGTTTTCCCTGCTTACTTTGAGAGGTGCATTAACTTCCCCATTCTGTGCAAATAGAAATTGGATTTGTTGCGTGCACTGAAGGCTTAATGCGGCCTAAATGCAAAATAATTGTTGTTTAAAAGGATTAAATTAAGCCTGAATCAAAAAACGATAAACACAATCCATTTTCATGCTCCGCTTAGAAACAAACATGGCAAAAAGGAAAGAGGGTTAAATTATTAACGGTGCGCTTTCATGCACCTCCTCAATGGGCAAAGTGGCTAGTTATTGAACATTTTATTGCAAGTGGGAAAGGATGTTAATTGTGTAGGAAACATGCTCCAGCCTTTGTGGGGAGGGGGATTCTGACAGAGCACAAAGCTCTTCATTCAATGGAAATTTGATGTTATGTTCTTCCAAATTATCGCAGTACGTGCTCAGATGGAGTCCATTAATGGAGACAAATATCATTCCCTGTGCCTGTGATGCTTCCTGTCTGCCTCTATTCTGAGCTCAGAATTTGAAGTGGAACCCCTACATCTGTTGTTCCAGAGAGAGTCCATATAACCCTTATTCAGCAGAGAAAGCGGGGCACAGGATTACAGAGAGAGAGCGACAGAGACGGAGACCCTCTTTTTGTCTTGTTTTGAAGATGAATCTATTCACCTCCGTTTGGATTCACCAGGTTGACCCTAGACAGCACAGCGCAGCAGAGCTCATGCTCTTGGATTTCAGTACAATGAGCATTGGCAAGGATCACACTCTGTTGTTAGAAGCATTTCCATTGTTTTAAGCCCAGTGTGACATATTTCTGGGCTTGTGCCACTTCAGAAAAGCTCTCCTGCATGCATATCATTTGCATTCATGAATAATCATGGCTGGTTTTGGACCACCCTCCAGATAAACCTGCAGGGACATTAATAATGTGTTCCAGTCCCTAGCCTAGCCAGCTGCAGGCATTAGCTGAAGTCAGGGGTGCCAACTTGAATAAAATATGGGGGGGGGGGGGCAGGTAAGCCCTGCCCTGCATAATTGATCACATGACAGTGCACACACAATTTGAATGGCAATCCCCATCAACTTTGGAGGGGCCCATCCCTCTCAAATATTGTATGGAGTTGGCTCCTATGGCTGAAGTTCACTGGATAATTTACAGTGGTACCTCGGGTTACATACGCTTCAGGTTACATACGCTTCAGGTTACACACTCTGCTAACCTAGAAATAGTGCTTCAGGTTAAGAACTTTGCTTCAGGATAAGAACAGAAATCAGGCTCCAGCGGTGCGGCAGCAGCAAGAGGCCCCATTAGCTAAAGTGGTGCTTCAGGTTAAGAACAGTTTCAGGTTAAGTACGGACCTCCAGAATGAATTAAGTACTTAACCCGAGGAACCACTGTACATGGTTGGTGTCTCCAGGCTTTCGAGGGCTCCTGGCCAAGCAAGACACACTCCATGGGCCACCCACCCTTAGTGAGTTTACTTCCTCACTCCCATTGCCACCTACTTGCTTCCCAGGAAGGGGGAGCCACTGAGCAAGCAGGAAGTGGCAGCTCCTCCTCCTAGTGGTCGCCAGAGGAAGAGGTCGAATGACCTGAATGGCGTTCAGGTTGTAATGGTGAAAAAGAGGAGCAGACCCAGGGGAGGCTTCTGTCATGGGCCGCCTGTTGAGATGTGGACCCTCGACAGAGGCCCATCCATGCCAGTCCTTGGCACCAGCCCTGATTGCAATTGATCCTAGGGTTAAGCTTTTGGCCTGTATAGACAGTGGCCAAAGTAGCTTTGATTTGACTCCCTCCTGAAAGACATCCAGCTCCCATTTCAGTTTGGAAAATTGCCTCGCATCCACCACCCTGGGTTGTTATTTTTCATAGTCCTGATTGGAAAGCCAGTGCCACATACATTCCTTGAAAAGAATTACCTTCGAGAGAAAGTGAGTGAGGAAACAAAAGGCTTCAGTAGTGGCTGAGAAACAAAGGGTTGTACCCAACTCCTCAGAGTAGGCCCTTAGAAATGAATGGACCTAAATTAGTCATGTTGATTAGTGTCAGAGAGTCAGCTCTGAGTATGACCAACTCTGGCTAGATCCCTGAGTAACAGACATTGAAAGCTCCTGGTTCAAATTTTACCTCTGCCATGAACTTGTGCGACCTCACACAAGCCTTTTCTCACCCTCGCTCAGTAATATGGATTTTTTTATTTGTGTTTAAGTTTCAGAACAGTCAAAAGAAAGTACAGTGGTACCTTGGGTTGAGAACTTAATTAGTTCTGGAAGTCTTAACCTGAAACTGTTCTTAACTTGAGGGACCACTTTAGCTAATGGGGCCTCCCGCTGCTGCTGCACCGCCACTGCACGATTTCTGTTCTCATCCTGAAGCAAAGTTCTTAACCCGAGATACTATTTCTGGGTTAGTGGAGTCTGTAACCTGAAGCGTCTGTAACCCGAGCTACCACTGTATGCACATGATTAAACATGATTAAACTTTGGAATTCTCTCCACAAGAGGTAGTGATGGTCACCAACTTGGAAGGAAATCAAAGGCTGCTAGCCAGGGTGGTTGTGCTCTACATCAACGGTTGGCTTGATCCAGAAGAGCTTTCCTTATGCTATATTCTTAGGTTTCTGTCTCCTTTCCTAAAAACTTCAAAGCAGTACTAGCTGTACAGGACATAAGGTGCTGGAGACTAGCTGCCGGAGACCTTGATTTGAGATGTGGGCAGACCACCAGTGCCTTCTAACAAGTGAATTTTTAGCGTCTGGTGGTCACCGTCTGCTGTTTAACAAAAATCGAACAATTGTTTCAAGTGACTGTAGATAAGTTGCTTTCTGGTTGTCACAAAAACCATAACCTGCCATTGTAAGCACTAAAACACCCAGGTATATTCCTTGCATCCGAACCTTAAAATTCTTATAATAGTTAGGGCCCATGACTGGGATTGTAAAATAAGAAGCCTTTGAAAATAATGCTTTTCTTGATCAAAACTTCCTTTTCGTTTGTTCCTTTTAGTAACGAAAAGGAAACAGTGGACAGGTATTCAGAGCTGAGATATAATCCCAACTGGAAGAATAATAAAAAGGCAGTAGGCTTTGTCGAATTAGATGGCTGTCCCCCAGAGGAAGACGAAGACTTGCCTGTTCTCTCCATCGATTCAAATGGCAGCCCTTCCCAGTTCAGATTCATATACAGGCATCGCCAGCACCAGGAAAGACCACAAAACAGACCACCTGTGTTTGACAGGGAGCTCTTGAACTCTTGCGATCAGCCTGCAAAGGTCAGCAATGGATCTTGTGGTTTGTATAACAAGGAACAGGAAGTAGTAGTTCTTTGCCATTATAACAGCTGTTCTAGTATACACAGCGACAGTTCTTCTACTCAGATGAAAGAGTTTAAACCAAGGCCTGAGAAGGACTTTGTCGAAAAGAACAAGCTCACTTTGGGACTAGTGATCCAAGAGAACAATTCTTATCTTCAGCGCCATGGTAAAAAGCAAAGGGAAGACCATGAAGAAGAGGTAGGTGAATGACCTCTGCTCAGAACGTTCTGACAGCACTTAGCAATTATTTACATGTCAATGTGTTCAAAACCCTTCATGTCTCATATTTTATTTTCTTTAATTTGTACTGTGTGCAATGCAATATTTGCAAACCATCCAATAAAACGAGGGTTTGAGTTCCATGAAGTTGCCCCATTAAGCAGCTTATTTTTATCAGTTTGTATTTAATAATAATAATAATAATAATAATAATAATAATAATAATAATTTATTTGTACCCTGCCCATCTGGCTGGGTTTCAAACAATGTTTTTAGAATGTTGTAAGCCTCCTGGAGTCCCAGCTTGGGAGAAACATGAGACAGAAATACAATAAATAAATTAGCACCAGGACTTCCACCAGATGGGGTGCAGGGTTATGAACATATTTTTGAGACGGGGGTTACCTGGGAGTAAATCCGGTTGAACTCATTGGGACTTGCTCTTGAGTAGATGTGTATAGGATGGCACAGTATTGATTTATGCGGCAGATGACGTAGATATAAAAAATATGCATTGACTGTGAAAAGGATTTGACAAATCAAGCTACAATCTAGACAAAATGAAATCCTTTTCACAGACGATGCTTCCACCCTACCTACTCCCAAATCAGACATTTCCTTGAAGGATGCTCTACATTACTTCAGTCCTAATCTCTAGAACTTGACATAAACTTTTTCACACGCTAGGGGGCACTGAATGAATGCTTTAATGTTAGTTGGAGTCCTGGCAATTTCCCTGACAGCAATATTTGGAAATGCAGATTTTGCATATGGAATTCATCTGGGGCAAATACTGCTCACTTCGAATGAAGGAAGATAAAGGATGTGTTGATGTGTTGATTTTTCTATATTTGCCACTGCTGCAGAATTGGGAATATGTGTGGTGTAGCCTAGAGTCATGCCACCCTGCAGATTTTACCCTTAAGCACCATCTTTCCTTTAAGAATGTGCCACTGTTTCCAGTATAGCAGGTCTTTATTTCTGAAATGTGAAAAGTGATTATAATGATATATGGTTCAGTCTGTTTCGGGCTGCAGCTATGGCAATTATACAGCAAATTTCAAATGTACAAAACACTTTTTCTGAATAATCTCCCATAGCAAGAAGGACCCACATTTGGAACACCACAATTTTTGCTCTCATTGGTGCACCTCCTAGTAGGCCATTACTAATATTGCCATTTTGCAGATGGGAGAAGCTGAGGCTGAGAGAATGACTTGCCTGAGGGCACCTAGTGAATTCACGACAGAGGCAGGATTCAAACCCAGGGACCACCTCATTTGTAATTTGGACTTTCATGGCCCATCCTATGCATGCTTACTTGAAAATATCGTATTTTTCGCTCTATAGGACGCACCTGACCATAAGACGCACCTAGTTTTAGAGGGGGAGAACAAGAAAAAAAAATCTCTCCCTCTCTGCGCAGCGCCTCTCCAGCAAAGCGAAGCCAGGAGAGCAAGAGGGATCGGTGCGCACCGATCCCTCTTTGTCTCCTGGCTTCAGCGAAAGCAACGCGAAGCCTCCGGAGCACAGCGGGAGCTCCCACTGCACTCCGGAGGCTTCGCGTTGCTTTCGCTGAAGCCATGGAGCCTGCATTCGCTCCATAAGACGCACACACATTTCCCCTTAATTTTTGGAGGGGAAAAGGTGTGTCTTATAGAGCGTAAAATACGGTAAGTCTCACAGAATTCAGTAAGCCATACTGCCAAGTAAGTGTGCAAATGTTTCTTTATGCTTATGAAGCATTAGGACAGGGTGGGTGATTCTGGACTACAACTCCCATGATCCCGGGCCACTGGCCTTGTTGGCTGAGGCTGAAGGGAGTTGTTGTCCCTCTATCTGGAGGGCCACAGGTTCTCCATCATTGAATTAGGGTGTGAAATTGCTATGGTTTCTTTCTTCCTTTCCCACTTCCTTTTGCGTTATAACTATTTGTAATTAATAATACTAATAATAATCCTACATCCGTTCTCAATAGTTCTTGGTTAGAATACTTCCAGAGGTTTAAACACAGGAGTAGGTTGAATTCTTCTGGGTTAATATTGATCTAATGCAGAGGGAAAAGCACCCAGAAGTAAATAACTGGCAATGTGGAATGATGATAAGCATTGGTGTGGGGAGAGAGAAATTACCCACCAACAGATTTCACTTGAATTCTTTGTGGTTTGTACGTATTTAGCAATCAGCTCAATGGAGCTATGTTTCTTGGCATGTCAAAGCGATTAATGCTGTTAGCCTCTGGAAGTTAAACCTTGGCATAACGTAATACCACCTTAATTGGCGCACAGTTTCAGCAAAACCTACTCTAAGGAAATACATTCGTTGTTTGCTTGTTAAAGGTAGCAGTTAAAAGAACGAGCTTTCCTTTGGCATGTTTCTGTGCAGTACTCAAACCACAGACAAAGTCAGCGGAGCCCATAAACAGCTGAATCTAAGAAGAATTTACTGCAGAGCAGTTGACGAGATCTCCAGATTGTATCTTGATTCACCGGTTTGTCAAAGCCAACTAAAAATAAGGGACTTCTCATGTTTGGCAGATTATGTGTCCCTTAAGAAAAGTATTAGCTTATGAAACAATATAAAATACAAATTAAAATAAAATCTTAGATTAGCTTCACAAGGGGATTTTGTATTTTCAACCTCTTTCATGGTAATCTGGCTACAATATGGGTCTATTTCACATATGTTTCTTCCCGACTCAGTTTCAGGTGAATTTTTATGTACTATTTTGCTGAAATATTTTGCACTGATCTTTCTATTAACAGCACTGACTCCCTATTTCAGTATTTATGGGTCCCATGGATGTTGTCTGTGGTCTTGCCTTTGTGAACCCTATACAGTCATACCTTGGGTTGAAGTAGCTTCGGGATAAGAATTTTCGGGTTGCGCGCTGCGGCGACCCAGAAGTAACGGAGCGTGTTACTTCCTGGTTTCACCGCTCATGCATGCGCAGATGGTAAAAATGACGTCATGCGCAGAAGCGTCGAATCGCGACCTGCGCGGACGCGGGTTGCATTCGCTTCTGGATGTGAACGGGGCTCCAGAATGGATCCTGTTCACACTCAGAGGTACCACTGTAAATAGTAGACAACTCCACCCGCCTTTGGCTCCTACCATTTGCATTGGGAGGGAGACTTCCAATAGCACTAACACATCTTTGCCTCTAACCACTCTCCTGGAATTCCGTATGGAAAAGTGAGCATAGCTAGCAGAGAACATATAAATCGCTTGGTCCCTCCTCAGCCAAGTTGGTAAAAGGCTATCATTAATTTATTTTACTAGCCTTCTAAGAAGTTAATAGCCTGCACACCCTCTCCTCTGCATCCAGGCTGAAAACACAGGCTATTTAGCCTCTTAGCAGACTAGAACCAATTTTTTTTTGGGGGGGGGTTGGGCAGGATTCTCCTAACAAGCCCCATCAAGCAGAGGCCCCATGCAAGGACTTCCGCTTGTGCAATCGGGCTTTCCTCTGCCTGTGCACCCCCCAAAATTGGCTTTAGGGGGAGTCGGGAGAGTGTCCAGAGCAGTGAGCAGGGAGAAGAGGGTGGAATTGTCCTGACTGGCAAGCCAAAATGCTTGCACAGGTGGAATGTTTGTCATGGTGCAACATTAAATCCTACCCTTAGTAACGTTTGGGGGCTTATTTTCAAGGTGACACTCATGGGAACTTATTTAATTTGTTAATTGCAGCTGCAGAGCGGTGGCCAGGTTTTTTGTTTGCTTGCTTGCTTTTGGACCTGCTGGAAGGAAAGGGTTAATCCATCTTCTGCTCCAAATCTGGGCTTTCATCAGCTGCTATTTACATCGGGGAGGGGGCAGATATACACAACATTAAACCACATGTAATTTGACCTTGAGTGTCCACCTGAAAGATGCACATCTAAAAGAATGTAATGTGCAAAGCAGCCTTAAGATTAGGTTATCTTGGAACAGTTAGCGAGGAAAGCTATATAAATGCTAATTATAATTATTGTTGCTACTCCCGTTGTTGTTAAATGGGTATACATCTGCGCCAGGCTGTACAAATCTGGGCTGAAGTGAATGTTTCCCTCGTTCAGATCGTATTTTCTAAAGCATCAACTTCTTTTGCAGTGCTGCCTGATTCCCTAAGAACCCGATGATGAGTTTCTTTGAGCACGAGAGCGAAGTAGTGGGGCCTATCTAGCTGAGCTGTGCTCATACTGAGTTTCTTTTCCTCCCTGTAAACCCCTTACTTCAAAGCGAGGAACATAATGTACGATTTTTTAATGGCTCTAGACCAAGGCACTCAGACTCTCTGTGCACTGTGCCTTACCTCCGTGTAAACACCTAATCAAGATTGCCTGCGCTCCAACAATAGCAGCCAAATGCAATTCGAGAACCACAAGCCTTTGAAGTCCTCCCTGCAAAGGCCGGTTTTCTAGTCCGGGATAATGACATCTCATGATTGCTGCCTTTGTTGTATCTTTTCAGCAGAGAAGCAATTACGGGCCTCAATTTAACAGAATAGACATTACACAGCTTATGATGCTCAAAATGCAATTTCATTTGATCATTTTCTCAATTTGATTGGCATTAATAGAACAGTTCGCTTCCAAAAAAAAAGAAGAAGAAGAAGAAGGAAGGAAGGAGAGTGGGTCGAAGTTCTGTCCTGTTCTTCTTTCAAAGAGATAATGCAGAAGCGTGCTCTTACCTGCCTGGCGCACTGTGCGGCTTGTGGCGCTACCAAAACATTTTTTCTCCCAGCAGCAAAAATCTGTCTGTCTCCGTTTGTTCTGGAAGAGCTGAGCTCTCGGGTGGCTTCTCAATATTTCTAAACTGCCCTGTGGTGCTGTGAGGGCTGATAGGCTCAGCCATTAATTAGTACTTGGATCAATGTGACTCAGCGAGACGATTAATTACATGAGCTGAAGACCCCTGAAAGTTATGGTTCTGAATTCCCCTTGGTTTGATATGGCTACCCAGCTGCAAAGTGCCGTCTGCCTTCCTGGAGCAGCAAAGGCAAATGGGGTCAGGCCACCAATGCCTGCACCATTGCTCCTTTTGGGTCATTCTCAGCTGCATGCTATGATGCTCAGCACATTATTTCTACCCATAGCAGGACCTCACTGAGCATGCTTTATATCAGGGATAGCCAACAGGGCACCCTCCAGATATTGCCAAACTGCAACTCCCATCAGCCCCCAGCCAGCCTGGCCAGGGGTCAGGGGTTAACAGCAGTTGTAGTCTGACAACATCTGGAGGATGGAACGTCTCCCAGGACAGCACCATGGAAGGGCATTTTGCTTCCTTATTTATCCAGACACAAACACGTTAATTACTGTACAGCTACAGTTCAGGCAGGACCTAAATGAGAGGTGGGGGGGGGCAGGGGACTGTAATTAATTTAGCCTCCTCCTTAGAGTGTAATGCAAAAAGGGATTGGAACAATACGAGGCTTAAAGGGCTCATTTGGTCTCGTGCTCTTAAAATAAAAGAGAAATGCAGTGGTAATGCTTGCAATTGAAAGAGGAGTAAGGATTTGGAAGATTAATAATTAGGGGCATGTTTAAAGGAGCAGCCAACTCATGCTGTAGATAAACAGATTGTGGCCCAAACCACCTCACAAGGGGGGGAGAGAAGGGGCAAATGTCTGTTCCCCATTCGTTGTTTGTTTGTTTAAAGCATCTTCATCCTGTTCTTCAGCCAAAAAAAAAGGCTTACAGATGTCACTCATGAAATGGTCTCGACCCTCAGGCTTACAACCTAAAAGTCATGACATAAAAGGAAAAGCGACTCGGGAGGGAGAAGGGGGCAAACAAATGCTGCTTCTTAGGTTGAAATCCACCCCACCCCCTTATTCTGGGCTGTGAGACAGCACAGGAAAATAGGAAGCTCCTTTATACTGCGCCAAGCCCATTGGCTCTTCAGCTCAGTATTGTCTACACTGGTTGGCAGCTGCTTTCTAGGGTTTCAGATAGGAGTCTCTCCCAGACCTACCCGGGGAGGCCAGGGATTGAACCTGTTTATTTTATTTTTAACATAATGTATATATTGCCTGATTGTAAAAAGAAAACAAACCTCTAAGCAGTTTACAACAATATAAAAGAAAACATTAAAAATTATTGGTAAAAGTTCTTTTTTAAAAAAAACCTGTCAGGGAACTGACATCGGAGCTAGAGGCGGAGGGAAGGCTCTCAAATGATGCTGGAGAAGGGCCCAGCAGGGAGAGAGGCAGCTCAGCAGATGGGGAAGCAATTCAGCGCAACACCAGGAATAAAGAGGGGCAGATGGGGGAATCGGCGAGAGGGCTCCCAGACTCTTCACCGGACACCAGCGGAGAGAGCATGGGTCCTCCGCTACCCACGCCCTCCCTGCGCAGAAGACTTCCGCACAGAGAGAGTAGGAGGAGACTGGGTGTCAAACAACTTTTATGTTGGAAAAGGTTTAAGAAACGCCCACTGACGGATTCTGCTAGTGACTGAGGCAGCCACGAAGTGAAGGGCTGTCCAGGCTGAAAGGTTTAACAAGGCAACAAAGCCAGGAGAGGTGGCAACTTACGCACGAGCAACCCATACTCTTTACAAAACGGTTTGGGAAATTTTCAAAATATGATTGAAATCAGCGATAGCGAAAAATAAATGAAGCACGTATAACTTCTGCCTATGAGTTTCTACATGCAAAGCAGATGCTGTACCACTCAGCTAAAGCCTTTTCCCTTATAGTATCCTTTCCCTTGCTTCTGCCAGCTCAGCTGGCTTTTGAACGGGCAGGAGACTTGCTCGCAGTACCTCTGCCAGTGGAGTCTGGCAGAAGGCCCTGAAATGGAGGGTTCTTAGCATGGGACTGCACCAGCTCAGAATCTGATGGGTCCTGAGCTGGTCTTGCAACTGGCACTGGCCAGCATCAGACACAGTCTGGGCCTGATCACTATGCAGCGGTGGACCTTGGGGGTCTCAAATTTCAGTGGCACCCTGTACGAAGCTAAAATTCAGTGGCAGCGGGGCACTGAATTTTAGCTTCGTACAGGGTGCCACCCCATTCGTGCTCCCCTGAATCCATCTCTGCACTGTGCCAGCATGGATATGGCACAGGGATCAGGATCCATCTGCCTGCCCCAGACTCCATCCATACCACTGTTAAGCGGCCATTTTGCAGATGCAGCACAGAGCCTTGGAAGCAGGGAGTTAAGATCAGAGGCGGGGGATAAATTCAGTTCAGTTCTCTTTCAGAGCTAAACCCGCATCATTCTCGCTTTCTGAAGCCGTACCCAGACTGAAACTCTGCTATCCTCCGCAATTCGCCCTTCACCAAATTTTGTAACACTGTTCTCCAACCAAATAACATGTATAAAAATGCATATATTTGGGCAAATGTTGAATGTGTGAAGGAGAGCTATCGCAGGATTGGTCATCTGTCATGGATGCTTTAGTTGAGATGTTCAGGGAAGTTTTTAATGTGTGACATTTTAGTGTATTTTTGGTCTTTGTTGGAAGCTGCCCAGAGGGGCTGGAGAAACCCAGCCAGATGGGCGGGGTACAAATAAGATTATTGTTGTTGTTGTTGTTGTTATGCCTGAATTGGAAGGAATTGGACTAGATGGTTCTCAGGATTCCTTCCAACTCTATGATTCTATGAATATTATTATTATTAATTCAACTCACAGTATATGACCTATACCCGGAGGTCTCAGGGCAGTTCACAACAAGACCACAACATATCAAATCAAATCAAAAGCAATAACCCAATAACGCCCCCCCCCCAAAGCCACGTTTTAAACAGGTATTGGATGTCAATAAGATCAACCAAAGGCCTGGTTAAAAAGGAACTTTTTTGCCCACTGCCTAAAGGTGTGTAATGTAGGTGCCAGTCGAACTTCCCTGGGGAGAGCATTCCATAGATGGGGAACCACTGCAGCTAAGGCCCATTCTCGTTTTGCCACCCTCTGGACCTCTCGAGGAGGCGGCACACAAAGGAGGGCCTCAGAAAATGATCTCAGGGACCGGGTAGGTTCATATGGGAAGAGGCGGTCATGCAATTGTTGACTCTTGGATCAACATTCAAATTCAGTACTTTTCAGCTGGGTCAGTTTCACCCATGAAAGTCTCTTCAGAGTGCATACCCTCCAACATTTCTCCAATGAAAATAGGGACATGTTGTTGATGTTGTTGTTGCTATTGTTGCCGTTGTTTTGCCCCTGGAAAATAGGGACACTTGGAGGGTCTGTGAGTGTTCTGATGGATACAATAGGGGCAAGTGGTATTGTATAGGGGAGCTCTGCCCCTAATCTGTCCACATTTTTTAAAACAGTATTTCAAGAGCCCTTGTATGTATAGCTGTATCTGGCAAAGACTCTCCTCATATGATGGCTTTGAGAAAGGCCATTTCTCTCTCTTTCTTTTTTTTTAGTTGGATTGTGTGCTTGAGATTATGCTGTAACCTCTTGAACATACTGTTTTGAGTTTCCAGCTGCCCGCTCTTTAGGAGACAAGCCAAGGAGGAATGTTACGCTGCGACAGTAAAGCGATGCAAGTTTTTCTTTGCTGAAAAGTGAATTTTTAATTTCCCCCCCTTTTTTCTTTTTACAACGCCGCTCAATGCACCCAAGCAGGAAAGCGATGGTCAGCTCACCGCTTGCCTCCGTCTCACACCGAGACTGTAGGGCTATAAGCAAGATTTGGTTCTGCATATAAACACTAATCACTAGAGAAAAGGTCTGGCTAACAGGTTATCGTCTTGTCACCGGGAGCTGGGATTCCCTAGTGCTAAAGCTTTCACTAAAACATTCTGCTCTATATGTGACTTAATACCCACCATTAAGCAGTTATTCTGAGTGCATACACTCTGTCTCCAATGCAAGTGTTGGATACAAAGGAACCCTGGGGAGGCTGGAGGATGAAATGGAGGAGTTCAGTGCGGACAAAGATTAAATGGATTGAGAAGGGCTTTGTGCGTTACCTCTGGGGAGTCCAGCGTCTCACCTCATGAGGAGTGGCACCTGAGGCCTTAACTGGAACTTGATGAAGCTTTAACTTTTCCCCCCGCAATCCATTTTGAGTTTGATGGTTCTTTAAAATGGCGAGGGAGACCTCTTAGCTCCTATTCAGACATTGACTCAGCCAGGGTCAGCGCTGCCATTAGGCAAAGTGAGTCAGGCGCCTCAGGTGGCAGTTGCAGAGGGGGCGGCGAGTGAAGAGAGCTGTTTGTGTGCTACATAGCCTGCCTGCGGTCTACCTTCGTTTGCCTGTTGCCCTTGAATGAGGCCCTCTTTTATTGCCACTGTCAAAGTCAGATTCACCTGCCAGCCTGGTTGGCTATATATATATATATATATATATATCTTTTAGATTTTCCACAATGGTAGCAAAAACCACAAAGCAGAGTGGTATACAAAAACAGAAAAAAGAAAAAAAAGGGGGGAAACAATAAACAGATAAACAATAACAACAAACTTAATTCTTCACAAATCCAACCTTTTAAGCATCTTAGTTGACTTCCTCAAGTCCCTCCCTTCTGAGTTTCCTTGTAGTTAAAAGTAACAGCTTTCCAATATCATTATTAGGTAAAGGTAAAGGTACCCCTGCCCGTACGGGCCAGTCTTGCCAGACTCTAGGGTTGTGCGCTCATCTCACTCTATAGGCCGGGAGCCGGCGCCGTCTGAAGACACTTCCGGGTCACGTGGCCAGCGTGACGGAGCTGCAACTGGCGAGCCAGCGCAGCACACGGAACGCCGTTTACCTTCCCACTGGTAAGCGGTCCCTATTTATCTACTTGCACCCGGAGGTGCTTTCGAACTGCTAGGTTGGCAGGCGCTGGGACCGAACGACGGGAGCGCACCCCACCGCGGGGATTCGAACCGCCGACCATGCGATCGGCAAGTCCTAGGCGCTGAGACTAAAACAATTTCCAATTATAGTCCATCTTATTCACTTTTCTTAACATTCTAAATCCCATTTATTTAATTATAACTTAATTTAATCCTAGGCCTATTTGTTTTCTTTCAAGTAATTTCTAATTTTTTTATGTTACAATATTTATTCAAATAGTCCTTAAATTTCCTCCAGTCCTCTTGGAACTCCTCTTCTTTCTGGTCCACGGATTCTTCCAGTCAGGTCAGCTAGCTCCGAAAAGTCCATCATCTTCATCTGCCAATTAGCCTGGTTGGCTTTTGTGCATGGAAACGGGGGGAGGTGCCATCCTGTCCTTTACATGGAGGAGCAAAACACCTTGGACAAGCCCCAGAAGCAGCCGATTGATCTTTCGCCCTCATCACCGCAAATCTAAAGCAATGTTTGATGTGGGCACAGAACAGAAGTCCATTCCCCCAAAGGCCAAATCAGGCAGTTCTACCCTTAGGGGAGAAAAGGTGAGCTTAAGATAGGAACACAATGTGAGCTTGCGGGATCAGGCCAATGGCCCATCTAGGCCAGCATCCTGTCCTCTTGGTGGCCAACCAGATGCCTGTGGGGAACCTGAAAACTGGGCATAAGTGCAGCAGCTGATATTCAGAGGCATCCTGCCTTTGACAGAGGAGGCACAATGCAGGTATGATTCAGACTCTTCCAATATGGACGTTTGCATGAAGACACAGAGCACACGTTAATTTTCATGGCACAGTGGCAGAAGCAGCATGCCCTCCTCCCGATGCCTCAGGCCAGTCCTCAATTTGCTTCATCTTGTTGCCTTTTCTAAACACAAGTGTTACATCTTTTTGGTTGGGCTGTTGGAGAATTAAAGGAACTTTGGCTCATCAGTTAAAGCAGGGCAGGTTGTAGCTCAGTGGTAAGGCATTCGCTTGTATGCAGAAAGTCCCAGATTCAACCAGTGGGATCTCAGGGTAGGGCAGGGAAAGGCTGCCAGTCAGTGTGGACAATATTGAGCTGCGTGGACCACTGGTCTCACTCGCTATAAGGCAGATTCCTATGTTCCTCTGCTTAAATTTGCACATGGGCAAAATGAAGAGTTCTGAAGCAGCTTCCTTCTTTATTTTTAGATGATTACATATGTGTCATTTAGTAAGCATCATCTTCAAAGAGGCATGTTCTCTTTTATGGATGAATATGAAGAATTTCCCTCTTTTTCTTTTTCTTTGGAGTCCTCTATCTGGAGCCTCTATTAAGGTCCAGGGATTGCATACTCCTGGGGGTGGTAGATGGTTAATGGAGGGCCCTGGGTAGAAGACAGGGAAAAGTACATCTTCCAGGGTGAGAGGCTGGGAAGGGAAAGGAAAGGTCCCAGCTGAGAGCTGGGAGGAGCTGCTATCCCTCTGTGGATGGTAAGGGCTAAGAATTACTAAGAGGAGTCTGTACTTTACTTTTTCTATTTGCATTTTTTGTAGCTCCTATTTTATTGTATGATGAAAAACTTTAATAAAAATCTCCGAGAAAAAAAGATTTGCCTTTTAACATGGCACTGACCATCTGTCAGTTTTACAACTGCTAGGTCGCCCTGACCTAACCACTGTGATCCACACGACGGTCACCTCCAGGCTTGATTATTGTAACTCACTCTACGTGGGGCTGCCCTTGAGACTGACCCAGAAACTCCAGCAGGTGCAGAATGCCGCAGTGAGACTCTTCATGGGGTCCTTGCCATGGGAGCACATTCATCCGGTGCTATACCAGCTGCACTGGCTCCCGGTGGAGTACAGGATCAGGTTTAAGGTGCTGGTTTTAACCTTTAAAGCCCTATACAGCCTAGGACCCTCATACCTACTGGATCGCCTCTCCTGGTATGTCCCACAGAGGATCTTACGGTCTTCAAATAAAAACATCTTGGAGATCCCAGACCCCAGGGAGATTTGACTGGCCTCAACCAGAGCCAGGGCTTTTTCGGCCATGGCCCCGATCTGGTGGAACGCTCTGTCACAAGAGACTAGGGCCCTGCAGGACTTAACATCTTTCCACAGGGCCTGCAAGACAGAGCTGTTCCACCAGGCCTTTGGCCAAGGCACAGTCTGACCCCCTTCTTCTGTAATCCTCATAGAACTCTAGCTCAATGGTTGCCATTTATTTGATTCTGAATTGATTTTAGAATGAATTGATTTTAGAATGTATTTCAATTAATTGACTGTGATTTTATGTAAACTCTGCTATTTTTATTGTTGTTAGCTGCTCTGAGCCCGGCTTTGGCTGGGGATGGTGGGATATAAATAAAATATTATTACTATTATTATTATTATTATTATTATTATTATTTACTAAAAATGGGGATTAAGAATCTGCTGACTGATTAATTAATTAAGTTTGAAAGAAGTAAAATAGTTTATTAGTCTAACATTGTTTGGTCTAATGTTGCTGTTTGGTAATTTTGGCATAATAGATTTGTTACTTTTCAGGGTGCCCCAAGACTTCATTTTTTTAACACTGGTGTTTTTGCACTTACAATTATCCCCGAGTCGTCTTCATTTTAGTGTCAGGCCTCCTTAGGGAGGAGGGTGTTTGTTTCTACGGAAGATTGTACCAACACATTGCTGCCTTGTTTATTTTAGGATGCAGTAGAGCACAATTGACTGATGCAGAAAAAATGTAAAACTCTTCTGAAATTGAATTATTATTATTTTTCAATTTCACATTTTTTTCCTGAGCCTGCAAGCACTGTGCTGGAAGGCAGGCAGGAAGGGAGCAGTCCTTGAACTTTAAGATGACCGCTTACCACACATACACTTACCGTAATTTGTCCTGGTCAAACAAAATCCAATTTGCTTCTTTTTCATGAAGTAATCGTTTTCTGCTTGTAACATATGTAGTTCGCATGAGCTGATAATCTTGCAAATGTTCCTTTGCAGAACCATTAGATGCAAAAATGCCATGCATTGATTGCTTACTACTTGTGTAATACTTGAGGTGTACACAGTGGTTAAAGCTTGTTTACATGGTACTTGGAGGCAAGGCGGATGCCTTCATTTTGACTCTGGATCAAATGCAGCCAAGGTCATGAGCAAAGCATGCATTCTTGACAAGCTATGTTGCTAACTCTTTTGAAGATTGAGGCACTGAGGAATATTAGGGCGAGAGGGTTCATCAGTATTATCACAATTCCAAATTTTAACAGGCAGTAGTAAAGTTGGCCAAGCTTGCTCATGACCTGATGTTTCAAAGCAATGAGTCCTTGAGCACCTCAACTTTGTTTAAGGTCATAGAGTTCCACTCTCCCTATCTTATCTTAGTCACAAGGTCTATGAGTCTTCCCCTCGTTCCTGTTTGGATTCAACTACAGCCACTTTGCCCATATCCCAGCGGGTAAAGGTAAAGGGACCCCTGACCATTAGGTCCAGTCGTGACTGACTCTGGGGTTGCGGCGCTCATTTCTCTTTATTGGCCGAGGGAGCCAGCGTACAGCTTCCGGGTCATGTGGCCAGCATGACTAAGCCGCTTATGGCGAACCAGAGCAGCACACGGAAACGCTGTTTACCTTCCCGCTGGAGTGGTACCTATTTATCTACTTGCACTTTAACGTGCTTTCAAACTGCTAGGAGGGCAGGAGCTGGGACCGAGCAATGGGAGCTCACCCCGTCACAGGGATTCGAACCACTGACCTTCTGATTGGCAAGTCCTAGGCTCTGTGGTTTAACCCACAGCGCCACCTGTGTCCCATCCCAGCGGGTAGGCATGGTTTTATATGAGTGTTCGTCTATTTGTATTCTATTTCTTTTTATTCACTTATCCTCATCAAGAGCTTCTCCCATTTCATCACTACAACCTGAGAGATGGTAGATTGTCCTAAAGCCATCCAACTAGCCTCTCGGCTGACCAGAGATTTGGACCCGGGTCTCCCTGACTCACTTCCAAAACTCTCTCCACTACAACACATTGGTATCAAATTTTATTTGATAGGTACATGCACAAAAAGGACCCATCACCATCCAGGTTTAGGGCAGCTGTTGCATATAGTGTGGTAGCCTGCATAGTATAGCAGTTAGTGTGTTGGACTAGCACTGGGTTCCAAATCCCCACTATGCTGTGGCGTTTTCACAGGGTCAGTCATGTCTCTAAGCCTAACCCACATCGCAATCCCTCCCTTGGAGAGGCTGGGATAAAGATGTCATATTAAAGAAGCGTCACTTGTGTCGCTTGCCCGCATTTTCAAAACATGATTCTTCATGAATGCAAGATATCTTGAGTTTCACGATAACTTTGTTTGCTTGTTTTAGGCTCACCCATACCAATGGCCCGAGACGGGCAGAACAGACCCGAGCCAAGCTGCACCCCCAAACGAAAGCTCTCTCCAGCATCCATTGGGAGCCCAAGTAGAACTAAGAAGCCAGTATGGTAGATGTCACAATCTGTTAGAATTTGAGAACGCTTGTGCAGATTCCAGCTCTTATAGAGAAGCGCCTGATTCGGAGCAGGACGCCAGACGTCTGTTGCATCACAGGTTGCATCCAAAGCCATTTGCTGCTCCTTTAGCTGCCAGGAGGTCTGGTCAGGACAGCCCGTTCTCTCCAGACTCGGCCTATGTTGTTCATCAGGATGGCAAGCAAAATTCCATGAACTTGACCTTTGCTAGGAATCCTCTTCAGCCAAGCTCCTACCAGAACTTCACAGGGTTTCCTTCACCATGTACTGGTGAAAAGAAGAAATACCGATGTGATCCTGAAAACGCTTCTGGGTCCCGCCACCAGTATCCCTATAGGCATACAGTTTCAGAGCCTCGGTCTACCGCCAGACATGGCAAGTGTTGGAACCTCGTAGGGCACAAGAGCTTTTCGGATGCCTACAATGCTAATCTTCAACAGCCTGTAAACGGAGAAGTTTTGTCTTGGAACCCCAGACAGATTTATACAAAGAAGACCCTCGGCAGCTATGTTTCTGGTAACTCAGAGTAAGGATGCAGGATAATCAATATTATTAAAAGAGTCAGAGAATCAGGGGAGCATTGTAGATATATACAGGGCTGTCTTAAGCATATCCGGTGCCATGGTGAAAAGATCCCTCTGGCGCCCCCCCCCGGCAACTCCAAAACAAGGGACGGGATGGTAGAAAATGTCCTCTGCCTCCCCCACCGCCCCGATCCCTGCCGTGGCAGCGGCGATTAAGCAGGAAAATGTGCTGGCAGACATGCTCTCTGGTGTTGGGGCACCCGAGAAGGCAGCCTGGGAAGGCTGTGCGCCACCTTTTGCCAGGAAGCAGGAGGAGGACCACAACAGGGAGCAGGGCAGTCTTTAGCAGATGCAGAGGCTTGGGAGGGAAGCTGCATACAGCTTCCATCCTAAGCCTACAGGGGTCGCTCTCCTCCTGCGGAGGCTTGGGAAGGAAGCTGCATGCCCGCCATCCATATAGTTGGCAGGGCGCAGCTGGAGGGCATGCAGGGAAAGGGGAGGCTGCCGGTAAAGCTGCGCAGCTCCCCCACTCGCTAGGGCACCCCTGAGAGGCTGGCGCCCTGGCACAATGAACCACTAACACCAATGGGAAAGACGGCTCTGGATATATAGCTAGTACTTGCTCGTTTTCTCTTGATTTGGGCCTGAAATTGCCATGAATACAGACTGTGGTCCCCAATTAGCACATAACAGATACTAACTTTTCCGCAGTATTGCCCATGTTTTTACCTTTACAATTGTCTTGCAATACCTCTCATCCACTGTAACAGCTTTTTTCAAAAAAAAAATTTTGTTGTGCTGCTTCTAGCATTCATCATGCACCTTCATCTCTCTTTCACACACACAGGCTTTGTTATCCCACTTAGCAGCCAGGTGAGTGGGGTAGCGAGGAAGGCTCACTCATTTGTTTTAGGGTACAGAGAAACTTATTTGGTTATGCTATCTCATGGTACTTAACTAGCCAGCCAAAGCCGTCACCTTGACAAAGGAACTGGTTTGGCAAGCTTGCTCTTATACATTCTACCCCACCAAATACAGGACTGCAGCTTCTGAAAGGGATTCCATCCAGACTGACCTCCCAACTCATAGCAGTTTGTTTTTCCAACCAGCAATTGTCTTAACAGACTGCTTATTTCCACACTCCACTGCAATATATATCATGGAATCATAGAATCCTAGAGTTGGAAGGGACCCCAGAGATCACCTTGTCCAACCTCCTTCAGTGCAGGAATCTTAACTAAAGCATCCATGACAGGTGGCCATCCAACCTCTGTTTTAAAATCTGCATTGAAGGAGAGTCCACCGCCTTCTAAAGAAGTCTGTTTCACTGTCAAACAGCTCTTACTGTTAGGAAGTTCTATCGGAATCTCCTTTCTTGCAATTGAAGCCATCGGTTCAGATTCTACCCTCTGGAGCAGCAGAAAACAAACTTACTCCATCTTCCATGTGACAGGCCTTTAAACAGTTGAAGATGGCTATCATATCTTCTCTTAGTCTCCTCTTTTCCAGGCGAAACATACCCAAGTCCCTCAACTGTTCCTCATAAGGCTTGGTTTCCAGACCCTTGGTCATCTTCATTGCCCTCCTCTGCCCATGTTCCATCTTATCAATATCCTTCTTAATCTGTGGTGCCCAGAACTAGACAAGGTACTCTGCGTGGAGTCTGACAAAGGCAGAATAGAGTGGTACTGTTGCTATACCTTACCCAACTCCCAAGTCATATGACTACCTAGGTAAAGGTAAAGGTACCCCTGACCATTAGGTCCAGTTGCGGACGACTCGGGGGTTGCGGTGCTCATCTCGCTCTATAGGCCGAGGAAGCCGGCGTTTGTCCGCAGACAGCTTCTGGGTCATGTGACTAAGCCGCTTCTGGCGAACCAGAGCAGCGCACGGAAATGCTGTTTACCTTCCCGCCAGAGCAGTACCTATTTATCTACTTGCACTTTGACGTGCTTTTGAACTGCTAGGTTGGCAGGAGCAGGGACTGAGCAACGGGAGCTCACCCCGTCGCAGGGATTCGAACCGCCGACCTTCTGATCAGCAAGCCCTAGGCTCTGTGGTTTAGACCACAGCGCCACCCGCGTCCCTATATGACTAGCTAGATAGGTCTAAAAATGATTCTCACCCCGCTGCTGCTGCTTTCCATGGTCTTCCTTTTTACTTTGTTTCCTTTTGCTTCCCTTTTCCTGCTCTTCTTCCTTGAGGCCGTCCCAACCACCTGCTCACACCCCTGTAAGAGCCCTTTCCCCAGCCACCCGGCTCATCCAGGCAGCAGAGCGGCATCACCGAGAAATCTCTCAGCTGGCAGATGATCACCTCGCTGTGAGCCAGTTCACGGCCATGTTTCCTCCCATTATACAGAGGGGAGAGAGCGACTCGCAACTCAACATGGAGAGCTGTGAACAGACCCGCCAGCCCATTCTGAGCCGCAGCAATTCCGAAGGCTACTTGATTCAGATGGAAAAACAGAAGGAGAGGAAGGAGAACAGGAAGGTAAGCTGGGAAGAGCACCAAGAAGAGCAGGGGTGGGTGGGTGGAAGGAGGCCTGTGGTCCCCTGGTGTTTTGTGATAGATCTGCAAGGAATTCTGGCTCTCAGTTCCTTGAGCAACAATGAAAAAGATCACTATCACCTCCTTCTAAATCAGTGGTTCCCACCTTTAAGAGAGGACTCTGTGTTTCCTTTTCTCTTTGTTTCTCCGTTTTTGTTTTAATTTAGATTACTTTCTTTTGTCTTATTGGATTACCAAAAAAAAAAAAAAAAAGCTTTAATAAAATCTTACCAAAAATAAATTAATCAGTGGTTCCCTAAGTAGGTGGTAGCACCCCTGGGGTGGGGGCAGGAAGTTACCTAGTGGAGCACAGGATGTATAAATGACTATCAGGCTTTGAGAAGCTGGTTTTACCAGAGCAAGTACACCAGTTGTTTGTTTGTTTGTTTAATTAATAAAGCTAAATAGTTTTAATTGGATTTTGACTAAATTATTACTGTTTTGAATTTTGAGTTAGTATCTTCCTTAGTGGAAAGTACTGAGGAGGAGTTTATGGACACAAAGGGACAGTGGTCAAACAAACTTTGGAAACCACTGTTCCAAATTATTTATTTATTTATTTCCTAAAATTAATATACTGATTAGTTGTTGTTGTTTTGTTGTTGTTGTTGTTTTTAAAAAATACCCACCTTAGGCTGATGAGATGTAGAAGGTATTTGGGGGCGTGGGTGGGGGGAATCAGGTGTGTTTTTGTGTGTGTGATGGGACTCGTGAAAGGGGAGCAATTCAACTTCATTAGCATTTTGAGGCCCCATCTGCCCTGTGCATTGAAAGTAGTATCACAACACTTTAAACATTCACAGCTTCTCCCAAAGAATCCTGGGAGATGTAGTTTGTTAAGGTGTGGTTGAGCAGCCAGCCTTTATTCCCAGGGAACTCTCAGCAGCCTAACTCAAGGATGGGGAGTTTGTGGCCCTTCCAGATGTTGATGGGTTCCAACTCCCATCCCCCCAGGAAGCATGGCCAGTGGTCAGGAGTGATGGGAGTTGTTGTCCAGTGAGGAATGGAGTGGTGCCTTTTAAGATTATGTTTGCCACCCACATTCTTTGTAAGTACTAGTTTCATAAGGAAAGAAAATCTGCTGCCCAATTGGCTGTCCATTAGCAAATTAATTGGGGAATTAATCCATTGTACAAAGTGCCAACCCCGCAATGAGAAATGTAATTTTGGAAAGCACCAAAGTGTTGCAATTAAGGTCCCATAACAAATGAATAACATAAGCAAATGGTGACAATGGCAACGGAAGAGTGCATTTAACTGCAAATGCCAGAGAGGGGTATTTTGTTTTTCAAAATTTTTTATCCTTCTCTTTTCCACTCCCCAAAGAACTTGCTCAAAGCAGTTTCCCAGTATAAAAGCAATTTGTTGTTGTTGTTTAGTTGTTTAGTCGTGTCCGACTCTTTGTGACCCCATGGACCAGAGCACGCCAGGCACTCCTATCTTCCACTGCCTCCCACAGTTTGGTCAAACTCATGCTGGTAGCTTCGAGAACACTGTCCAACCATCTCGTCCTCTGTCGTCCCCTTCTCCTTGTGCCCTCCATCTTTCCCAACATCAGGGTCTTTTCCAGGGAGTCTTCTCTTCTCATGATGTGGCCAAAGTACTGGAGCCTCAGCTTCAGGATCTGTCGTTCCAGTGAGCACTCAGGGCTGATTTCCTTCAGAATGGAGAGGTTTGATCTTCTTGCAGTCCATGGGACTCTCAAGGGTCTCCTCCAGCACCATAATTCAAAAGCATCAATTCTTCGGCGATCAGCCTTCTTTATGGTCCAGCTCTCACTTCCATACATCACCACTGGGAAAACCATAGCTTTAACTATACGGACCTTTGTTGGCAAGGTGATGTCTCTGCTTTTTCAGATGCTGTCTAGGGTTGTCATTGCTTTTCTCCCAAGAAGCAGGCATCTTTTAATTTCGTGACTGCTGTCACCATCTGCAGTGATCATGGAACCCAAGAAAGTAAATCTCTCACTGCCTCCATTTCTTCCCCTTCTATTTGCCAGGAGGTGATGGGACCAGTGGCCATGATCTTCGGGTTTTTTGATGTTGAGCTTCAGACCATATTTTGCACTCTCCTCTTTCACCTTCATTAAAAGGTTCTTTAATTCCTCCTCACTTTGTGCCATCAAGGTTGTGTCATCTGCATATCTGAGGTTGTTGATATTCCTTCCGGCAATCTTAATTCCGGTTTGGGATTCATTCAGTCCAGCTTTTCGCATGATGAATTCTGCATATAAGTTAGATAAGCAGGGAGACAATATACAGCCTTTCCCAATTTTTAACCAATCAATTGTTCCATATCCTGTTCTAACTGTAGCTTCTTGTCCCACATAGAGATTTCTCAGGAGACAGATGAGGTGATCAGGCACTCCCATTTCTTTAAGAACTTGCCATAGTTTGCTGTGGTCGACATAGTCAAATGCTTTTGTGTAGTCAATGAAACAGAAGTAGATTTTTTCTGGGACTCTCTAGCTTTCTCCATAATTCAGTGCATGTTTGCAATTTGGTCTCTGGTTCCTCTGCCCCTTCGAAATCCAGCTTGCACTTCTGGGAGTTCTCGGTCCACATACTGCTTAAGCCTGCCTTGTAGAATTTTAAGCATAACCTTGCTAGTGTGTGAAATGAGTGTAATTGTGTGGTAGTTGGAGCATTCTTTAGCACTGCCCTTCTTTGGGATTGGGATGTAGACTGATCTTCTCCAATCCTCTGGCCACTGCTGAGTTTTCCAAACTTGCTGGGATATTGAGTGTTAAGCAATTATTTTTTAATAAACAACAATTATCTCCTCACTAAAGCACAAATTAGCAAACTCAAAGCAGCAGTATTAAGAACAAAAGGAGCAGCACTCACGAGCAACATGACCAGGAGCAACAGAATCAAAAGCTTATTGAGAAAGGAGAGTTTAAGAAATAATAATTCATTTGCTAGTATTTTATTCCTAGTATCTGTGCTAACCAATCCATTTGCTACATCTTCCCTGCCGCCACATTATGAGATCTGTCATATGGAAGGATGCAGGGGGCACTGTTTCACCTTTAAGCTGTTGCATCCATAAAACAGTTTCAAACACAGCCATTTATATACATCAGCAGGAAGCCAGGCTGCAAGTCCGAGAGGGAACCATTACCCTTGCCATGCCCATTTTGCTCCTCAATATACCCTGCCCACTTCCCAAGGAAAATAAACTGGATGCTACAGGATTCCTGAAGCTCAAATATTCTCACAACAAACTTAACCAGGGTCCCAGTTCACTACAGCTTTGATTTTGTGGTTCCTTTTTTCAACAGCACGTCCAGACTCCATGCAGTAACAATTACATCCTGAAACTGGGACAGGACGATTTTGAAAAATATCCTCATGCACCCATGACAAATTGTAATGTTTAAGAAGCAGGCTTCTGGCCCCAGAGCAGACAGGCTAAGCTGAAATAATTGTCCATGAGTGATGACTCAGATGGCTCTTTGTGGATTGCTGCTTCACTGCCCCTAAGAAGGGGGTTAGCTGGATTAGAACCATAACTGCAGGGCAGATTTCCTTCCCTTTCTCTTCCTCCATATCCAGACTATCATCTTTTGTTCCCTTTTTGGGATAACGGTCTTAACACACAGGCACACAGGCTTCTGAAGAATTTCACAGAGGGTTGCCATTTATAATACAACCTGGCCCCCCAACTTTTGAGAAGTTCTCTTTGCTTGCTTGCTGGAAATGTTTACATTTTTCTCAAAGACAGCCACAACAACACCAAGTTGTGAAAATGATCCTTGACAGAAAGGGATATCAGTTTCTAATTCTAGTTTTCCTTATCAAGCTTCTGGCCCAAGTCTTCCTTTTCCCCCAGCCTGTGGGTGGGACTCTCACAGCCAAATTCTCTGGGGCTATTTTGCTGGATGCTTCAGAGCAAACAGAAATTTGAATCTCGGCAGTTAAAGCTGTGTGGGGCAAGTGAGAGCCCAGACACGCTCACCGGAAAACCTAAAAGTAAGATCCCCATTCCTATTGCAGTTCCTGAGTTTGCAATTGGGCCTGTGCAGCAAATTCAGAGCCTTCCTGTCAACGCTTGGGTTGTCTTTGGCTCAGCTGAGTTGTCACAGGAAGCCACTGTTTCCCATACAGGAGCAAGTTATCGCAAGGAGCTCATGTGTCATACCTTGTCCTCCTCTTGTGCATGCCAGAGGAAATCAAAAGCTTTATTCCAGTCCTGAACAAACCGCAGTTTATCTTGATGTTCCCAAACTCAAGGAACTGTGGCTTGTTTATGTTCTAGTTAGTGAAAGCAAACCAGGATCAAAGCAAAGTTTCAGGTGCTCACTTGTGCACTAACTTGAGTTTGAACCAACCACAGTTTCACGAGTTTGAATGTCATGAGGAATATCTTCAAGGCCCCTCTCCAGTTGTTGTTGTTGTTTTTCCTGCTCTTCCTGTGGTCATTATTGATCCTTGCAGTCCTGGTTAAATAAGTCTTCTAATAATGATTGGTGGAGGTCTTTGTCTTTTGCTCAGAAAGCAAAACTTCATCCCAACATCCCCACTCTCTGCTTAGGGTTCCAGGACAAAAGGCTACATGAAGATGGACCTCAAGCTTGGAGGCCTTGGCCCTGACTATGAAACCATCAAAGAGAAAGTAAGCAGCATGTATGGCAATAAAAAAAATAAAAAATAGTTTGCACATCTTGCAACTGCCCTGCAGTGGGCACAACAACAGGTGCAATATTATTGTTGTTAATATGAATATATTTAATATTGGGCGGTATCCAGTGCTCCCCTTCCACTAGAACAAGTGATGTACACTATCAGAATGGACCTCTCCTCTCCCCTGAAGCCTCTGGTGTGCTTCCAAAATCGGCTCTGGAGGGACGAAAGGAAACACAAATGCTACTGGGCCAGCAGAACTCCACCAGTGCTACTTTGGATACAGGCTGTTGTTGTTGTTGTTGTTGTTGTTGTTGTTGTTACTGATACTACTACTATATTTTTAATTGATTTGTTAATTTATTAGATTTGTTACCTGCCCTTCACCACTAGCTCCTACGGCAAGTCACAACAATGTAAAAACGCAGTATTAAAATCAGTTAAATCAACTTACTATCAGAAAGATTGGGATGGGGGTAGCCTAAGGTGCCTGAGCCTGCTGTCCCTTTCCCTCCCCCCCCCCCCCAAGGACGCACAGTCCTGGTGAGACCCCAGCCACCCCCACTGTCTTCATTTTCCTGGAGGCATCTATACCTTTAAATTAGCACCTGCAAATGGTACACAAATTTGTGGTGTGGGGCTGTTCCCCAAATGAATTCTTTGTGTTATGTAGCAGCATCCCTAAGGGACAATGAATTTGAAATTGGGGGTAGCGGAGGTTTTTTAAGTCGGGAATGGTGTGGAGACTTGGACTCCCATCAACCCCTCATCAATGGCAATTATGTCTGGGGCTGATGTGGACTGGAGTCCCCAAAACATCTTGGTGGGGGCGGCCTGAGGGAATCTAGACTAGATGATCTGCTCCCATCCATCCCTGTGGTTCTGTTTGTTCTTCCTGACCCAAAGAAACAGAGGTGGGGGCAGGGGCAGACACTGCATCCTCCAAACCCAGGCACATTCAAAATAGATCATATTTTCAATCTGCCGTTTTCTTTGCCCTTTGGCAAAGGTATCCATTAGTCGATACTCACCTGCGGAGAATTCCAATTGCAGATAAGTACACCCAAGTTTATTCTCTTCCAGCTGGTTCAAGTGTGCATTACTTTAATGCAATTGAGCTGCCCTTGCGAATTCAGATGGCCTGGCTTTATTGCAGAAGGGAGGAAAATGAAAGTAAGCACAGCAGAGCAAATGCAGCCGTAGAGTAGCTGAATGCACATTAGGCCCTGTTAAGAAACATCAGGTGTTGCTGGACCAAAGAAGAAGATGGAGCCAATCATCCAAGAAAGGGCCTGAAAGAAGCCTCTTTTCTCCCCCTTTACCGTGGATGATTTTGCAAGATGCTCTGAGCAGATAGATGGGAGAACATAATCCTGGCTGCCCTTCCACCCTACTGATAAGACAACAGTCATATAGCATTTGCAGTCTAGGAGAGCACCGCGGGGTGTTGCAGTGGGGGAAATAATTCAGCAGACAGCACCAGTCCAGAGTACTTTAAAAGCTGCTTTGATTCCTTTGGCCTTGTGTGTGAAATGAAGCAGATTGGACAGCTGAAATGGGAATAAATGCAGAGATCCATAGCTACACATACAGCCTTTGTGAAACCATGAGGTTTTGTTTCTCCATAAAATTATGTGTCAAGCATAATGTGCCATTCTGGTATGACTAGGGCCATAATGATGTTTTATCGTGTTTTTAATATTTTTTGTTGTGGTGGTTGTTGTTATTAGCCCTGAGCACCGAAAAGGTTATATGCCCGCCCCAATATGATTTTTTAAATTAAAAAATATATTAAACCATATAAGATTTAAAGATTTAAGCACGTGCTTCTCCAGACCAGTGGTTAATCCATCGCCACATATGACTGGAATGGCACGAGTGGCGTCTAAGACGAAAAATCATTTCTAAGGAAATTCCCACCCACTTACTATAAATTTCAGTAGTTAAATATTGAAATTTTTAATATTGTATTGCTTGTAAGCCACCCAGGGGCTATTTATTGATGGGTAGCTATAAAAATTTAATGCATAAATAAATTTGAGTTTGAACATGTCTCCATTGTTGAAATAAGGCAGATGGATATACAGTGGAACCTCGTGTTATGTACCTTCCCCCTTGTGAACGCTGCGGGTTATGAGCTCCGCTAACCCGGAAGTAGATGCTCCCAGTTGCGACCCTTTCCCTGGGATGCGAGCGGAAGTCGCGCGCCAGCAGCATGGCAGCAGCGGGAGGCAGCATTAGCGAAAGCGCGCCTCATGTTATGAGCGGTTTTGGGTTACAAATGGATCTCCAGAATGGATTAAGTTCGTAACCGGAGGTACCACTGTATAACTGTTTCTGTTGTTTTGAAAACATAAAAGATGAACAACCTGCCTGGAACATGAGAGGAGGGGCAGGAATGGTCGCTGATAGTCCTGTTCAACTTGATAGAATATCCATGTCATGTCATTTATGAAGCCAAAAGTGAGCTAAACTCTCAGTGATTTCTCTTTAAGTGTCCTATCCACACCCTCAAAGTAAGCTGGGTGAGCTGACCACGCAATCAGAAACACAAAAGAGAACAGAAGATAATTTAAGTCATTAGTCATGTTTGTATCCTGTGTGTTCCTCAAGATGTATATGGTGGCATAAACCCCATTTCATCTTCACAACATTCCTGTGATGTAGGCTAGGGCAAGAGACCATGCTTTGACAAATACCACCCACTGATCTTTGTACTCCTGGGATTAAGAAGTCCAGCACTCTATCCTCTTCCAGAAGCAGCTGACACAGTGCCCTCTAGATATTTCTGAACCACAGCTCCCATCATCCCAGACCATTGGCCATGCTTGGCAGGGGAGTCCAACAACAGTCCCTGCTCTCGTCTCTAAATTTATCACGACCATCACACCGCATCCTTACAGTATCCGCCCCAGACTTGTTAAACAGTCCTTCCACTACTGCCATTTGTCTCCTGACAGTCTGAAAAGATGAAGCAACAGAAGGAATATGCCAAGCAGGTTAAGGAACACAACATGAAGAACATCTCGAGCGCTCGGAAACCGCAGCCGAGGCACGACAACAAATCGGCCCTGTCCAGGCAGAAGGTGAGTCAGCTCCCAGAAAGAGAAACTCAGCAAGTAGAGGGATAAGAGGCACTGGATGGCTCAGCCCCTTTCCTTGAGTCAACAGCATATAGGATGCTTCCATGTGGCAGTTTATTGCTCATGCATCACATGCAAGTGGTTTGTGTGTTTTTTGCATCATCCATGCAACACCATTCTCATCAAAAGGCCATCCCACTTCTCGCACCTCAGCTCAATCCACTTTTGCCATTTCTCTAGGATTTTATTTACATAATGGATTTTCCACTGGAAACTTTGAATCCAGATTAAGTGGGGAGACGGTTTGAGGTGGCCTTTTGATGAAAAGACGGTGTGGTGCAGGCACTAAGCAAAGCTTTTACGCATGAGGAACGCCAAGTCGATAAACTGCCACTTGGACATGCCCACAGAGGCTCTCTGTGCTGTAAAACATGCAGTTCACATGGTAAATAACCACTTAATGAATGGTTATCTCTGTTCACCTGCTGCTTCTCCCTTAAAGCAGCATGAAGGTGATTTCAGCAGACCAGTGGCTGGGAAGATGGCAGGCATGGTAAAGCATCCTTAACCCGTCCACCACCCACTTCTCAATTTTTTAGATTTCCCCAAACCTAGTTACTTTTCTCCCATATTCCAAACTTGCATGTGGAATCCCAGCTGGGGAGGAGGGACAGTGTGTGAGGGATGTGTGTGAGGGGTCATTGTGTGGAAACAGAAGCCAGGGGGAGGGTTAAGCATCCCTCCTCCAGCCTATGGCTTCCCACTTGAAAACGGAACCCAGCCACCGGCACTGCCAGATGAGAAGTAGATGCTGGATGTGTAACTGTGCCCTTTCCTGGGAAGCACAGTGTTCCCCCTGCTGTGTTCATTCATTTTTTCATTTGCTTCCTTCAGGCCCTAGAGTACGCCAAGACCATCCCCAAGCCCAAGCTATATGTGTCGAGGCCGTCGGAACAAGAGCCCAAGGACGAAAAGAACCTGGCGCGCACCTTAAACGGAGAGAATCTTCCTCCCATTTCATCTCTCGAATCCCTGCAGAACAGGCACGAAAAGGAGAAGCAAGTCGTTGCAGCTTTCAAAACCCTTCATATTGTATGAGACTGAGCCCAAAGTCACAGGGACTGCAGGCCTTCCGAAGCAGCAGAGAACTGGACCGTTTTGCTCTGCTCTTTTGATGGTCGCCCCAAATGCCCAAGGACTGGCATTGAATTATGAGTTTCCGCTATCACAAAATGAACTTTGAAGATGTGAAGTATTTTTCTCTCCTTATTCACCCTCCCTCCCTTGTTTTTATTTTTTTTTATGTCAGATTTTATTGTTGCTAATTAAAGAGTTGGATAGGTAATGTTCTAGAACGGTCTTAATTTATTTACACCACCTTTCCCCCTTTTATTATTTCCTTGCCAAATCCTTCGCTGGGCCAATGTCATATTACACCTAGGGCCACTCCAGATTGGTGAGGGGTTGTGGGTTTTTTTTGGGGGGGGGTTATGAACACTGTTATTTTCCAGTCAGGCAGAAGTCAGCTAAAGTAAATATATGATTTTATGCTAATGATGTGTGTTGAAATGCTGTCAAATGCTCAAGCTGACTTGAAGTACCTTTGGAAATGCTCTGGGGTGGCTTGTTTTGAAGAAAAACTGCAAAGCAACAGTTATGCCAAGGTGTAATTTTGGTGCCTACCCCAAGGGTCGCAGATGACACTTGATCGTGAACTTGAACTACTAAAACCTTAGTGAACTACAGGCAGCCCACCCAGCCTAGCCCTGTTTATGTGGGGGTTACATCACAAGGCACCTCACGTGCAGAGCCATATTTACATATACAAGCTATAGCTTAGGGCCCCCAAAAAATCTAAAGGGGAAAAAACTGGATGTACATTTCCAAAATATAAGATAAAAAATACCATAAATAAAATAAAACCTACATACAGCAATAGTGTTTTGTGTTGTGTAGGATCCTATTTGTTATGTGCAAGTGGCTTTAGATACCTATGAGGTCCATGAATTACAATATAGCATAGTTTCAACACAAAAAAACCAGTGACAATTTGTTATTGACAAAGGACAGCTGGACATATAAAGGGCCCCATTACCTTCAGTAGCTTAGGGCCTCATCAAACCTAAATCCAGCCCTGCTCACCTGTTGGTGAAATCATGTATAACTGAACCCATGAAAAAGCCTGCAAACATCCCATTCCACCCTTTTAGTGATGTTTCAGTGACATCTTTATGACATTTCCAGGTCACTTCCGGGTTCAGTACGACGCATATGTGCACATATTGAATGCACGTAAATGGGGGCTGCCTGTACTGAACTAAATCATGGTTTCAGTTACTTGGGCGTTCATTTTGCAGAAACAGTGGCATGGAAATGTCACCCTTCTGTGCCTTCTAGGACTCCACAAATTACATTCAGGAATCAAAGTGAGCAATATGGCTTCCTTAGCCCTTATTCTACACAGTGTGAAACGATTCCCAAATCAACGTTTTTTCCAGTTTCATTGTATATTGTGTGTGTGTGTGTGTGTGTGTGTGTGTGTGTGTATCCACATTGTGCTTTTTATTTTGAAAATGGCTTGGAGACTGCCTTAGAGTTAAGCAGTATACCATCATATGGAAGGAAGGAAGAAATACTCGCCAGCATATCACCGACACAAAAATAGCACACCAGTGGTGGATTCATACTGTATCTAGTCCACACATCCTTCCACTTTAGTAGGGGTTCTGTAATGCTTCCCCAAGCTTATCCACAATATTGCTGTCTGGAGAGGCAACTCTTGCATGATAGCACAACAAAAGAAAAATCATGGGGGGGGGGGATCCCAGTATGAAAATTTACAGGATTTCAGTGGGAAGCTATAGGACATGCACTGTATGGAAATGGAGCAGCATATCCACTCCAAAATGCTTGCAGGCACAAATAGTATTGAAAGTGGAAATGAATAACACCACCCCGATACCATCCTGAGCACAAATCATCATGAATGCACAATGCAAAGGCTGTCTGACAGAACCTCAAGTGAATACTCAGAAGCCATGGCAAATTCCAGGGGTCTGGTGCATAGTGAACAGTGTCATTTGGACCAGTCCTGTGGAATGCTCTGCCTAAGGAGATCCAGCAGGCATCTTCTACATTAACCTTTAAATGTTTGCTGAAAACCTTTCTGTGCTGCCAGACTTACCCAGACCACATATTTCCTGTAACAGTCAGCAGGTGATCTGTAAATTTGCATGTCTTCATTGTGCAATTGTTGTAAACAGCTCTGATTTTCTTTTTGCGAAGCTGAGATGCAGAAGTGGCCTTTTTTTAACAAATAAGATAATAAATAATCTTACATACCTTGTGCAAAGTGTGGAACCTTGCACGGCCCAAGAATGTGGCTCTACTGCTCCTTTGGAAAGCCAAACTAGAAAGCATTTAGCAGGCCCATATTATGAAAGCGGCTCAGTTTCTGGACCCCTTCACACCTAGGAAGCTGCCTTACACAGTGGTACCTCTGGTTAAGAACTTAATTCGTTCTCGAGGTCCGTTCTTAACCTGAAACTGTTCTTAACCTGAGGTACCACTTTAGCTAATGGGGCCTCCCGCTGCCACCGTGCGATTTCTGTTCTCATCCTGAAGCAAAGGTACTATTTCTGGGTTAGCAGAGTCTGTAACCTGAAGCGTCTGTAACCTGAGGTACCACTGTACAGAGTTAGATCATTGGTCGATCTAGCTCAGTATACACTGACTGGCAGAAGCTCTCCAGCATTTCAGAGACGGTTCTCTCCCAGTCCAGCCTTGGAGATTCCATCAAGGATTAAAACTGGGACCTTCTTCGTGCAGAACAAATGCTCTGCTCCTGAGCTACCATGTTTTTCGCTCCATAAGACGCACCTAGTTTTTAGAGGAGGAAAGGAGGAAAGCCCCATTTTTGGGAGGGGATCAGCTCACAGTTGTGCAGATTCTTTTGCAAAGGGAAAAAGTTGTTGAGCTTACTTTGCAAAGGGGAAAAATCCTGTTTTTATGGGGTTCAACTCACAGTTCTGCAGCTTCTTTAGGAAAGGAAAGGGAACCATTTCTACAGTTTCCAAACAGATAATCTAATCAGCCAGTGGCATGTCGCTGGGGAAACAGCCTCCGTCTGCAGAACATTCAACAATGGAGGCCTGGGCAAGGGGGCAGGGCCAGAAAGGGAGCCAGCGATCGACCACACATTCGGTCCATAAGACGCACAGACATTTCCCCTTACTTTTTAGAGGGAAAAAAGTGCATCTTATGGAGCGAAAAATACGGTACATCTTCTTCCCCTATATTCCCTGCAGGGCACAAAGCCACATTGCAATGGTGTGCATGTGAGGTGGGCCTTTCTCAAAGAATTGCCTTCACCAGAAGAAAAAAACACACCAAACCACGTGATCAGCCTTGCCCACATGTGCAGTCACACACTTGCTGTGTCAATGTGGCATTGCACCATGCTGAAATGGCCCACACTCAGTGGTGAAGTTCTCTTTCTTTCTGGGTCTACTCCAGTTTAGGCCCTGTCTCCCAGCTCCCCTCCTTTATATTCACTTAGGTGACAGGGAGATGCATGAGCACCCATGTCCAAATTTGCTATAATAATAATTTATTATTTATACCCCTCCCATCAGGCTGGGTTTCCCCAGCCACTCCCAACAGAATATTAAAAACACGATAAAAGATCAGACATTAAAAACTTCCCTGAACAGGGCTTTCAGATGTCTTCTGAAGTCAGGTAGTTGTTTATTTCCTTGACATCTGACGGGAGGGCGTTCCACAGGGCGGGCGCCACTACTGAGAAGGCCCCCTGCCTGGTTCAGCTCTCCCCCAGAGTGCCACTGAGACAGCTGCCTCAGCAAGCCTCATTATAGCACTGGCCCTGACTTAGGTCTCCCAAATATTGCCTGCAATGCTGCGACAGAGTAACATTTCCATACTGCATAAGAACTGCTTATCTACAGATAATAATCATCCCACCCCAAAATGGTAACACTTTGAAGCATCTCTTAGTAGGGCCCAAAACTTGTTTCTCTGATTAGATGTGATAATCCCCCTAAATACAAAGCTTGAGAACCTATTTTTTAATGAAAGCTTCAGAGGGATATCAAAGAACTATTTACTCGCATCTAATATTTTAATTAGATTATATTCTCAATTTAACCCATTACACACACACACTGCTTTGATGAGCTGCACGCCTAGTGTTTGGCCCCAGATGCTGGAGGTAATGAATGCTGGACCTCTTTGATTTAATAAGCATTTCTGCCTTTCCAGTCTGACTCTCTTTGTATCTATTTTTTATTAGTATTATTATTTTTTTCCTGAGCCCATAGAATTTGGTTAATTGAAGGAGTCTCTTACCACCACACATTAAGGGCTCTAAATTAGCATTCCCTTTTCCGATTAGAAAATGCAAGCGGGCATTTTTGCTTTGATCCAAGGATTTAGCTGAAGTAGCCCGTGCTCCCTTGAAAATGAGCTGATGGCCTTGTTATTAGGATAAAATGCAAATGAGGCCATGTGTTAGGAAATGCTTAATGTCTTAATTGATCACCTTCTGTACTGTCTGTGCCTTCCTTACATCTTCCACATCACCTGGAAATGAGGACGCCATTGAAAAAGGCAGGTACAACCTCAGCTTTTAGGGACATTCAAATTGTACCCATTAAACCCCTAAATTGTACCCATTAATCCCCTAAACACACAAACAGCACTTTAACTTTTAACAATGCTCTGTCGCTTCTTTTAACAGTGAACTTGGGCAATCAATGAAGATATTTATACTTTCCTTTTCAATTCCCTTAAAGAACTCCATCTCAGTCTTAGCACATTTAGCTTATTCTCTTTGCAGAGTGGTATTTCAATTATTGTTGGCTGGGATGGTTAGAAAAGGGGAGAGAGCCATTGCTGGGTGGTGGAGCACAGAGCAGTCTATGCAAATGGTGTCTCTAGCTAGAGCTGCCTGAAACCCTGGAGAGCTGCTGCCAGTCAGTGTTGACCTACTGAGCTGTATGGACCTAGGTGGTCTGACTTGGTGGTAGTTTCCTATCTTGTGAATGTCCTCTAAAGGGTGAGTAGCTAAAACTTACCAAAGGGTCATTGAAGAGTGCTGGCTTCTCTTTTTTGAATCCTTTGAGGCCAGACATTTAGTGGCTGTTGCTTTTTTTTTTATTTACAGCAGTGATTAAAAGACAGGGAGGCCTTGCAATACCTTTGCCAGTCATTGCATTTCTGTAATGTCTTCCTTGTATGGGGTTGCTTTGAAATTCCAGGAGTTATTGGGAAGTAACCATGCCCCCAGCTTGAGAAAGATGCACAGTGCATGTAAGTCCCATGGTGATCAATGGGGCTTACTCTCTAGTAAGCATGCTTGGGCTCTAAGCCTCCAGGGTTTCTCAAACTTGGGTCTCCAGATGTTTTTGGACTACAGTTCCCAGCATCCCGGACCGCTGGTCCTGCTAAGCTAGGGATGATAGGAGTTGTGTTCCAACAACAGCTGGAGACCCAAGTTTGGGAAACAGTGCATTAGAGCAAGGGTAGGGAGTCTGTGGTCTTCCAGATGTTTCTGGATGCCAGCTCACATCATCACTGACCATTGGCTGTGCTGTCTGGGGCTGATGGGAGTTGGAGTATGGCAACATCTGGAGGGCCAAAGGTTCCCCACTGATCCCTGTATTACAGGAATATTAGTCAGGCTGGCATGAGAAAAATAAAATTAATAAGTGGATGGTCGCAAGAAGAGGACAAGCAGAAGTGATTTAATGCAAATGCTAGCAAGTAAGGGGAAATGTTTGTTTTTACTTAGGTTGTCAACCACTTTGAGGATTTTGATTTTTAAAGAGGGTTGTAAAATTAGAAAT